AAAAAAATTTTTAAAAATCGCTTCGATATCTTGGTTTCTGAGAAAATAGCTCGTATGCTTCATCCAACCTACACGATTACTATTTCTCTGCCACAAATAATCATGGGGAATTTATTAAAATATTCTTTTCGAACATTATTTACTCGACACTCGCGATATTTTTCCCTCCAAAGGAAATCAGTCGATTCCCAACTGCGGATAAATGGTTGGGACAGCGAAGAAAATTAAGGTATAAATTAGATCAATGATACGTTAACTGAAATATCCTAATTATATCTCGTCTACCACTCTTCGCGATCAGTTTGCTGATTCTCACTTTTACTTTACACTTTATTTCTGGCCCGTGTTTGTGTGTATTTTCGATCCCCTACACAATTTCTAGCGAAATTTCCTACGAGAATTTACCGATGCTCGCTTAAAGTTTCCCGGATTTCTTCGTTCATCGATATACGTATAAAAAAGCAAACCCGTCTTTCCTTCCATCAATTTTTTTTTTCGAGAATTTCTTAAAACCGGTCGCTAGTTATGAAAGTCCTACGTTTGTATAGGATATGCAATACTGTTATATTGTAAGCGTTAACAGTTCGCAACAATAGGACCTTCGCGAAATTTTTTCGCAAAATTCATCACGATTCAACAAACTCGAGGAAAAGAAATTAGATACTCGAAGCTGCTCCCTTCCCGTCGAACATAAAGTCCCGTTAATTTTTGCCAAGCGTCGTGATCTGAAACGCGAAATTGGTTTGCACCGAACGAAAAGACGAAACTCGAGACACCGAACGAATTTCGCGAAAGCTCCTACGGCCGCAAGTAACCGGCGAATTTACAAACTGAATGTATTACATAATTCGTAGTCTTGTATATTTTTTTATCGAGTGTTATCCGCTAGTACAGAGTTTATATTCTGCGTGTTGGTTAATTACGTTCTCATTGTTCCAAGAGCCTACTAATATAAGTTATGCACTTGCAAAATGTTTACTTAGAAATCGTCTTACAATAAGTAATTTTTTCGTTTTGCCCGCGACAATTCGCGTCGCGCGTCCACCGAGGGTTGTCTGACAGAGCTCTACGTTTGGTTTTGTATTTATTATTTTTTTTTTTTTTTGTTCACGAGTAAAAAAGCTTCTTTTTCCCCCACGTTTCTGCACGTTTCTTCGCCTTCTAATTCAAGCACGTTATAGATATGATAAGATATCGCCCCCCCCTTTTTTATACACTCTTCCCGGTACTAATGGTCGATCGATCACCCAGTTACTAGAGGGTTCACGGTTTCTAGTATACGTCGCGAATCAACCCCCGTTCTCTATTTGCCCATCTCACGAATCAAAGCTCTTTCTTTTTATCGTTCCCTCCCTGTTCCCGAAATCGTCCATCGCGATAATAACCGCGTTCCGATCGACGCGTTACTTACGCTATATCTCTATTTAATTTTGGCGAAACTTATCGTATGGATCGAGTGGCGAAAGCATTCGATGTCGCGGAGTGCAATAGGCAAGCGGAAATAAGAGAATAGTACGAAGATGCAAAACGGAATAGCGTATCGGAGAATTAGTCGAAAATCGGTAGAGTAAAAAAGTTTCGAGATATCAACTCTGAGGTCACTGATTTTGATCATTCACACCGGACAAAACATCTTATACCTGGCTCGTTTATTTGGAAAGGAAGTGCCAATATTCGTAGAATTGAATTTCGGTTCTCTGATTCTAATTGACGTTTGAAAAAATAGATTCGACAGTTAACTTTGGATTCCCAAATATGTTCCAAACGGTTTACCGACATAAAAGTGAACTCCATCGTATCAGTGACATCGATCAATATCCAAGGAGTACCTTTCAAGAGCGACAAACGAGGAGTGAAGCGATACGAGGTGAACGAACACAACGTTTGAGATAAAAAGGACATTCGCGAGGCAAATATTCGTAATAACGAGTACGTGCAATCCAAAAGCAGAGCGTATCGGTACTTAATTTGAAGCGACTGGATTAGCGAACCCGACAATAATTGTCCTTAAGCAACGACGAGTGTTCGAGTCTTTTCTTCGATGATCGACTATGAAAAGTTGTCGTTTACCTGCCCTTCGACCCTGTTTAGAAAGAGAATGTTTACATGTTGCAAGCACAATCAGCAAAAAGAAAGAAAAAAAAAAAAAAAAAGTTCTTTTTACACGATAATCAAATGTGTTTAATCGCTAGACGTTCCGCGTACACGTGCATGCTCATCGAATTGTGTTCACGTGCGACCAGACGAATGCACATACAAAGATCGAACACATAACATGAGAATTAAGAGATATAAAATCGATTGCGAATACGTATGTCTCTCTCGATCGTGAGCGAGCATCATTCTTGTCTGTTTACAGATATTCTTCAGCAGTGATTGGCACAGTTTCCGCCGCGAGTCTCGAGACAACGCGAAACCCCGGGGACCGTGTCTTCCTATGCAAGAATGTATATGTGGGCGGTTCGTTTAGTGAAATATTCACATTACAAAAAACGAGCTTCAAGTCGAGTGTAGGTATCGAGAATAAGATCCTAAATGTATACACGGCTCTCTCCTTGCGCGCTACACTCGAGTCGTGAATTTGACAATTAAATAAAAACTAACATAATCACATTATATGACAGTCGATATAGTTAGCACATTTTCGTTTTTTCTTCTTCATTTTTTTTCTTTTTTTACCTTTTTACTTCCCTCTCGCGCGCAAAATAGTTGACACGGCTACTTAAAACGTTCAACGATTCGCTAATTCACAAGGTTCGTCCCCGTTCCCGAGGTTGCCACGCGACTTTCGGGGGACTGCAAACGCGACACCCGCCGATAGTTATCGTTTCAGTACGTCATATCTATCGAGCGTCGAAGCAAACTTCTCGATCGTGGTAGTAAAAATTAATACGGGTTGATAGTCGAAGTCGCCGAGCAACCGGGTAACGAAAACGCGACGGTCAAGGCAATTGTTCGTTTAAACATCTGCGCGCAATACGTATCGCGAATTCATATATATATATATATATAATCATTATAATATTTACAATAAATAATATACGCTCCGACGATGATATTTTCTTGCCTAAAAACTTGACAACGAGTTCGATTAGTTCAGGTTTGTTGGTGCGCAACTGTCGTTGAAAATCGCTACTGTTATTAGAGCACATCGAGCGTCCTAAATTATATACAAATACGTTGTAAACGTCTTTCGCGAAATGCACACGCGTATACATAAATCTTGATCGGTCGTTCGCGATGATCGGTTCACAAATTCCACCACTTCACTGGTTCCTCGTTCTCTGTTATCTAAACATTAATAATTCAAGTCACTATACGGCACGCCTTTCTCAGAGCATAGCACGTTGGAGTTAGCATCGATCTTGAATCGAGTGCCGCTGTATTGGTTTCACTGTAAACGAAACGAAAAGTAGAGATCAGTCGATCGTCCGTCGTTGCTTGGGAGGAATAGACGGAAAAGCGTTATACGTAACAGGAACAGTGACAAGTATACAAATTTGGAGGCAAACTTGGGCATCGTTCGTATCAAATATTAAACGTTGATTAAAAATTTCAATTGTCGGTATTATACACCGCAACAGTCATAATTTACGGAAAGATCTTCGTTTCGTATTTCATACGTCTACCCATGTCAGGAAGTATAACTACGATTCGTATGTGAACAATCAAAGTAAGAGTTTAAACAGGAACAGGTATATTGCAGTTTCTGTAGTGCCATTTGGTATATCTTTGGATCAGTTTCCTTTGGTAAGTGAAACAAGAAACATCGAAGGTAACTTGAACGGAAGACTTCGAATACGGCGGAGACTTACCTTTCCCTTTCCTCTAGAAGTAAAAAGGATATCTACTTCGTTATAATCGAGAAGGTTCTGCATGGATCGGGTAGAAATCGTTCAAAAGGGGTTGCGAAAGAGTGCATACTGTTGTGCAAAGTTTGAGATGAACAGGGTAACACGCAACCAAGCAGAAACAGGGTGTTTAGAGACTCTCGCGTCTACGAGTAATTAAAAAAAATAAACAAAAAAGAGAGAAACAGGAAAACACTGAACAGTATAAGAATCCAGAGGAAAGATGGAGGCACACGAAAAGTTTGGCGCAAAGTGTATCTCAAGAAAGGCTTAGAGAAGAGAAATTTGATAGACACAGAGAAGCGATGACGAAGTTTCGGTCCACGATCCGACGCGTGCTTTTGCGCAGCCGTCCTCGCTGAACGTCGTCGCTTCGTGACTTCGGAGGAAGAATTTGCAAGGCAAGAGGACATTTTAATGTAAAACGTAGACACAAGGGAAATATGTAACAACACACGTTCGTAGACTTCACGCGGATAATTTAGGCTTCTCGAAATTAAGTTTGGACATAATGAATGCATAGATTACTCGTCAAATGGTCGGAATGAAGCGTAGTTTGGCCGATTATCCACGTAAAATCGTTCGAATGAAATGTCTAGGAACGGTGCCTTGATCTCAGTGCGTACCTAAAGCTATCTGGCGCTCCGGGAACATGGCCGCTATGTCTACATCTAGTCTACATACGGACTAGTGGCTCATCTGATATGCCGTACATGATATGTGATGTGCTAGTGGTGTTTCTAGAAAGACATGTCCTCTCGTACGACCTTTCACACTTTTCCCATTCTCGCGGTCACCTTGCAAATAAAACACACTTTTCTCGTTTTATCCAACAACGCGATCGCACTTCTTGTTCGATTGATCACGCAACAACCCCGCCTCTAAGATCGCTCTGCGTTACACGGCGATCTGATTTTACCGTACTCGGAGCCGACTCGATCATTTTACAATTTAAACGTAAACGACGTTACGAGAGACAGTGGAACGGATTTAAGAGTACAATTACGCGTGTTACGGTAATTCGCAAAGAATATTTTCACTTTCCGCTTGCTTTACGTTACCAACGAATTACGTAGACGCTTGTTTGAATCGAAAATTAGTGAAAATTTAATGGTAAGATTAGCGATTAACTCAATTAAGGCTGGACACGATCTTTTTTTTTCCATTTTTCTCTTTCCATTAGAAATTACTTATAAAATAATTTAAAGTACGTCCGATTACACGTAAAGAGAGAACTGCTGGGACATTTGCTTAAATCTTAAAGGACTCTAGGGACGTGGCCGAGGATCGACGGGACAAAGCCAAGGATGGAGGTCCACTGACCAGGGATGTGTTGCCAAACAGCTTGTACCACCCGAACACCATGTCATTGAGGTTTAGTTCGTCCAAAATGATCTGCGCAATGCCCATGAACACTTTTTTCCCCTCTAATCGGCCGTAATCACCCCATACTGTCACCTGGAATCACGCAAACGATTTCAAAAGTTAGGACAGCTTCTAAAAGGAAACTTGGTGTAACTAATACTCCAAAAATTACGATGGAGTTATACACGTATGATATTGATATTGAATTGAATTTTCTTGTAAGTTTTTATATTTATACGCCAATAACAGCTAAGAGAAAATCTATCGGCGTAAACATGTACCTGCAGTATACAATGTTGACAATTTTCTCTGAAAGTTAACGACTGCTGGTAGAACGGGTCCAACGTTTTCCTAGCCGCCGTCGTTTTCGCTTTCGCGATGCACGTTTTACCGCTGACCAGATAAACTTTCACGTACGAAGCTGTAACAAACGATCGTGGAAGTTAGCGCATCGAAGGAAATCGTGAACGTTGGGTGGCGATGAGCGAACGAAACCAACGAACCTGGAATTGTTTTACTGCCCTGTTTTGGCTTCAAGTCCTTGGCACGTATCACCTCCACTTCAAGGTAGCCTTCCTTCTGAGTCAGCGAGAGCTGAATCTCGCCCAGACACCGAGCACCGAGCGCCTGCCTTCCAACCATTTGTCCGGGACCAAGATCGTCGATGAAATCTCGCAACTGATCGGTTTCGCCTGTCATTCGCAGACTGGGGGACCAACTGCAGTTCCCAAAATCGAACGTTTCTTGTACAACGAAAGCCTTTACGAGTACGCCGAGGGGGGAGGTCGAGAAACGAAAAAGAAACGGAACCAGTCGAATCAACGTTACGTTTAAGGGAAACTTGATTCGTAGCACGTGCCCGGCCAACTAGAATCGTCATTGGTACTTTTCTACGAATATAACGTTCGCATTTTCCTCGAATCGAACACGATCCAACGCGAGGGTAGAGGCCAAACAAAATTGCTGAAAGTTCGTTTCGCAGGAGCGAAGGACAATTTTCGCAAGCCTTCGACGGAAGTGTGGAAAGAGAGAGCACACCTCATTCAGTTTTAGACAAGAAGAACTCACGCTGCAAGTGTGTCGGTGTAGCGAGTAAATATATAGTGTAGAAAAAAAAAAATTGTAAAGTTGGATACACAGCAGGCGGTCGTATGCATGCAGTTCATTCAATGCGCAAGTACCATATCACAATTGTACGTCCAACAATAATCAGTTTAGTCTCTTTCAACGAGCATTGTATCTTTGCTTTTTATATTTCACGATTTTGTTCACAATTAGGTACAACCTGATTATTGTTGAACCAGCTAATTGTACGCTACGTACCCATGCTTTATTAATAAGAAGTAACTGAGAGAAAGAGAGAGAAAGATAGAAAAAGAGAGAGACAGAGAGAGAGAGAGAGTAACGGTTTTAACTTACGTTTAAGGTTAGCTTTTACTGCGGCCTTCGACGAACTTATAAATAACCGTGTACTTGCCGCGTTTGGGCTTATTTACCAGTATCTCTTATCGTCCTTGAAAGGTAGCTAAATTGTCTAGGAAAGAAAATCTTAAAATAAAACGTCGACGTTGCTTCGTTCTCGATATATCCACTCTTTTTTTTTTTATGATCGTATTACTAATTTCCAACGTAACACGAATGAAATACATGTTTGCTCGTAATTTATGAAATTTACATCGTTCTTCGTAGGGAGAGGGGACACAGTTGCATTAGAAAATAAGGAACCTTTCGATAACAAAGGCGTTAGGAGATCGTTACTTCGTTCATCGAGTCGACAAAATTTCTCTCGTATGCGATACCATCTTACGTTTTCAAGAAATTTTGTCGACTCGTGGTATACCTGACGTTTACAAATATTAGGTACATTTATCTACCTACAGTCTTATATACATTGCGCACGATTGTTGAAAGTCGGTACGATGATAACATTTTCCAGGGTAAGGTAGATCTATAAATATAAATGGCTATATAAATAGGATAAAGTATACATTTCATAATAAAAGGGAACCTGGATAGTGGAATCGGCTTGGTTGTCGCATATAGTAAATGCCCCTTGTCACGTACAGAAGAATGATTTACAATGATAGTAACACATATATACAGAAAAAGAGAGAGAGAGAGAGAGAGAGAGAGAGAGAGACAGACAGACAGACAGAGAGAGAGAGAGAGGTGTTGTGTGTGTTGCGTGTGTGTCTGTGTGTGACATACGTACAATGGAGGTTCGACATAATGCTGCATGATCATTTAGCCAAGCAGTAAGCCAAGACGACGACAACACCGACAACGAATACTAGCAACGCCACGAGACATCGGAATGACAATAAACTCAATTTAAAAAAAATATATATAAATAGATAGAAGAATGGACAAAAAATTAAAAAAATAAATTGCGTGGCGTGAAATATTTGTTCCGTGTGTGTTGCAGCATATCGACGCGTGGCATTTACGAAAAATGTGTCATCTGGCTTAGTTCATTTTGTTGCAACAGAAGGCACTGTTTAGAGTGTTTTGTAAGATCGAAAGAAAAACATGGAAAACGTATGACTGCATGAAAATGAAACAATACGATAGGATACAGAGAAAAAGTGAATGTCTGTTCGTAAAAGAGGGGCAAAGCGTGAATGAGCAAGACAATGTACATCGATGCTGGGCACACGACTCAATCACACGTTGAAAGACAAAACGATCGACGTTTTGCGTTTACGATTTCCTGCGCGTAAACAGTAAAAATTTGACATAGAATACAGAGGAAGAGAAAGAAACGGTTAGATGGATAGTGAAACAGATAGAGAGGGGACGGGAGAACAAAACTGAAGTTATTCGCAGGGTTAATCCGTTCCTTCAAATTAGATTTTCAAACGTTTCAGCGGCAGTTTTTCCTTCTGTATGCGTTCCATATTGCGGACGGGTATATTTAAATTATTATTGATATGACCAGTAGAATGATTTATATTTTTTTGTAAAAAAACTGGACAAAATTTGGTATCAAATTCTGTAAGTAGGAAATATATGTATAGCAAAGACGAAAGGAGAGAATCTTCAGTGTCCACTGTCTTAGAACAGTCTAACAACGCGTATTGAAAATAGTTAAAATTTTGAAGCGTGTAGTTCCGAAACTACTAGTGTTTTATTAATAATTGAGCCATTGTTGGAAGCGGTAAACCTTCCCCTTTAAAATGGTTTTTTGTTTTTGACGATCCAACTTTCCGTTTTCGAGATATCGTAATTTATGTAAAGGGGTAATTTTTTAATTTGGACTATCTCTGTCTCCGTTTGACACGTCGCGTCGGACCTCTTTCTCGCACGTGAGTCGAGACAATCACGCGCGCGGTCATTGACTTCGCGTCAATGAACGTAAACAAACGCTTCGGATCCTTATATTTCCGGAACTAGCCACCGCATCGACGTGAAACTAAAATTGCTATATCTCCGGAACTAATAAAGCTATCGACTTGTTCGAACGCTCATTTTAAAGGGCATTTCATCCTCTATCCGATGACTATATCATCTATTAAATTTATGCCATCTTCGATGTTTATTTTAGTATTTAATTAATGAAACAGCTATAAAGAATCATTATTAAGAATGTAATGTCTTTGGAACCACGAAAGATGTAATTTTACGCCCATTGGCAATTTCTTTATTTACCATACGTAAAACGAAAGAGACAGAGTAATTGGAATAAGATAGCTTACGAATAACCCTGCTGAAAACGTAAACAGCGAACAGCTTTCAAACTAGAGACAAAGCCACAAAGAGAAAGGGAGTTAGAGAGAGAGAGAGAGAGAGAGAGAAAGAAAGAGAGAGAGTTAAATTATAGAGAGAAGAAGGAAGAGTTGAAAGAGACAACAAGGAGTCTCGTAGTTCCGGGTTCAGAATCGGCCGATGAGGGCCACTACTTACGAGCTTCCTTCGGAACTAGAGATCGAGTTGAGACTTCCGGCTGTGTCACTGGCCGCTGATCCCGACTGTTTTCCGGGTTCAAAGCGCTGATAGGGTACAATCTCCTCGGAACGCTGTATGCTGCTCGGCGTGCTGTTGCGCTTCCGGCTCGATAAACCAACGCGTGGCTCCACGCTACCACTTCCGGTGAAGATCCCGCCGATACCGCACTCTGCGTTGTAAACCAAACAAGAAACAACCGCTAAACTATAATCTTTCATTGAGATTTCCACACCGTGTCTGCCGCAGCCCTTTCTCTCATCCAGCTCCAGAGGTGGTTGTCGTGCGTTTGCTCTTTCGACTATTTACGACTCTCTCGCTCCCTCTCTCTCCCTCGAAATTTCTAAAATGTTCACACACTCTCCCTATTTCTCTGTTCCTATCGTTCTCACGATCATCGATCGTCCCTCGATCGTTCTCGAACGGAGAACAGAACGATTAGAAAGAGGCTCGCGAAGACACATGTACACCTGGATGAAACTCAAACACGTTGAATGATCGTCGATGAAGGTTTAGAGGCATGAGGAAAGAAAGTGTGCTTAAATTAGTCAACTACCAAGTAGCAAATGGAAAGACTTTAACAGTTTCGAGCGTCAAGACTCGAGAACGCTCGTGATAATTCCAACGTACGTGGAAACCTGTAAGAGCAGCCTTCGTTCGTTGTTGAGTTTAGGCTTAATTTTTGATCAATGATTAAATTCGATTACTCTCGAAAGTTCATTTGTTATCGATCATAAGGCGTAGCTCTAGCACTCTACCGTTGGACCTGTAATCATAAGCGGGCAGAAAGCGTCACAGCTGAATGCCAAGTTCTCGCTACGACTATATCGCACACGCATTCGTGTGTCGTACGTACACAGAAATAATTCGTAACCCTAGAAAACGTGTTCGTTACATATATGTTCATCTACAGTTAAGCGAGTCTTTCGTATACATTCCGAACACGTGACTTGCATACGTACGCGAAACATTTATTCGCGAACTTATTCAAAAGAAGTACGTAAAAAGTATCCGCAGGCGGAATGTACAAGATTGTGTGCTACATTCAACCAACTTTTGTATGTGTGTATATGTGTACGCCTGTCTGTGTCATGTGTGTACGTGTGTGTGTGTGTGTGTGTGTGTGTGTGTGTGTGTATGAATATGCGCATGAGAACACTGCATCGCTTGAAGACATCAAGAAATGAAAAGCCGTAACGGGTAGAGTAGACGTCTCACCCCAAGCACGTATCAACAGCGGCTTCTAAGTTAATAAATAATAACGAATCAGGTGGCCAACTTACCTACCGTTCCAAGGAGCCTCGGCTACGACCGAGTCTCGTAACAAGCTGACCACGTGTTTCATCTAAAAGTTCAAGAGCTGTACAAAACAGACAGGTACCGGTGACTTATTGCCAGCATCGACTCTCATCGATACCATTCTACAGTCACGAATAGGACAGCCCGACATGAACAAATGTACTTGCACAGCTAATACGTAAGATTCTTGAGCCTCGAATGCAGCCTTTATGGTTCCCTCTTGCGTTCGATTGTTCCACGGCCATTGCGACCAGAGATTTTTCACGGCCAATTTAAAATCTGGCCCGTCGATGTAAAAGATAGCTAGGCATTTTTTGGTATTCGAATTGATAAAAATCGAGGAAGAAGTCGATGGTAATTAATCGAGGCTTGCGATACAGCTCAGGAAACTCGTGCAAACGTTCCTCTAAGAGTTTACGCATCGCTACTACGTAGAAACAGTCTCTACGATCTAGCGCAACAGAAGACGAGCCGAGAATCGTCTCGTGACTATACTTGGGAATCGTGCAGCCTCGCAAAATACTTTCTTCGTCGAACGAGATCGTGCTCTAATTTCTAAACAGGTCAAAGAGAGTATTTTCCGACGATAGCCACGAGCGTTTCGCGCGGCCCTCTCTCTCTCTAAAGCACAACTTTTTCTAAAAAGTTATGTTCTGTGTCTCGTTATTGTTGTTGTTGTTGTTGTAGTTGTTGTTGTTGTTAATCGTAAATGTCGCAGACCGATCTCGCCGCTCTCGTTCTTCTTGCTGTAATTTGTCTTTCTGCAACGTGTACTCACATTTCGCCGAAGGCTCGAATCTCCGTGTCGGGAATTCGTTCGACATCCTCTCGACGACGAACGCGTCCGCCGGTACGAAATCGAAAGCAGACTGCGATTATCGATATCGAAATACCGCCGGAGCGAGTCCAGACGAACCTTCTTTCAAACAATCTTATATTCGTGCTAATTCGACAATTTTCAAAGAAAAGAAAAATAAATGTTCGTTCGAACGTGTCTACCCTCGAATAAAATGAACGTCTCGAGGACGAGGACTGCAGAGAGATGCCGTCTCGTGCTGTTCGCTCCCACGTAACGAAAAGGGCCGCGAGGAACGAAATTAAAAATGGGAATGATGGAAAAGGGGGCTGTTATTTGCAGGATGTTCGGACCTGTCGCCGTCGCCGCTACCCTCGCCGTCGCTGCTGGCGGAACTCGGTTGCCGTCCGCTCCTTCCGCTGGCCGTGTCCTCTGGCAAAACCTCCTCGCTTCTATGAACTGTAAAGGACGACTTGCCCTTCTTCCCGAATCCTAGCCTCCGTTTTCGTCCTTCGTCGCCCACGCATGTACCACCAACAGACGCACGTGGTATGTTATGGTTTTTGCGTGACGTGACACAGTTTTTTTTGTTGTGATCATAGTGGTGGTAGTTGTAACAGTAGCAGTAGTAATAGTAGTAGAAGTAATAGTAGTAGTAGTAGTAGTAGTAGTGGTAGTTTTAGATGTTGGTTGCACGATAGAATAGTGGTACGTGTTATCGTAGCGTTCGGTGTTGGTTTTCGTGTGTGTGGTTTCGTACAGTTTATCCTCCGACCAGATGTGTTTTTGAGTGTTCGGTAGGGGTTTTTAATTAACCCGCAGTGATCGTTCCAGCGATCGATCGGGGTGATCCGCGTCGAGTGTTGTCCCGTGACACGATCGCGCGAGCGACGATAGCCCGCCACGATGAGAAATCGTGCAGGTGGGTGCAGGTCGATGACGTGAATGGTGGTCCCCAGCGTCGAGAGATGGTTGGTTGGTAGAAGTAAAGTGTGAATGTGTTCATGTCGAAGAGAGGCGGATAGAGATGAGGAGGGATGGCGGAGAAAACAAGAATACGATTAGAATGTACATACTGCCCCGTTTAGTGGGTTTTTTGCTCTTTTACGACGTGCTCTTGATATCGTTCCCTTAAAAATCGATATACGTTATTCGTTCGGACACGGACCTCGTATTTATACCATCGATCTACGTTTGGTAACGTCGGGTGCTTCGGTCGAAACATTCGGTACGTTCGAAACGTTCCGTGTACGAACGGATAATATAAATCGACTTAACTTGGTTCGTTTTACCGACAGATTCTCGTATTCTGCTCGTTTGTTTCGTTCGTTGCATCGTGACACGAATAACGAGCGAACAAACAAACCAACGATTCAATTTTTCTCGACGATTCGTCCAGTCTTTAAGCCCCTCCCGTGGCATTTAGCTCGACAAAATCCGGGCCCATACGGTGGGCGTTAACGCGCGGTAAACAGACCAGACTGATGCTAAACTGCTTTGTAACAAAGATTATAAGAATCGTGATCAACTCGTGATTTGCTGTCCGCGAGCCTGGCTCGTGATATTCATGTTTGGGCCAAAATCTTCATCACGAGTCGGACTCGTTAAAGTACGAGAAGGGATTAATGTTCTCGTAAAAGTGAAGTCGAGACTTTAACGCGAGGCAACGATACGCATAGCGAGAGCACGCCGTAACTACTTACTAATGGCGCTAAACTAATGTTACGCTAGTATCTCGAGGGACTATTGATATATTACGAAGAGACAGACTAAATTCTGACGTATGGAAAAGACAGAGAAGGTAGTCTAGATTATCACGCAAGAAGAATAGTAATGACGCGGAAAAGAATCGGTTTCTCTCGAAACGAGACGAGTTATCGAATATTGCGAATAGATAGCAATGTACGGCACGCAACGTTTAAACGATAAATCGGAAGAAACGACTAGTGTGACGATGTGTTACCTGTGGCGGACAGCTGACTGGTGCTGTTACTCTTCTTCCCCAGCCCTGGCTGATACTGCACCGCACTTCCGCCGCCGCTGCTGCTTCCGCTTCCGCTTTTACTCCCGGGCGAGCTCTTGCGACCTCTCCTCGAGGAGTCTTCGACGTTCAAACCGATCGCCGTATCGCTCAAACTACCGTCTGAAGAACGAAAGTCGCGTCAACGCCACGATAGTGGTTGGATAATACGAATAACAGAGAAAATGGAAGACGAGGGGTAAAGGAGAAAATATCGAGTTCAAAATATTACCGATCTTTCTGTTGGCAAAACATCAAGATAATTAGTTCAGGATTTGAAATGTTTCGTTAGATAATGTTTACGATGATCGAAATGTGAAGTGTCTCGCTTCTAACTTTCGTCGCGTGAGATTTTATAAAACGAAATACACAGAAAGCATCGCATAAATTCTGTTTGTAGGACTTACCAACTTTGTCGTCCTGCGGGGCGTCGGTGTTGCTAAGGCTCCTGGCAAACTGCCCTCTCTTGCCATGATCGTCGTGCTCGTTATCGACTCCTTGGCCTCTGGACGCCTTCTCGTAGGAGCTCGACTGGCCGGTGTACTCGCTGCTTTCAGGCATGGAGGAGGATCGACGATCCCGCGGATCGGCGTCGCGTTGTTCGTTGGCGGCGTCGTGGGCAAATTTTTTCCGCGATCGCCGCCGAATGGAGGACGTCGGGGACGTTGTCGGCATGGCGGATTCGTCGATGTTGTCGCGCGACGATGGTTTCGTGTTTCGTGAGGTTTCGTGGTGATCGACGGCCCGTGGGTGGTAGTTTTTAGCAGTGTCGGAGGTAGCGGTTTGGGAATCAAAGAGACTTGAATTAGCGTTACCGGGGCGGGGTGCTCGGTTACGGGGCCTACGCGGATCGCACGGGCCAAATCCGCAGTTCTCGCTGCACTGGCTCTCGCTCTCCATCGAGTACTCGTAGTACTCGAGGGTGTCGCTGATTGCTACGTTCCTCTTACTACCCTGCTGCTGTTGTTGACCCGTTTGCTGTTGGGGTTGCTGTTGCCGTTGCTGCTGCTGCCTCTTGTCGAGGAGCTCGAGGTCCCTAGCCTCCGGGCAGCTGCTGTTCCGTCTACGATACCTAAGCCTCGATTCTAACGACGGCCTTCTCTCCTCGGTCTTACGCGACAGCGACCCGGACCTACCTAACTCCGTGGAAATCGCTAACTCCCGACACTCCGGGCAGCTACTCTTACGCCTACCGCGATACTGCGACGACCGCAAAGATCCCGACCTAATCAGTTCGCACGTTTCCGGACAATCGCAAATCTGATCCGGCCCGTACTCGTACCTCGAGTCTACGTAAACGTCCTGTTCTCTCTCGTAGTACGTCGTCGGTCTAGCAGCCTCGCGAGCAGCGCCGACGTACTCGTTCTTTTGACGGAAGCAGTCCGCGCACACGACCGTCTCCATCGAGCCGAAATCCTCGTCCGAGTCCACGATGAAGTTCGCGCTGCTTCTCTCTTCGTCTTTTCTTCGCGACGGATCGTAATACCGGAGCTCTCTGGTCTCGGGGCAGCTGCTGTTCCTTCTGCGACGGTACAACCGTCTGGCCCTCTCGGCCCTCTCGGACGAGCTGAGCTCCTCGTCCGAGCGCAGCACGGGCGACGACTCCGCACGCTGCAACATCATCCGTTTGCTCTCGGTGAAGCTCGGCACGGACAGGTTGTGTTTGCTGCTCTCTCGATACGGTTGCACGTTCTCGTATATGCCGATGCTCGTCTCTCTGCTTCCTCTTCTGCTTCTCCTTCGTCTCCTTCGCGGCGCGAAGCCGTCCTGATACTGATCCGCCCGATAATCGTACTCGTCCGCGGAACGATAGTCGCAATATTCGTCGGCGACGTACTCGTCGACGTATTGTGACGTTCTCTTCTTTCGCGCGCTGCCCCGTGGTTCGTCTTCCCTTCTGTCGTAGTACTCGTCTTCGTACGTCTGCTGCATGTCGGTTCGCGGCAGCTGAACGTTCGTATCCTCGTAAGTGTACAATCGTTGATCGTAATCCTCGATTCTCGCCCTGTCGACGAACCCTTCGTCGTACTCGATGTCCCAGTCGTAACCATCGTATCCGTTCTCCAAATACGACTCGCTGCTTTTCGTTCTTCGGCGAGCGCGACCGGTGCCTCTTTGATTGTCGTAATGGTCCAGATCGGAGGTGGCTCGATGAGGAGAACAAGAGACGTCCACTTCTCGGGCATAATTCTCAGCGGACGCGAGCGCTTCGTCGATGCTACAGTAAATATGCTCGCTCATACTCGTCGGATCGCACATACCGCCGTCCAGATTCTTCGTACGTTTCTCCGATATGTCGGTGCCGAACGTAGAATCGTGCTCGTGAAAAGTCGAGTCCATGTACTTCCGTTTGGTGGGGTCTTCCCTGCCGAGGACGTTCCTCAGACCGATTTGATCATCGCCGTTGAAGGACTTGTCAGCCATCAAGTCGTATCGGTAACCCTTACCGGTACCGTCTAAATCGATGGTTTGATTATTGAAACGGGGCATGTAAATATCGGTTCCGCCGCAACAGAACTCGGACCCGTAACCGTAGAACGGTTTGTGGTCCTGCTTGAGCAGGTAATCGTAATTCTTCTCCCGGTTGATAAGGCTTCTAGGGACCTTGTCGTCGCCGTTCGAATCAAAGTACGATTTACTCTGGTCGCCGAGGGCGGGTATTTTATCGCCGTAGCCGGCGTCGTTGATCGCCATGTTCCTTTTTAGCTTTCTTCTGGCCGTTCTGAGACTGTCGTCGCTGAATATGTTGCTGGTAGAGATGGTCTCGTACTCGAAACTTTTCGCTCGGCGCGAGAGCAAGCCAGCGCCTATCCCGAAACCGCAGCGGTTGGCGTAGGTGTCGTGCAGCACGTCGTAATCGAAGCTCCTAGCCTTGGAGAATAAAAAAGACCTACGCGGTCGTAAGCTAACGTCTAGATTCCTAATGCCGCAGTCGTCCGTAACGTCGTGCAACCCTCTCGAGAGGAATTGGTATCGAGCTTTCGCGGTTCTTCCGGTACGATCCTGCCAGCTACGCGATCGTCTACGCATACCAGAGTCCAGAAGATACGGCGACGAGTATCTGTCGCGAAACTTCTCGATGAGACGATCGTTGAAGTCAACCTGAAGACAATCCTCGACGTATATCTCCGGTATACGTTTCTTCGAGCTACCGGTTAGCTCCTCTGGCTTGAGTATGTAACCTTCGGAGACACTGTATTCGCTGGTCTCCGGGCTGTAATATCTCAGCATGTTCTCGTCGACGGTCTGCGACCTCGTGAATGGCGTACGCATCTTTCTGTACAACGAGCGCACCACTGCGGACTTGCTCCGTACGAGGGGATGCGGGGTGGGATTGTGCTTGCTGGGGTTGTTGCTCCTGGGCTTGGTGGGATTGTTGTTCGGACAGTGACATTCGCTGCAGGGTACCCTAAGTCTGTGCCTGCGCCTATTGCGCCTAGGGGGCAAGGGCATAGGGGATATGACACCGGGTATTAAAACGTTTTTAACTGTCGGTCTGCAAACAATGTTTTTCATATAGAGTTTTAGCGCTTCTGCGGTTTACATAACGAGTGTCGTGAGCCCATTCTTCAATTTTTATTCATTTACATTCAAAAAATGACTCTACTTGCACGTTCGCGATCGATCGAACGCGTTTCTTCGTTTTTGCTTTTCTGTTTTTCCGTTTTATCGGCTTTGTATATTTTTTTTATTTTCTTTTGATTTTTACGAATACCGAGAGAATTTGACCTGCCAATTTTTTGTGCATTGTCACTCGCCGAACAAAGAAATGCAGGTTGTCTTGTAGGACGTGCGACGATTGATTAGTCTCTTGGTGATAGCACGCATACGTACAGTGACGTGTTGAAACGTAGGTACACCTAGTCGTTCGACCAACGCCACGCACTAATCCCTGCTTTGTTAGAATGGGGCGATATTAAATGGACATTGACACGGTGCATAGGAGGTGCAATCTAGCCACTAATAGTAGAAACCTCGAAGAGAGCGCGAAAGGATCTGGGGAACCTATCAAGCAGGCGGAGGAAGATGAATAGTGCAACTACAGGGTGACATTTCATTCGGCAATGTCCATTTAATTCAGGGATTATCGTTGATGAGAAGGTAAACCATCAAATGTTCCATTCTGTGCACGGTGCATTCGGTGAACGTAACGATCATTTACTTCGAACCAAACAAGGATCGCGGTATTTCGATCGATCCATGATCAAGATACAAAATAAACGGAAATAAACAAAGGCCACGCGTATCGGTAGTGTCGAACTGGTACAATGGATGGCTGTCTTCTCTAAAGGGATACTTTCTTTTCTATGGAACTTGTCTTGCTTTGTACACTGACTTTGAATGCAAGGTCAACGACTCGAAATTATTATACAATAGACATTGAACTATACTCACATTAGTCCTCTGGAATCGCGTGCTCGTTCCGACGGCGTACTGAAGGCACTACTCGTTACGGAGGCTATACTCTCTATATCGGAGTCACCGAGATCTCCAATTATGTCTTTGTCAGGACTCAAGTGTCTTCTCTGCGGTCTGTGCATTCGGTTAGCATTGCTGTGCGGCAAAGGCAACGGATCGTGAACTATCGAGGGAAGATCCGAGTCCGACAGGCCACTACAGCATCTTTCCCAGCCTGCGAAATGCAAATCATAGTACCCACGCGTTACGGTACATCTTCTAACGCTCGGATAAAGTTTAACGAAAAAAGGATCTCACCTCCCATGGCTGTACTCCTGTACGTTGTATGCACCTGTCTATTATGGGGTCTCATAAATCTATTTCGCTCCTCTAGATCTTGAGAGGCCCTTTCCTTCAAAGCTGCCGGAATTATAGGCAACTGTCTCTTTTTTGGCGAACCGGTGGGAGTGGCCGTCGCTGACCTCGAACAGAATCTGGAATTTGCAAAACGAAGCCATCCTTTGTCGTTCTATATCGAGCCTCGAAGAGTTGCCGATGATTCATACCTGGTCGATACGTAGCTGTGCGAGTAGGGCATGGATCTATGTTCCGGTGGAGACAGAGACCGATGACCGGTGGGGCTTTGAGACCTTCCTCGATATCGAAGGCTCGACGAGTCCATCGGTGCTGCACTGTGCGACCTGTGGCTCATCATTCCTCGATGAATATCCTCCTGAGGATTACAGAAATTTAGCAACATCGCGGGAAAAGCCGAATCAATGAAGCCGCGCACGAACCCGTTAAAAGTTTGGATACCGTTGCGTTTGTTTTAATACTACGTACACGTCTGCGCAAAACTCGAGATATTATTGGCATTGCAGGCGCGTCGAGGTTGTAAAAATTAAAGAAAATTGAGGATCGGCTCACCTTACGATAGGTCTGGTAGCCAGATATAGACGCGGGCTGATCACGGTTCATCAGAGCGGCTCGTTTACGGCCCTGCGGCGACATGTCCCTTCGACTTCGATGCTCCCCGTCGATGCAGAACTCCCTTTCCGGCGGGGGGCTAGAATAGTGGCTGCTCCAGCATGCGTTCATTTTTTTGCCGATTAGTGATCGTCGTGGTGCTTACACGTTAAATGGGGCGAGTGCTGTGATCTCGCGCTAGATTACAGAGTGCATGCGGCCAGGCTGGTTCTCATTGGCGATGCTTATATCAAATATGCATTCTACGTTGCGTTGCTCTTCGTGTCCTCTGATCGACATACGAACGAGCACGGAAAGCGACAAACCAAAACAGGATGCGAGTTTTACTACTTGGGAGGATCCCGCGATCGATAGTCAATAGTCTCTCGCGCGAACAAGCTCTCGTTTATTAATGTATTTACATCCTACTTGACGAGAAAGATATAGTTGGCAGACTGAGACACTAACTATTTACCCTTGGAACTATTTATTCCTTTCTAATAGCGTCGAAAAGAAAAAACAGAGAATTTTAATCTCTGTTGCGGATAAATTTAAATGTTTCCTTGGACTTGGACTCACCCCGCAAGTAAATACAGAATTAATTACTTCCAACGGCAATACTTATTACCTCATTCCGCGGTGAACTGGTCGCAAACCGGTCGATCTGCAAAGAGCAAATGCATATTCCTGCGATCCGCGCGTAGCTATCGTTACAATTTACTTGCCAATGAAGCCAGACAGAAGGGTTGGACCTTCTTCTCGTGATGTCCTCCAGAATGGAAGGACGTTTCCGTTGCCAAGAAGCTATCCCGCTAAAGAAAAGCTGGCTCGCTGTAAACAATGGAGACTCGCGGGCGCAGAGCCGTAATCAGCCGAGCCAAACGCGTAACGGATCCCCGAGACGATTGATCGCGCGCGAACCATACGAAACAAAACCGACAGTCATCGTGTCTCGGTTCCTGGCAACGGAACACCAACAAGTAACGGAAAACGGTCCGATAGAACTGGACGCTACCCAAAATCGCGAGAATGAAGCTTCGAGAAAGAAATGGAGCCACCCCGGCCGATGCGTCGCGTTGCACTAAGCATTCTAGAAGCCATGTCCTCTCGCAATCTAAGTCTCGTAAACGTGAACGTGGGAGATGCAAGAAGCGATGACATGATGACGCCTACGAGTGCCTACGTGAATCGGTGACCTACTGCATCTTTGCGCCCAACTACATCGTCCGCGCGACTCGGTCCGTTCTATGCGCACGGTTTTTCTACGATTTTTCATCGTTACGTCTTGTTTCTTTTGTCGGTGCACGCGCGACAGAGAAACGAGACGCTGTGCAGCCGGAGAACAACGCGAAAACAATGCAAGAGGCAGAAACCTACTTCCAGCGACTGCGACCGATACGGAAAAGGCCGAGCCGCGTCGTTGACTATATACGAAAACTTGCCACGCAAGGGAGTCGCTCGAATATGTCGTCCAGACACATCGGTTATGTTCGGTCTAACGAACAACGCGTAGCTTCGTACGAATTTTCCATGGGCAAATTGAAGAGCGGGCCGAATATTATTTTAGTACAAGGGTGGTTGCGGTAACGAGATGTTCGGTTAGGTAAGAATATTGCTGTTGATTCGGGTACCGCGTAAAGTCTTTGCGATGTCTTTTCGGGAAATACCGATGTTTCGCTATCGCAGCTAACCTCGACGAGAATCTAATGTCTCTGGATATGGTTACAGTTAAAGAAAAAATTGGCTTTCGGCGAGTACGATCGCTAGGACTGATGGGAGACGAATATTTCGATCAGGGAAAAATCGTGCAGTGTGTCTGACCACCATCCAGTACCGACTACTTAACCGTCGACCAGTACTCACAGACCAAATTTTATTTTATCCGTAAGCGTTCGATCTATCGGTAACTGAGAAATTAAACTACTCGAGCGTGTCTTTCGATTAATAACACGACCGACGCAAGTCTACGCGTAAAACGCTATAACCTAGCGGTGAGGATGCAAGACATGTGACTGCGTGATTCGTGAAAGAGGAGGAAATATAAGTTGTAATGGCCGTACCGCTTATAATTTGACGGCATATTATGAAACCTAAAAAATAAATAACAGAGCACACGATTAAAAATAAAATCAATTCGACGTGTCGTCGGGCCGGCGCCAACGCGGGAATAATCTAACTTGGATTTTTCGCGTTCGATGCAGCTACGCGGATTTCGAAATTCGTACTTAAAATTGGTTCCATCTTTGCAAAATCAGTTTGACGATTTTCTCTGTTCCTTGGTCTCCGCGAAACGCAAGAATTGCACGCAGTCCGTGAAAATCGGATCGTCGAAACTGGACTGGCGAAAGAAAGAAGAGCGATCTTATCGCGCGGACACGCCGATTCGACTCTTGGACGATGGATTTATTAATGTAACCGGTGAAACCCTTTCGAATAATCTTGTTAGGCGATATTGAAGGTTATTAAATATCGGCGCGCTGCGCGGTCGACGTGTCGGGACGTTTCGATCGTTCGTGTTCGGCGGAAAGTTTTTCGCGGGGAACGGATCGCGAGATCCGCGAGAACGAACAGAGAGAAAAAATTGGTCAGCAGCTCGCAGATTGAGGCCACGTGGATTAATGCAGCACGCGGCCGTTCCGAATCGTTTCTACAGATTCACGACGTCGAACGACAAACCCGACCTCGAGGCGTTTTCGCTCGTCTCTCTCTTCCCTTTGGAAACGATCAGCGTCGCGTCGCGTCGGCTCTCACGTGGCGCACGCGAGACGCTCGCGTTCGATGAAAAATTTTTAAGTAACCTAGCCCGAGGAGAATCGCGAAAACTTTTGACGAAAGATCCGGCCAACTTTCCCGCATTCGAGGCTGTGTCGTGCAATTTTCAACGAGCTCGGGGAACTTTCAGATATTATTATTATTCGAGCACCCTCGAATCGAAGAGGGTCGGAGATAAGGCGATTGATTACAAATGAAAGCGAGCGGTCGGCGAGCATTCGAGCCCCTTCCACCCCTTTCTACTCGGCCCCGGCAATCGCATTACTTTTCTAGAGAAGCGACTAGAACCCACTCGAGGGGCGCAGCTTGGATTCAGAGCATCATCCGCGGAATAAATTTACAAAGGTTCGACCAATTAGTGCTGGAAATGGTAACCGAGAGAGCGAGACGGTCGGGCGGGACAAAGCGGCGGGATTCGAGGCCAGAAGATCCCTCTCGTCGTGGAAATACGTTTCCTCCATCGGCACGGGGAGGCGGTAAACTCCTGCGCCTCGTATCGTCGTTGTTGCTCGACCTTCGAATCGAGAGAATAATCCGAAAGCACTGAAAACACTTTTGTCACGATCACGCGTTTCGGAGCACCAAATTTCTTCCGCACGCATAAATTACAAGTCACTGGCTCGGTGTTCGCGCGACGTCCGTTCGACCGATTTCGAGCAACGGTCTCTCGAATTCAAAGGGAGTCGATTAACTCGTTTCGGGACGTGACCGGTGCTCCGTCGAATCCAAAGGACACCAAATTCGAGGACATTGCACGATTTGCACGGAACCCCCGTGCAAACGATAAAAACTTTATTAAGCGTTGCATTCAAAGTGGATTTGTTTAGACACGCCGTCCGACGCGGTTACCACTGTTCGTAGCCGTGGGCTTTCCATTCCCGTTCCTCTTTGTTTCTTTTTTTTTTTCATTCCGACTTTTTTCTTCGTTTCCCACCGGTCACGTAGCGAGAGCGGTACCCCTCCTCTCGTTTTCTCTCCGAACCCCCTTCGTCACTTTGCCGGCAGTCCGTTTTTGTCGTGGAAAATAAAGGATCAGAAGGCTCGGTGAAAAGCACTTTGCACTCACAAATAACGATCGGACGTCATCGTTGGAATATTAATATGGATACCGGTTCAGGGGCTGGCTTCCGCAGCCAGCGGTGGTTGCAGGCCAACTGGCATGTCAATTGGCTTGTTGCCCAGTTTTATAACTTGGCTCTCGGCCTCCTCTTTCCTCCTCTGTCTCACTCTAATTCTCTTTCCCGCCCCGCCGGTCCGTTATTCTCTACTCTTCGCCTTTTAGCATTGTCTCCGTCTCTTTCCCGACGTTGTGGTCGTCGACGGCCTTACGTCGGAGCGACGCCACCTTCTCCGCCGAGGACAAAAACGCCCAACTATCCCCTTTTTGCGATTGTACGAGCGTCGCGCTCGGAATCGGCTTCAATGACGTTCGAGTAATTAAGAGATGCTCTATTTGAAACTGCTCCTAGGTTCTAGCTACTTTGCACCGTTCTATTATGGGATAATCGTTCGTTAGAAAATGATTCTTGATCGTTCAACACTTTTATGGGAGTAAAAATTGCTCACTGATCCTGTGTCTGCTCGTTGTTAAACGCGTGTACCTAACCGAGGAAAGTCCTTTCTCCGGACCAAAATGCCAAAGGATTAAGCACCAAACCACGCAACACGTTGTTGAACGTCGTCGAATAAATTATTCCCTTTCTGCGAAAAGCAAGCCGACGCGCGAGAAAGGTCGATCGATCGATCCTCGGCATCCCTTAGGGACGGCTAGTCATGCTCCTTCAATGAAGCGGAAGAAAAGTAACGATGCAAGAAAGACGCATGGAGAAACGTTTCACGGACCGGACCGAATCCAGGATAATCTCGAGTAGTAGCGTCGCCTCGTGTTATTGACGATTAAGACCGCGTTGCACGCTACCGGGTGAATAACCATTACGACAACAGTTACGATGCCGGTTACGAGACCTGTAAACGGGATCTTAAGCCGAGAATAGTAACGCTACTAGATTAGTAACACGAATCCTGTTTGCCAAGGACATCGGCATGCTGCATCCGCGGTTAAATGCCATTAATTCCTGACAAACTACACGCGCGAACCTTGCACGACACAGCTTCGCGGTCCTACGTGTACTTTTCATCCACCTTCTTCGGTTCGCGGACGTCATAGATTATACTACTAAGCGTAAGCTTGAACCACCCCTGCGAATCCAACTGACCTAAACAGACCCCTGACCCGATTCCCCCTTGTACATTTCAAAAAAGAAGAAAATTTAAAGATGGATCAGTACGTATGCGACATATGGCGAAAATAAATCCAATCGTTCAGAAAACTTATTTACATGAATTATTGTGCGATTTATAGAATTATATAATACATGCCGTAGGCAGTATTTTGAGAATATAGTGTTTTCTAGAAGTCGGTATAATATCACCAGACTATACAGAGATAGAAGCTCAGGGAATTATTATTCTGATATTTAGCACCTCGTGTATAAAAAATCAATCTTCGGAACATAGCGTTCTACTCAAGTATTGGAATGGAAATGACGAATATTCACAGACTCTTTTATCGATATTGGGCCAAAATAACAATTTATGGAGGAATAATGCGCGTCTAGAAATAATTTTTCGTAAAAATGGACACGAAAAGGTGAACAGGGGGATATACAGGGTATTCTGTCACCCTTGGGAAAAATTTGAATTGAATTGGAGATTCTAGAGGCCAAAATAAGACGAAAATTAAGAATACTAATTTGTTGATTGAGGATTTGTTAAAAAGTTATTAACGTTTAAAGTTCCGCCTGTAGAACGGCAATCTGCGATTAGACCTTACATCGAATGTATTTTTTCGGTCCATTTTTCTGGGGCTATAGCGTTCCATGAATACATATTGTTTGAATTTTGAATCATTAAAATCCTCCAATCCGTTTAGGAGTTTTAAAGATACGCATGAAATTTCGGTAGAGTAAGTTCGGGTCAGACATTATAGTTTCGGTAAAGAATTTTTTTCTCGAAAGTGCGTAGGATTTCGGGGTTATGTCTATTGACCAAAAATGACTGTAATTGACCCCCACAACTGAAAATAATTTTTTTAAAACGATTTGAAAAAATTTTTTTTGACGAAAAATTTCAGGGAAACATGTCAGCGCCTAGTCAGACATTAGATATTTAGTAAGGAAATTTTTTCTCGAAAGTGCGTAGGATTTTGAGGTAATATCTAATGACCAAACATGATTGTAATTGACACCCGCAACAAAAAATAAATTTTTCAGAATGATTTGAAATTTTTTAATTTAATCTTTTAATAACTTTTTACGAAGCCTCAATCAAGAAATTAATATTCTTGATTTTCGTCTTATTTTGGACTCTAAAATCTCCCTTTCAAATTTTTCCCAGGGGTGGCCGAACACCCTGTATGTAAATAAAGATATTGTACGATTCGAGGGAATAGAAACGGACGAAAATCAGCCTAAAACTTTGAAGATTATTAAAGAAGCGTGTTAAAAAGAAACAGGAAACAGAGATATTTAGGTATAATCTTGCCTTACCCATAAATCGATTCCTCAGTTCGTTTGCTAGATTCTAAGAGACAACAGCGAACGAGGAGGTCTCAAACTTACGATTGGCAGTGGACGCGATTCTATTCGACTCTTTATGCCGCTGCGTGTCCGTGAACCTGCGTATTCGCACGGATTCGATTAAAGGTTTAGCGGATAAGTTGTTTCGTGGTCGCGGATATTCACGGCGCATCGTTCGTGAAAATAGCACGCTCTTCTTTCGAATAGATATTGTATCGTTGGGTGGGTAAAGGGGTGGACGGGAACGTGAGGAGAGGTCCGGAACGCGACGTAGAGAGATTTCGAAGGATCCTCTTACCTGGAGGAACTGCCGACACTGCTTACACTGGCACCGTCAGCTGTTCTCCTTTGCTCCCTGGAGACGTCGTAGTCCGTGATATCGTTTTCGGAAGTGTCAGAGTCGCTCTGCCGCGACGTCGTCGACGGTGGACTGAAATGACAGTCCACCGGAGTTATCACCGTGTCATCGGGCTCCTGATAGTATCTATGCAACGCGAAATTTAGATCTCACGCTAACCGCTCTTCTCTAGCCTTAGGGGAAAAAGAATCGGCCGATCGGATCGTCGATCTCCGGATTTATTTGTTCGCTGGACGAGCGCTCAACGAATTCAGGGTATCCCAAGGCCGTCGACGGATTCCTTCTCCCTAAGCCTAATGTTCGAGAACGAGTGACGCCTACCGCTTATAGCCCCTCTCCAAAGCTCTAGGCGAAATCGCACGTTAGCATTCAGCGGCTAACAAGCGCAGAGAGTGTTCGTCGATGGGCAATCTCTAAATCTTTCCTAGTCTTGTTGTTGCAACAGGCAAATGATTGCGCAACAGCGATCGTGTCTCATACCAAAGCCATAAAGTAACGAAGCGCCCTAATCTACGACCCGAGCCGACAGTGGCATACCTAATGTGCTGGTGTTCCCCGTGGCTGATCAAGGAATGCCACTCCGGTTCCTCGTCCAACCGACTGGTCGCCAGCTCTATCACCACCTCCCCGAGGAAATCGTTCGCGTCGTACTTCCCGTAGTCCCACACCGTGATCTCCAACGCCCTTTTCCTCAGCTCCTGCCTCCTGATTCCGTCGTAGACGAATGTCTGATCCCACTTCGGGTCGTTCGTGTTTGCCAACGTTTTCGTGCGTCTCTTCGACTTCTCGCTGCATCGACAGTGCGACAAAGAGGTTACGCTCCGATACGCTCGCGGAATTGATACGTAAATGGGGCGATACCGCGATCGATGTCGAACATTAACCAAAGAGTTTTCGTCGGGGGCCAACGGTGGGGGACGAACAAGAAAATAAAACTGCACGGTGAAGTTCGAGAACAGCGGAATTGTTGGCAACGCGGCCAAACTCAACGGCTATCTTTCTGGCTCGAGAAACCACTTCTTCGGGAAATGATTCATTTTAAGAGACGACGGCTCTAATCTTCGACGTCGTACTGGCTTGCGTATTTCTCGCGCGGGCATTAAACCGCGTGCAAGGCGTTAGCGACGATCTCTATAATTGATTTCGCGCGGGCCAAGTAGTAGCGTCCGATCTCGGTCAGACGCTCGCGAATACGTTCGACTCGTGGGCGTAACACGTTCTATGATGTTATCTTCGGACGAAGAAAAACACGATGACTCGTGTTCTTCTGCGTTTTTCGCTGGCTCGAGACTCAAGAAACACGTCGATAGTTCTTGGCTGGGTCTTTTTCCCGCATCGCGTACGATATTGCATGCGCTGTCCTGGACTAGTTTGCTCACCTCTTATCCGGAAGCAGGAAGATCTTGGCGTAGGGGTTTCTAGGTTGGCCGTTGCTCCTGGGCGTGAGTCTCGTCGCGCAGATCAACGTGACGATCAACTGAAGCGCCACAGGATCAAAGCCCACTTGCACCTGCAGATTACCACCGACGTTTGTGTTTCCGATGGTGTGTCGAAAGTTCCTGACGCGTCCCTGAGCGTGCAGATCCGGCGAGCCAGGCGATGTCACTAAAACCGAAGGTTTCTCGCGCCTCGCGTCGTATAACTCTGCAAGTGATCGTTCAGTACCGTCTAGGCTTTAGATTTTCTCGGCTAATTTGGGATCGTTCGGACGGTTGAATGGGCTACAAGGAAAGGGGGTGTCATACAGATGCAAAGTGGACGAAACTCTTCGGTGAACAAAGGAGTCACATCGAGGACAAGTAGGTACAAAATTTAGAATAAAAAACACACACGCGCGCACACACACAGAAATAGGCTTGATGATTGGACATTTTTGGAATTATTAAGTACAACAGGGGTTTCAAGAATTATTGATTCGAGTTGGGGGACGTACGAGGAACTTAATGCAAGAAACACATGACAAAATCATTTTTTTTAAAACATTCTGCAACGACTCGAATTGCAGTGATTCGACGATAGGATTCGTTCGACCAACAGGATCTACATTTTATTCGAGTCTCGATTATTTTAAGAATTCTACGTGACGATCGAATCACTGCAAGTTTCTCCGGAACGCGTGACTTCCCTTCATCGCCAAGTGCAATGGAATTTGCGGGCAGATACATCCATTCCTCGGAGGATATCGCAATTCACGTGCAGGATACTCTCGAGCTGCTCAAAGTCAAAAGTAACGCATCACTGTAGATGCATTGAATGCTGGTAGATTATCGTGGAGGCGATAATACTTCGCGGATGCGTGCGCGTTTAACGCGTACCCCGCTACCTGGGTCGGAAGTGCGATACACATCAGGAGTGTTGCGTTCTCTTCGTTCGGACCCTGAAGGCATTAGTCGTTACACATGAAAAACAAGCCATCTAGCTATCGTCGAATTATGAAAAATACCGCTTTGCATTGTTAATTTTTCCTACTTCTTATACGTATCTTGTTTCCGCTTGCGGTTAGTCGAAGAAAATAAAATAGTTTAAGTATCACTAAAGCTAATAAAATAACGCCTGCGATCGTCGTTCAAATATCTTTTTACCAATATTACAAAGACTTTCGATGCGTGGTGTAAGTACCTATAAAAAGAAATAGGTAATCGCAAAATGGCGCACCATACACAAAAGGCGTTAAATGTTTGGTCCATCCAACGTGGAGAAATACGAAACGACACAGATGCGATTAAACGTTCGTACAAAGAGTCACTTGTCTCAAGTTGTTGCTCCCATAAAACTATGTTCGTAAAAATGACGGTGTTAGCGGGGGGTGCATTGGCACTACTGTCTACGTTCTACGGTAACATCGATGGAATACACAAAGCGGGTTAACGGTTGTCAAAGTCTTTTGATGTTTGATCGTTCAGCATAGATCTCGTTGTTGTGCGTTAAGGCTATGGATATTACTCGGTTCTCTTTAGCAAAAATGGCAAATGTTCTCGTTTACCATTTCTCGCATCGCGTATCTGTTCGTGTCCGTCGCAAACAAAAAAAAAAGTAAAGCGTGACTGGACGGGAATAATACGACACATAGTCGGACAAGGAGAGAGAGGGGACATCGATTACTTAGGATCGAGATTTAAGAAATTTGAGGCCTACCCCATAGAATACATTTCTTAAGACCTGAAATACGAAAAAGCATATAATCTGTGACAATATAGCGTCGTTTTCAATGGGCTTAACTGTAATTATGTCTACTTATTAATAGAGAGACTCGAAGTTTCTCAAAATTCTTGCACAAACTATTGGTCGATTTGCAGCATCGTGTTTCGTGATTGCACTGTTTTTGGAGGATACGGTGAATCGCATCTCGCACAATTAGCGCTAAACTTCTCTATTCTACGTGATACTACGTCACGATACGTGTACACAGGAATTCGTTGAACGATGTATTTGCGTTCGCGCGTAATTCGTGATAGAAATTGGGTCGGACAGATTCCATCGAGAATAACAAAATTGCGTAGGAGGTTTCGTTTTCGAGAAAATTGAATTAAAGTGCCGATCGAGCAGACGCGCAGTTAATTAGAGGGTCGAAGGTAATATTTTGCGTTGGAGGAACTGAATATTCGTCGTTCAACGATTGCCCCGCACAAGGGGTTACGCATTAAAAGTCAACCAAGAATACGCACCCCTTGAAACAACTACTATACTCGTTCACAGCAAGTCCCATAGCACATCCTAAGTGTTATCTATCGCGAGCGAGTACTCGTGGTACTCAAGCCTTCGCGAAGCACACAGTCTACCATCTCTACTGTCTTCTCTAAACACGTGGTTACGCTTACGCTCCGGGACAGCTTAAACTATCTTTTTAATCCCCGTCAGCGATGGCGGGGCGGTATACACACACTACAACTCGTATCGGGGGCAAGAAGAGAGACAGAGAAGAAGAGAGAACGGTCGAGAGCAAATCCTGAGAGCGTGTTCGGGGGAGAAACAAGACGAGAAGGAGAGAACGGAGACGAGGGGGAGTAGCGCATAGTCACCTTTGTGATGCGGTTGCTGCGGCCCGGGAATCGTCTCCGGGTGCTTTTGTCTCCACTGGGTCTGCGCAGCGATCCTCCTCGGTGCCATCGGCGTCGAAGGCGTCGGCCCCGCAGGCATCGTCGCCGGCGCCGTCGTCGCAGACAAGTTCCGCGAAACTACTAGCTCCACTTGGGGCTCCTGTCTCGACTCGGCGATGATTTCGCAAACTTCAAGGGAGCTCTTGTTTTGAAGAGACCTCCTGTTCCACTTGATCACCTCGTCACCTGAAATCGTCGAGTGTCCGGTCGGTTCCTATTGGATCGCCTCGGGGACGGGACGCGAGGGATTTATTTACTCCGGACAGGGTGTCTCTCGATGATCGACGCGACTCGGACGACAGTAGTTTCGGTTGGACGTTTTTTTTTATGGAGCAAACGGTTCTAAGGAAAAATCCTGACTCGGTCGTTTCTTGCTCCGAGTGATCTGGCTCTTTCTCGACCGTTTAAATTGCTTTTGCAAGGCTGTATCGTTCCAAGCAAACTATCTTATTAAATTGCTGCTGCTCTCTTCGATCGCGTACCGATATTCAACATTCGAAATAATTTTAAAAGTTGAAACGAACGCGAATGTAGAAGGGCGCAGAAACGTTATAGAAATTTAGCTATCTAGACGGTCGATAGATCTTTTCCGGTAAGCTTGAAATCGCGCGTCGGTATTAAAGATTCAAACAATTGATTGCCTTTAGTGAATTCTTATCGACTATAGGGTAGGCGAAGCGTGGAAGGTGACTAACCAGAAGCGATTCTCGTAAAAGGGACAAGGAATATAGAGAAGGCGAGTCCTAGGCATTCGGATCGGGTTAAATTTATCGTCTTACCGGGTCTCAGTCGACCTTCCATGTCGGCCGTACTACCCTTCTTGACCTTCTCGATGACTGCACCCGTAAAGCCATTCTCCAGCAGCTTCCCGCCGACGACTTTCAGCCCGAGTATACTACTACTGCTTCCGGAACCAGGCTGTTTTCGCAACACCATATGGCCAATGAGCTTCTGGCCGTCTCTGCTCACTTGCCAGGATAACGGATGCTACGAAGCGCGGAGAGAATGGGTTTTGTTTTCTTTCGTTTCATCATCAAAGCGTCGCGTTCTTGTGAAATGAGGGGAAACACGGTGCCCGCGCGTCGAAATTCAGAAATCGACGCGTCGAGTGCTTCGATTCTCGTTCGAGATACTCGCGTGGCAACGTCGATTTCCAAATTTCCAATGTGGCAAGATCGATCGCTATGCAAGTGGTTCGTAAATAGACTGTGATGTTGATGATTTCATTAGCCGATATCCCTGGAAAAATATCCTGCGCTCTTTCCCTGATTTCGAAACGTTCCTCAAGCACCGCGAACGTTTAGCATCGATTTCGATTACTCGGTCGCAAAATATTTTTCTCGCGGATTACTCTGACGAAAAGGAAAGCTGAAGAGAATGAATCTCTCTAATAGTGTTATTGGCACAGCGGAAGATACTCGAACGATATCGGCAACGACGAATTAATCGTTATGTTAATCAATTTTGTTGGGAGAAAATTTTAATTGATTGGAAATGCGCGTTCGAGTATCTTCCAAACGGAAAAAGCGTCCGCTACCATGTGATTCTACTAGTTCTAGGGTGGAAGTATGATAAAATGATCAAGCTTGACAAAGGAGAAAGCTGTCTTACACCTAATGCGTGTCTAAACAGTATGAACAAATCGCTAAATCATGCTCTACAACATGCTTTCGACGAGCACACGAGCAAAAAGCAACAATCAGTCCCTTCGAACTCCAAATATCCAAAGTCTCCGTGGTTTTCAGGCATGCAACAATTGCGTGATCATAATCAAGTTGCGTAAAAATCGTGGAAGTGAAGTTTCTCTGTCGAAGAGCGACTCGATTCATCTGGTGGATCTACTTTAGGGAGAGGGGTCGCCTCCTTCCGGTTTCCAGCCAATTGTGTCGATTTGTGGTTACGTTACAAATTCACAGTTGCCGTTAAATTGCGTGAAAAAACTGATTTTACCGAGAACCTTTCCTTCGATTGCGTTTCGACTTCTCTGTTAGCACTTAAAAGTTTCGCCCACGATAACAATATCGACGTTTCGACCCTGCCCTACGAAAATATTGTCTAACTTCGATATAATTGGCTGCTTCAAGCTCTTATCGGTTTCTTCTATCTGGCGCTCTTTTCCGATTTAATTTTAATTAAGAGAGTCGAACAAGCTCGTGCTACCAGCAAGACAAAATTACCTGTTTTCGTTCTACGAAACAGTAATTAAATATTGTAGAAAAAAAGTAATGCTCGTTAAATGCGGACGAGGTAAACGAACTTGTTCGAAACGTCTATTACAAGCTTGGACGCGATTTTTTAGTAAATCGCGATTCCTTTTATTGTGGCATCCGGAACGCGCAACGTAAACGCTTAGAACTATTCGGGCGAAAGGTTGTTTTCCTCAGCTCATTTCAGAGCACAGCCAATTACATCCATTTTTCGTCTCCGTGGTATTGCTGAAGTCGCGGATTTATCGAAAAACACCGCGAAACTGATCGACAAGGGCTAACGAGGTCTTCGAGACTCGCCGCTTCGGATATCCTTTGGCCGTGTTCCAATTCGATTAATTATGAACCAGGTATGTCTCTCTTTCGACAACCTGACATCCTTTCGATCCCTTTAATTGAACATTTCGGGTCGGTAGCGGCTCATGAAATCGTCTGGGATTCTATGAACCGGCAATCGACACACGGTCGAGAATGAAAACGGTACGATTTGACGCATTCGAGCCACGGTATCGTTCCTAAGAACAAGATAATGATCGTATCGTACTTTAATCGAGGGTAAAGTTCAGATAGAAACTGAGAAAAAGGACGCGCTTGAAATTTAAAAGTAAAGCGAGACGGATAGTGTCTCGATGGACCTGTGTTTTGAATTTAACTATAATATGTTTAAAAAATTCAAGTTCCAAGAACAAGGAATTTGTACTAGAAGATAATAATGAAGTGAAAAAAGTAAGATTGACGATCGAAAGAACCGACGACGTGAAATTTTGACGGATATTACGTCAGTGTCACTCTAGCGAGTGACATACGTTTGTGGCAAAAGAATAAAGGCAATTTAATTTCCTGCGGTCGCGTGTTCATTATTCTTGATCTTTGTCGCAATTTCGAGCAGCCCGTAACCGATATCGTTTATCAATGAACGAGTTTCTCGTTGAATAGTTTTTTTTTTCCACGCAAGAAAAATTACATTTAATCGTCACTCCAGTCTCTGGCGAAGGGGTCGATCTTGATTTTGTCGAAGGAGGTACATAAGACGATCCGTCGGTAGATAAATTGCTCGATTGCCGTCCGTTTACTCGGACCGAATTTAATCTTGCTTATTTGCCTCGCATAATTGGAACACGGCCTTCCACCGAGTTTCCTGTCTTCCTCCATTTATCGAACGATGATCCGTGACCGGGAAGTGTGGGTTGCGAGATGGGAGAGGGTTGGGGGAGTTTCGCTGACGCGAGTGCACGCGATTTCGTGACCGTGCGGGTAATCGTTCGTTCCTGTTGAGGGAAAACGATCTCCGGCGAGATCAAGACGCAAGGTAATTGTAGAAACTAAAGGAGAACGATCGAGAGATATTTTCACCCTCGGAATGGGACTCGAAAAGTCGGCCAGCAATACCGATCGCGTTACAGCCGAGATTCGAAGCAACGGCCGAGCATTTTTTCGTCGTCTTTGATTTGGACAACCGTTCCAAATTCTATCGATAATAACAGCTTTATTGCTTCCTCGATTCATATTAATGAATTAATTTTTTGATTCGTGAAATTTCGTGCAACCAATCCAAGATCTGGGTCATGTTCGTGTGTCGGATTCTTGGTGATTCGACGTAGAATCAGATTCACGGTGTAATCGCGGATCGCATCGCGCGTAATTTTTAAAACCGCCAACGATCTCGTCGGGGAGCAATTTGTGTCCCGGAGATCGCCCTTAATTCTCAAGTTCGCGGAACGTTTGTCAGAAACGAACGATTAATCCGACAAAGTGATCGGGGTCGCCGATGTGCTTCCCGGTTCCGCGAGCTTGTAACTCACGGACAACTGCTCGTTCCGTTCGACCGATTTCACGAGAATCAGACAGACAGAGGAAAGCGAGGGGGAGTTGTGGAGGGGCTCGAAAGAGTAGGTTCGTACGGTGCGGATCGAAATTCGACCGCCGATTTACGAGGTCGTATAATAACAATAACGGATAATCGAACCGTGGTTTGCCCATCGACCGTCCCAACGCCAGTATATTGACAAATACATCCGCGCAAGGAGACTATTGGAAAAGTAACGTACGAATGGAAGCTGGCCACCCTGACGAACAATGACGGACGATGATGCCAAACGCGCTCTATTTTCACGCGATGATGCCGAACATTGCACATATTCAGGCTACCGATACGACTAACTTTTCGTATGGTCCGAGCGTAAAAAGTTGACGGAACGACCGTAATTGAACATTGGTACTTCGAAAGAACAATGTGACACCATCGTGGCAATCGATGGTTGAAAAAATATAATGGTTCCCGTGCGGAACGGTGCTCTGTTTCGTTACCGAGCCTTCCTTTGTCTTTCGGATATTTTAACGGAAAACATCCGAGGAGGTTGGAACGGAGAGAACAGAATGCAGCTTAGTTTTAACAGTCGCAGAGAACTACGCAACCGAAAGTCATTATCGCGCGAAAGAAATACATTTTCAATTAGCACGCGACGCTCGCAATTTCGGATCGAAACGACTCGGTCGAACGAGGGTTTCGTCAAAAATTTTATTAAACGCGTTCGCACCCTCCCGCCTCTGACCCCTATCGTTTAATAACGTGAAACGATACATTGTTCCGGGCCTCCGCGCGAGATGTATCGTGTGGTGAATGAACAGTGGTAATGTCAGTAGTGAAGGGAAGATGAGAGTCGTGTACCGCAAACGAGAAACCTCCGTGCGAAACCTCTCTCTGTTGAGAAATTTGCGAAGAACGTGAAGATCGGTAACTGAGGGCAAACACGTTTCTTCGATATCGATGCATCGCGAATAGTTTGATCGAACGAGATCCAACGGCGTCGATATACGTATAGATCCGTCGAGTTTAACGGCGATTAACCGTCGCTTCGAAAATATGGAAGCGTTATCCGCGGAGTAACTAAGTTAAGAGAGACGAGAGACAAATGAGAGAGAATGATCTTCGCGAAGAAAACGATGGCGTCCTATTTCTATGTTATTAAATCACGGGACAAAGTCCCGAGACCTTGTCGGCAGTGAGAGAACTCAAGACTCATGCGAATGTGCGATTATCTATGTTGCCAGGAACGCTGCATTTCCGTCGTGTTCGACGAATGCTCTCGCTCCGCGACGCGTGACGGTGGTTAAGACTTAACAAAGAGGTCCGAACTTGCACGTACAACAACAACAACAACCAGATTACAAACTATAGAAGTGTGCGTCCGGAGTAAAGTCGTAACGAAAAAGATGGATCCAAGCACGGAAGCCTTCAAGCCCGAAGTTTGAGGATAAATCGAGCAAAAGAGGTTTCTTGATCGCGAAATCCACATATAAGGAATGATTAAGAGTGGTGGATCGTTGAATGTTTCAAATGAGACGCATCGAGACGCGCTGACGACGGGATCTTTCTCTCCCTGAAACTTCGGCTCAACTGGCATTTGACGTGTATTAACTATTAACCCTTTGGTTGCGCGTTGTCTTCGATAAAGCATCTAATAACTACGCGCATGGTACTATGTATATTCGATCGACGACTCTTTAAAACCAGGGATCGAAGAGGTTCAAAATTAACTATCGATAACTGTTGTATAAAGGTATTGACCGAGAGATTTTGGAATCTATATTGCGAGAGTTTTCAATCCCTGTTTATAGAGAAAGAACAGAGCACCATCCCGTAGTGAAAGTAAAATAAGAATGTAATCGCGCGTCGGCAACGAAAGGGTTAAATTGAAACGTTTACTAAATACTACGCTAGGTTACATTAACCAATCGAATCAGGCACTAACGGACCAAGGATAGTCCTCTCTCCGCTAAAGCTATGAAAGCAAGGACCAAGGAAGAATAAACCGTATTCCACTTTGGACGACAGACCCGTCGCGATTTAGCGCCAGAAAACTGGGCAGAGCTTGATAGAGAGATAAGCATACTAAGACGCGTGGTTTCCCGGGAGGAAGGACGCTCGCGCGACAGAGACCCCTTTTACTCGATCCACCGCACCGGTTTCCTAATGTCTAATCGAAGCGACTGCCTGGCCGTGCCGCTCGAAACGACTGTGAGCGCAGCACGATGGAACTCTACCCTCTGCGACCTACAAGCAGTTCTCGACGTTTCATCGACCGTAAAATCGAGTAACGGGCCCCGTACCTTGGGCAGGTCGCCCCTGTTGCTGTCTTCACTGCTCGTGAAGGTGCTAGAGGTGTCTATTCCGGAGTCTTTGGTCGCGCTGTCTTGGCTACCCTGTCGATCGGCCTCCCAAGACCAATCCTCCTGAGGGCCGCCGACATTGGTCCCACCGTCAAATCGCACTGTCTTTTTCCCCCTCCTTTCCGTGAACCTGATGGACACGCCACATACACAGAGATACGAGACGATGTACTGTATGTGTGCCTGCGAGTGACTGTTTGCGTGTACGTGTGCGTATTTGTACCGTGTTCCTTCGTGAGTATCGCCCCCTCCTTCTTCTCGAACGCGTCGCGACGGAGGAGGCTCTCGATCTGCCGCTCAACGATTCTCGATCCCGAGTTTGCCAGGAATGGCGAGTCCACGTCTACGCGTTCGACCGTGCGAGATTATCGGAGACAGTAATCGCGAGAATGAAAGAAACGTGGAAAAATTTAGCTGCCAGGTATCGCCAGAAACTGACAATCCCGGGACTACCGACGCAACCACGAGATGAAAGAAATGGAAAGTAAAAACTAGTAGACGACGACAAAACGCACGATTCGCCAATTTTCAAAACGCACCTCCTACTGTCGCCGCGCCACTCGTCGCCGCTCCTTCGGAAGCTCCGTCTGACGAGAGTGCTCTCCTCTTTTCGCGGCTCTCGCGGTGGATGATGACCGTTATATTCGATGGTCATCGCGCCCGTGTTGTGGTGCCCGTTGTGGGGTCCATTGTGCCTACGTCCACCGCCGGACATTGACATCGGACCTCCCGTATGGTGGTAGTACCCCTTCCCTACAGTAGATCCAAAACGTTTCGTTTCCTCCATTCTCGGTTATCGATTTAAACCGTCACATTCTTAACGCTATCGCTGCCTACGCTCTAATTTTCCACCCATCTTTTACGACGCTCCACGCGATACGTATTACTTTGTTTAGTTTTCGGTCTTTACCAACACCAACGCGACCCCTATACACTTTGCTTTTTTCTCTTTCCAACGCCCCTGACAAGACGTTACTCGATTTACGTTATCCGCATAAAAATCCACACCCTACGATAACACACTGTTTTATCGCCTTTCCGTAGCTCGAATCTATCGATTCCTACCGTCCATCGTTTCTTTCTCCTCCTATCTCTAAATGTACTGTAGCGGACATTTATTACTTACGGTACGCGTCATATTTTAATTTCCAAACTGTGTACGTGTTGCCTTGGGAAGCTTGCAAAAATATCGAAACTATATTACTGTAGAATTTCAACTTTACAAGTTTGCCATTCCACGAATTAAACATTTATCTTTTCGGTTGTTTTAAATATTTTCGCAAGCCACCCAGAATAATAGACGCGATTTAAAAATGAAAATGTGACTTGTACGTAAATAAATGATCGCCACTGTACGTACGGTCACTGTATCGCGATATAGCTGCCGAAAACGGGCTAAGACAGCGGTGCAGGCTTGCCCCTCGGGGAAAAGTGTGAGGAACGGTGCTCGAGCGAACCGGGAGCCGTCCAGATTCGCGTCGCACGGCTGCCAGAACGCTATACCACCGGTATACACGCGTCGATGTGCAGGGTATGTGTCTGCGAGAGAGAGAGAGAGAGAGAGAGAGAGAGAGAGAGAGAGAGAGAGAGAGAGAGAGAGAGAGAGAGAGATAGTAGATAGAGAGATACGAGAGATAGACGAGAGACTGCGAGATGAGCGAGCGCGAGAGCTAGTTGTTTGTGTGGTTTTTGGTGTTTGGTGGGTGTGTTGTATGTGTGTGTACGTACGTGTGCGTGCACAATAGCGATGCCACCTCTCGAAGGACAACCACCGAGACATCCGGTTCCGGGTCTCGTCGCTTCGAGCTACTTCGAGGAACAACTAGCCGTTTCGGGAGTTTGTCTATGTTGCGTCCGTTCGAGAGAACAGCGACCAACGAAAAGGGATTCTGTACGCTCGGGGAACACGACGGAGTTAAACGCGAAAGAAATTCCTCGACGATTCAATTAACGGAATCGATCGTAGAAACGATACATCGCGCGACTCGGAAACGCAAGCGTACAAGAATTCATGGACACGGGGCAAAAGTTTCGAGGTACCAAACGAGAACACGGGTGGGAAACGCCCACCGTAAAGCGCGCAGCATCGCTGTGGGGGACGTTACGCGTCTTCCAGACGAACATCGAGGTAACGGAATGTGAGAATGTCGGGAGTATCTGGTGAACGATACGTGTACGTGGCGTGGGTGAGGTGTAAACGATATATAGTATACCTGTGCACGATTCGTAGCCGTCCAAAGTAGAACAAATAAAATCTGTTACAGCTCTGCCGACCGATCGCACTTGGCGATCAAGACATTTGTGCGCGCATCCGGTTTCGAAATTTTAACGACTCGACTCGAGCTTTCGCACGTTCTTTCGATCGTAGTGGCTTTTTCCGTTAGAAAATCGATCGTGACAGGCTATCTATCGCCTCCCAAGACCTCGAACAGCGACAGGAGACGGGCGTCGAGGTGAAAACGTATCGCGAAAAATCGCAAAGAAACCGCGGATATTTTGCCGAAAGTGATCGGTAAATGCCGCGTAGCCGCGCACATGTCCCAATCGTTCGCTCGTTTTCGGACGTCGTTAGGCCAACCGAAAAAACTCCGATCCGGTCGAATAAACTTTTCAAAAAAGCCTTTACTGAATTTTCGGAAAACGCGGTACGGTCTTTTTCCGTCCGTGACACGGTATAATCCGCGACCGGTCGGCAGATGACGTACACACACATGCACACGCATACGCAGAGATTTACATATAATATATATTTAGGTAGATATATATATATGTATGCGATCGGTTCATATATATATATATGTATGTATGTATATAGATAGATAGCGGAAAACGAACTGCCGTATTTGCATTTGAGAAAATTAGTAGGTACCGCGAGAAATTGACGATTCATTCTGTCCCCGGCCTTCTCCCTCGAGCTCCTGGAAGTCACCACCATGGACGGCGGTTTTTCCCCTAAAAGGCGATCTCTCTTTAAGTCACACATGTTCCACGATATGCATGGCGTCGCTTATCGCTAGAGTTAAAAACAGAACACGATAAGACCGCTTGAAATGCCTCGTGTACGGTTTTCACCGGCCGATGGAATCTAAAATTCTCCGCGCGAATATCGAACATGCGGAGAACGCATGTCCTCGAAAGAAATCTCTCGATAAAAGTACCGCTACTTGGATCACAACGGGTATATAGATCGTTCGTAACACTGGGATCATCTATATGCTATGCTCGGTTCGATGCAAACAGAGGGGTTGGGGGTAGGGGGAAGGAGTAGAAAAGAAAATGATCACTGCTATGGAAACTGCACTATGTGTAACAATCGAACTCTGTACTAATGGTAATCGCAATATTGCAGGCAGTGTCTGGTGTTCTCGCTACGCGCAAGAAGTAACGTCGTTTCGTAACGATTCCGCCCCGGCTCGAGAATTCGATCTGGGTCGATTCTGGTGAGGAGAATCACCGGTAAAGGAAGGAAAAGGTCTGTCGCGTCGTCTCGTTCGTCGTGCGCGTCGCTGCAAATAAGGCAAACGACGACGCGTCGTAAAACTGGCAAATTGGTCATACGATCGCTACGCGAGACGCGCCGCGTACAGATATACCTCCCTTAATGCAACCCAATCGATGATTCTATCTTCTATCATCCTCAAGATATTTCCACTTTAACGATATTAATATGCCTACGCGTACTTTTGAATTATTTTTCACTCCACCAGCGAATCGCGTCTCGTTTTAGCCACCCCGACGAATGAGGTTGAACACGTTCGGAGATTAAAGCGCGACGATAATCGGTATTCCGCGCGATAGACGAGAATCCTTTGCATAATCAGCCCGGACGTCGCTACAAAGTGTTACGCGCAAAGAAACGTCCATACTGTGAAACGAGCCAGCCGGAGCACGATTCAAAGGGTGCTCAAAGCGTGTCCAAGGTAGGCGGGATAGTCACGCATCCGCAGCTATCCGATCCCGTAAACATGGGATTTTCTGCTAAACGACACTCTGTCCCGTAATAAATAGAAGGTTGCGCGCGACGAAGTAGCAAGGCGACCAGTAATCGAGCGCGAACTTGCCCGGTGCACGGAGGCGGCACGGAGTCTTAATTTAAAAGTTAGATGACACCGACTTACCGCGTATAAATCACTCCGGGATTTTACCACCTCCGTTCGCCCGTCCCCCTAACCTATCTCTGCTACCCCGGCCGTATCTCGTTCGCAAACGACTCGCGTTAAAAAAATCGCTGAATTTACGAGACCGATGTACCCGGCATAGATGCCACCAAGAGACCACCAGCCTTCGCGACAAATACCGAATTCTATGTTTGCACATACATTGACTCGGATTATTTTTAGTAAAAGAGAACGGTGAAGGGTTAATCCGTCGAAAAAAAGAAGAAAAGGAAAAAACAATCGATGTTTTGTTTCCCGTTGTAAATGTATATGCCCTCTTAACCGAATTACTTGTTTCGACGACGAACGAGACGAGCAAAGGGTAAAGTTCGAGACACAGAAACCTCGAGATTGAGTTGTCACGGTCCGCGAACGATATCGGCGTTAATACTCGGGTTACTACGAACGTCAGGGATTTTTTATTAGACGACCGGTCGCAGTAAAGTGCCACCGTATCGTCCACGATCCCAACGATATCGTGGTCCGTAACGCCGGCTTATTAAGTATATTAACGGACACGGAGTTTTCTGTGTCGGAGAGATGCGTCGTGACGTCAAGGAGGCACAAGAGAACGAAGGAGGGGGTTTTAATCTACGGGGACGCTCTTCATGAACGCCCGTCGCTCCTGAAAACGAATTAAAAATCTGTTTAATACAATTTTAGCCTGAACGGAGAAACGGTGGGAAGGGGGCCGGGGGGTTGTGGGGGTGCGGGAAAGGTCTTGAGCCGGACAGGAATCGTCAAAGGAGAGGTGATCAAAGACGGAGGCAGCGGGCTCCAATGATAGGCCAAAGCGTGGCCGTGACGATTTATCCTTCGCCTCCCTTCTCCTAGTCCGGCTGGGATCTGGTGGACGTCGCAGCTCGCGCCTCTCTGGAAATCCTCGTTAAGGGATACGCCGCGCGTAACGGACTTACCTCTCCAAAACTTCTACAAACTAATGTCTCTCTAGTCACTAAATTGTATCGTGTGCATCTACGAATGGGAGCAACAACGCCGTTCGACTGAGCCGGTCACTTTTATCGCGGCGACACCGACCCGAACGAGCATCCGATGTGCTCGTTCTCGCTTCAATGACACGCGACCGTTCGTCGCTAATTGCCGCTCTCGATCCTCTTTTGGCCGAAGAAATTCGCTCGAACGCAACTTGCGGCTCGATCGTTTCGTTCCTTGCGCTTATCTCGCGTCAAGATCGTTCTGCCGGGACGGTGCAATCGACTGGACGCGATGCTCTGCAAAATACTGTGCGTGCATCGCGGATGATTAAACGCATCGATCCGCGTTTAGAATGCTCGTAAAATTAGTAACGAACGCGACCGGCACGAGGCAACATCGAATAGAAAAATAAAAGAGTGGCGGCGGTGCAGCCGTGACTCGGGCAATCTCTGCATCGATTAGAATTAGAATTCATTGTATGCCGCAAGAGATGTTCCTTCTCGAGTTTCTTGCGAAACATTTTTGGGAAAAGCTTGTTGCGTTAACGGGCAAAGTAACGATCCCCGTTTCGGAGGAAAGGAAAAGCTATCCGAAACGCGATGCGCGTCGACAACGTCCCTAATAAGCACGGTCTCCGCATAGCGGCTGACGTGGCCCGACTATCTGCATCACCGCGTATGCACCAAACGTATAACTGCACTACTGCCGGCGCGAGCGTACGCTAGCGCACGATTTCGAAACGTTGTGTGCAGCCTACGTCCGTGAATGCAGGGAGCAGGTGTGCACGGCAAACCAGCAACGCGTCTGATTATACCGCCGCCCCGTGTTTTCAGAATCTGGCTGTTGGTAACTCCGTAGATGCGTTTTGTAAGCCTTTAAGCTGACCTTGTTCGGGTCGGACCTGAGACAACGGAGAGAATTATTTTACCCGATGTTAACGGTGACTTTTCGACGCGTCGAACTTGCTCCTTTTAAACATCGAGTTGCAAGATTTAAGAATTTTAAGATTTAAAAAGTGCACTCCGAGTGATCGTCGAACCTCGACCTCTTCGACATAATTTCAACAGACCGTCATGACACGGTACTGTGGAGGAAACGTCAGGATTCTGTCGGTGTTCTGGCGTATGCAAAGAATTTAAGAAAATTTTATTATCCAAATGAACGCAAAACGGAGCAGGAGCATATGCGATTTATTATATTTAACGTCCAAGACGATAGCTAGACTAAACCGTCGTGCGATGAAAAATCGATAGCATGTTCGTAGTCTAAACAGAGCCGTCGAGGAGGTTCTGTCGGAAGAAGAGAATCAGTTAAGTGCGTGACGTACGAACGAGACCATTTATGCAAAACTTAGCTCAATGCCGGAACGTTCGCACCCCGTCGAAATACCCTGCCTCGAAAAGATCCGACTCGAATGAATGGGATCGCTGAAAAAAAGAGTGTCGGTTTCGGTCGTCGGTACTTTTTGCTTATCTATGCCACGAAAATCAGCCCAGAAATAGCGAAGGAGCAGATGTTTAAGCTCGCCCACGTGTTGGTCGCGTGACGTCACGTCGGCTGTGTGGGCGTTGCGAGCGGGAGGCTCGAGAAGGGTGGTAAACGGAGAAACGGAGATAGAATGAGAAAGATGATGCGCGAAACGGGAATACTATACTGGAAAAGAGAGGACGCGCCAAGTACCGTCCACGGAAGAGAAGTTAGCTGACACGTCTGACCATTTACGATACTTCGTACAGATCCACTCTCCCGGGTTTATAGAAAGTAGATTATAAATATATGCTATACTTAATCAGACTCGCTAGTCGATTTTAAGATAGTATCAAAGATGAACAGAGTCAAGTCAAAGTTTTCTAAATATTTGGTTAAACGATCTAAACAAAACTAAAGAAAGACCGAAGAACAAAGAAGAGAAATGGAAATGGAATAGACGAGAGAGAAATAAAGAAACGAAATACAGGTGAACGCGAGGATGTAAATGAGAAAGACAGAGTCGTGAAACGTAAGAAGAAGACGCGGGTAGCGTAGATGTACGGGTAGCGAGGGAGAGAAGAGGATACCAAGGATCAATGCAACGACGAGACCGAGAGAGAGCAGAACCCGAGAATTCCCGCAGGATGCCTTGCGATATGCCGCGATACACGATCGAGGGGATCCGATCAAGGATTTAACGGCTGTAAGGATAGCTGGAATGCCGATCGGGAGTCCTCGCATCTCTGGCAAAGTCGATACTCGGCAAGAGGATTGAAGAAATTGGAAGAAAACTCCGCCGGCATGATTTTCTCAGCCTACGTTATCGCCCGCGGACGGAAAAACGAGCTTAGCTCCGCGTTTATGTTCCGACATCCGCTCTTTGCGGGAAACTCGATAGCTTCACGATGGAAACCTGAAATTACAAAAAATATTCGGTAAAGCAAATTTTTACGTTGCTTCGAACGGACCAACGTTGAAAAACTATCGAGGTAAGGGGGGTAGATACGAACGAAGAGACACGGATACTAGGGGAACGTTCCTAATCCGCGCGAGCCTCTCTCCTGATGATGCGCACCTCGATGAATCGGTTCACAGTTCGCCGATCTCGTGACTAATCAACTGTGAGCCAGGCACGTACGGTCGTGTATCCGCTCGAAACCGGCTCGAATGCGTCGCGCAAAAGCGACAAGCGACGGTGTCGAGTATTCCTGTGAACACAGGGGAGAACGCGCGGCATAACGACGGGATCCAGCGTCAGTAACCTAAATTTACTCATTAGCCAAGGGATGAACCCCGGGTACTCCTCCCCGCGCGCCGGCGCCGGCGCCTTCGCGATAATGCAGTATCGCTTTTCATCTGCCACTCCATTCGGCCCGATTTGCCTGCGCGGGCTAGACCTACTTTCCTATTTCAAATACTTCACCGACGCGAGCAATCCTCCTGCACCCGCTTCAGAGCGCTCTAACCAGAAATGCATTGCGCGCAATCTGATCCACACTGCCCGGCGAGACGTTTCATATTTTTTAACGTAACAAAACCACCATCTTCGGATTCCTGGCTATTCGAACGATCGACAAGAACGAATAATATCGCTAGATAGGGCTGTTTTCGCGATCGTTTCACAAGGTATCAATGCTCTCGCATCTTACGCGACAAAGATTCGATAAAAGTCTGGAACGTAGGTTTGCTCGTGTTCCGAAACTCGGTGCCGGGGTAGGTCTTAGACCAAGTTAGAACAAACTCTCCTCGTCGGAGCGGCTGAAGCGTTAATCGCTTTGTAAACACGCGTACGCGGCGACGCGCGAGCTTTTCAGACTGCATGAGCATCGTATCGGTCGATTACACTTTCCTTCGTCGGCTCGCCTGTAAATATCGCGATACAGGTGCACACGTTCTCCGTAAACCAATTATCCGCTGACACGGAAAGCCTGCGCTCTTCACGTGCAGCGAGTTTCAAGGGCAGAGCTGACCCTCCCGACCAGCTCGGCCTAACGTCTCCGTCGCAACCGCCGATTCTCCACCAGCAGCTTCTGACGGTAATTCGACGGTGGATTTGACGTTTAACCGCGTCCCAGCTAAATTATACGACCGATGTCGCGGGGATGTGACATTTCGAAAGAGTAACGGGCAATATTGCTGTCAGTGACGATGAACGTCTAAAGCGTCCGAGAGAAAGAGAACTTAAACGCGTCTCTGATACGAGATTGAACGTGCCCTGCCGGTCGTAACATCGAGATCGCTGCCTCGAACTTGGTTTTCTCGCGTATTTCTTCATTCTCCAAACAAGGCACCTCTACAACCATTTTCACGAGTATACAAGATCGAACCGGATCTATAGTTACGCAACAACTTTCGAGAGATCCAAAGAAGCAAATAACAAACACTTTGCCCGTTTTCGGACTCGAACCGAAATGTCACCCCCCCTCCTATGCACTGTCGTACTCTCTATTTGTCCAAAACATTTACCCAATTCGCGTCGCGGATCCTATTCGTGTTATCGCCTTGCGACAAATACTCTACGAAAATCTGGACTAAGAAAGAAAATTATTGATTCGGTGCGTTCTAGAACCGACTGACGCGAAACTTTTAAAATCGTTACAGGTTCGCATAAATAAAAGAAAAGATACTTACATGGGTAAATAACGATCGGGAGAGCTTCGAAAAGAAGAATCGTGAGGTAGAACCGACGTAAACGACGCGAAGACGATTTGTAACGCGGTCGAATCGACCGATCGCGTAATTAACCTCGATAATATTTTGCTGGTCGATGACCAGCTGGCGACGGTCTACGCAAGTATAAAATAAAATAAAAAAACGAACGTGGACTCACCCTTCTCTGACTCGTCAGGCTCGTCGCTAGCACACTCAGGTGTGCTTCGTTCTTCTTCGCTGCTGCTGAAGCTCCTTTGAGGCTGTAGAGCGCCCTGTCCACCCACGGATTGTGGGGGACGCGCGCTCTGCATTTGATGCACCGAATGTTGCTGAGGAGGATGCACTATGGATCGAGGTAGACCTGCTTCTACCGTCGGCTGACCATATGTCATTGTAAAATCCGTATTCTGATCCTGTAAAGCAAAACGGAGTCTGGGATTCACAGGGAGAACAAGTGTACGATTAGAACCCGTAGCCATTGGGCAGAAGACGTTTCGTTTCGGTCGTTTGCGTACAACACTTTGCACAGTACGCATTAGTTGTTTGGCGGCTGGAAAGGAGTAAAGAGCAAAAGGTGTAATCGAGAAAACGGGAGGCTCGAATACGCGCGTCAGTTCGTAGAGTCTGCTCGTGAGCTCGTTAATAAGGTTCCTTGGCAGAGCTGTTCGTTAAACTCGTGAACATTCGATTCGACTGCAGCGGACGATTGCTCTGGTAGTGAGTGCGAGAGATGGCACGAAAAATGTGCAGGATTCTTTGATCTTTACTAGTGATTTGATTGGTACTAGCTGACTCGATACATGATAATGGTGATTGCATACGGTGACTTCTAATTACAGCACGTAACGAGAACAAAAATTCTACATGATCGAATTCTACGTTTGCGTACTTTGGTCACAAGATAGTAGCAAAACTGGGGGTACTACTAATTGTAAGCGACTAAAATTCTACTTCCTTTCGATCGCTAATAGATCGTAAGGTCGATCGAACGAGCAAGTAACTAGAACCAGGATAAAGCGGACATCGAAAATCCACCGTTCGTCCCGATAACTTCGTTTCACGGATCTTCCGGAAACTGCTCGTTGAGAGGCCTCGTCGAGCACCGCCTACGCAAGAGTATCGCTCGGCGGCGCTCCTACGCGTTCGCAACACGTACGGAGCGGAGCAGCGTACTTGTTGAATGTTTAATTTCCAAGTCTCTCTCGCAGTATACATATATCCAGCATTAACGTCATCGGATGTTCGAACGAACGAGCCAATCGAGAACCAGTCCTCCTTACCGGGTAGATCGGTCGTTGTCGCTGGTAGTTCTGCTGTTTCATAAGACCGTCGATCTCCCCTCTGTAGAGATTCGGATCATCCTCGGCGTACGCGTCCGGATGCCTCGGCGGCTGCTGCGTTTGATGAGAAGCTACGTGGGGCGTCGGCAAGGCTCTCGAATGAGGCGAAACGGACATATCCACTCCGCTATCGTTCATCGACAGCCGACGTACTGGGACCTGAAATCGCCACGAGGAACTTCCATTTGTCGTACGAGAGGGCCCCGGGGTCTGCTTCATCGCATGTGGGTTGCAATAGTGGGTACAAACAGTGCTATGGTTGCGTTATTGTTTCATCAGCATGGTAGAAATATGCACGCTTGGGTATTCGTAACTTTGGACGATTCACTGTTTGGCAAGATGAAGAATTTATGGTTCGAGGAACAGAACGACTCCAAGAAAACGTTACGTTAGATATCGTACAGTATACTGCGTTATCGAATCGTCCAAAGGTACGGTGATTAGGATTTGTGATAATGAAATAGCGAGACACGGTGATATGTATCAATGGCATCGGCTTGTTTCGATCGAGTTCGTTTCATACAGATAGCGAAGTGTATTGCGGTAGTTTTCATTGTACATCCAGAGCAACAGTGCGTGCACGAGTGCTATATTGACCACAGGGACGCGTCTCTGTAGTCAAACATTTAAATGAATGATGAGAAAATCGTACTTGCTCTTGCTGAGAGTACTGTCTTCTGAGCAGACTTCCGCTCCTTTGTAACAAGGGCAAATTCTCCTTCTCAGCCGCGCTGTGCGCTCTCTCGAGTTTCGGTCTTTTATCCTGAGTTTGGTCCACGAGTCCCGGAGGACCACCCACCTGCATGTCCTGCATCCGTCGCAGCATCGCGTTGTCCACGGTAGCGAGGCCCGATTTCGTCATCCATTTTCCAGTCGTCGACAGGAGTTCTTGCTTCTTGCGGCATAAGATACACGACCATATCACCTGAAACCACAATTAATTCCACATCTCCGATCACAACGACTCGATATCTCGCGAATCACGAGATCTCGGAATATCTTATCAACATCAAAAGTAAGAAAAGTCCATCGAGAACCTAGTGTTCTACCGAAGAAACCTCGATAGCTTCAACAATGATTAAGTACGGCGTAATTTGAATTTCGATACTATTCAAAGAGCCGTTTCGAAACCCCATCGTACGTTCAATAGTAATTTAACTAAAATAATCTATAACTCCGAGAGGGGAAAAGAGAGAACGAGGGAAAGAGTCCTGGAACTGATCGATCCAGGTCACTGCTTGTAGCGAGGATATTAATAGGAAATTATCTATAGGAAGTCGACCAGTTACGATGCTAATTGGAAACGTATAAGCCAAAGTGCGAGGTTCAATTTGCGGATCTTAAGAACGTGCGTTCTATGCGGTCGATTAACTCGCGTAACGTATGTATTCTTTGACGTTGGCAATAAGGTAAAAGACCCAATACTTGGACAGGCCCTAGTACTCGAACTCTAACGTTCATTATATCCATTAAAGAATAATTTTTCGCAAATTGCGAGGAGGGAAACTTTATCTATTAAAAATACGCAACGCCCAGAGGGGACAGTAGACTGAACAGACAAATTTTTTTGACGCCACTATTCGGGGGAAAAAGTAGGAACTCCGTCAGAGAGAAATTGTAAAATTCCCCTTAACCAAGTCTTGGCTCTATGGCGGGCCATCGCCTCGGGGTAAATTCTTATGCAAATCCACGTTCGCAACTCCAAGTAACGTTAAATTAAATCAAACGGATCTGTCACCGATGCAGTTGCGTAGCAGCCAACGAAAATAGCGAGTCTACCGATAGATATGCGATTACGTTAGGATGACACCGAACTATTACGCGACGACGAACGATCGACGAACGGAAACGTTGAACGAAATAAAAAATGATACGGTTCCTTCCACGACTAGACGTTACAGTGAAGTTCGAAGACGCGACGACCAGCCAAGAACATCGCCGAGAGGAAAGCGAAATCGAGCGTCTCTAGCGAAAAGCACATTCTTCGAGGCAACCATTCACGGCGTGTACAATAAACGAAGGCTAATAATTAGCGGGCCAGAGCGGCAGTCGAACGTTTTGAAGGATGAATAGGCCTGCGGAATACTCCATCAAGATAAAGCGTGATGGATGGACCATTTAGAAGCAAACCATAAAACAATGCCCATACCGGTTCCCATCGATAACACTTTCCATGCCCATTCACGCGTATTATTGCGCCAACTATAATGGCGCGACCAACGCGGCGCAAGGACAGAGCGGCTCGTTTCGCCGTTGAATTACGAGCATGCTTTTCAACATCCCGCCTAGTCGACGGAGATTAAAACGCGTTGTCGAGCTATCAACGAGCCAAATCATCCAGTTTATAGAAATTCCACTCGTAGCAGTTCCCTCTTTTCCTGACTTTTTTCCAACGGACTCCCCTTCATCTTTCGTTGCGATGACCTCCGAAAGATCGAAACTTCCTGGCAATCGGTACATTTGGCCGATAAACAGAACTCGGTTAACGCGAAATAAGTAGAACGCGATAGTTGGTCACCGAATACCTTCTTTCTCGTCTATCCCGGCGTGAACAGCTTCCACGTGGACTACAGGGGGCCAGACGGTGGTTCTAACTTCTCTGACTACTAAGTTTTATTCGAAATACATCAAAATGGCGTTTACATACCTTTCGCTAACCACTAAACTGCTCCAAGATCACGATCACACAGCGATGCGTATAGAAACACGGTCGATCAGACACTGTGATGCGAATTGGAAGACACCGACATTTTCCAAGAGTTCGCAGAGACATTAAAACTTTATAACATCCAGGTAGTTGTTAACTGCTTGGGACTTGGAATCCAAATTTTTCGATTCCAGGGGTAGTAATTTTTCTGGCTAATCGTGGCTCGGCCCGATGTGCGACAAAGGGTCCAGAGACGCCGCTTATTCGCGCGCGAATCGATACGTTCGACCACGCAGCGCAGTTTACACGATTATCGTTGCCCATTATTATTACTCGATGAATCCAGCCCAGATCTGCGAGCCCATATTCTCGCTAATCCGTGGGACGAGGACGACGCTTGGAAATGAAAACGTGTTTGCCTGTATTAGGCGACCCGAATCAAGAGCCACGGTAGTCGCGGGTAATGGGATTCGACTGGTACGCGAGAAACGTTCGACCTGTTTGCTCGACAAAAAGTAATCAAGGGAATGGGAGTCGTGAGAGAGAAAAATTAAGGAACGTTTGCAAAGAGGAGAGGAACGACGACGGTGATGCTCCGGCGAAAGGGATTTCTTTGTTGCGTCGTTGTGCTTGTTATCCAGACTGAAACCGTTACGCCTATGCTCTAAAAGTAGGGTGGTGAAAATAGGCCAATTTTCGACCATGCTGACAACGAAAAATTTTATCAGGATACGATTCTATATTTTCTAAAGGGTATGAAATACATCTCCCGATAGTGAATTTTATGCAAAATAACGTGATTGTATTGCAGCTGCCACGGCATCGCCTTACGTAAAAAACTTGTAACGACGTTCCTAACAGACCGGGAGCTTGTTACATAAATAATACTTTAATGTACTTTTCGTCCGACTGCAAAGGTTAACGTTCCGGTATTCGTGCTCGCGGGCACGCGTAGGGTCTAAAAGAGCGAGAAGGGTGTGTCTTCTCGGCAAAAAGAAACAGCCTGTGAATTTCTAGAACGTTGTAAACTTTTACAGTTTGAAAAAAAACGGAGAAATTTCTTTTACGAATTTCCTGCGGGACGCGATAAGAACTGTCTAGCTCCAGACATCAAAGTCAGCGATCCGATGGAATTTCGTTCGCAGAAAACCAAGCGTCCTAGTTTTTTTTAACAGCGAACCAGCGAACGAGAATTGATTTTTACCTTATTGCTCGCGCAGTTTAGTAGGTGAATAGTTTCTCATGAAGAAGGAGAGAGAGACAGAGAGAAAGGGAGAGGGAGAGGGTGAGAGAGAGAGAGTGTTCCTTCTCTAAAAGGCTTCCCAAATCCTCGTTTCGAACGAACGTAATTATTTCCCTTGCTGCAACATAGTTCGGCGTAGAGCGTGCCACGGACTCCGGTGGCAAAGAAAATTACTTAAAATATCCAGCACTTGTACACCGTCGAGCATTCCCATCGCGAGATTAGAGGCAAACGACAGGAATCGGGGTGGCCAAGATATTCGTGGAAAAAGTAACGAGCCCAACGAACAAACGAACTCTCGGTGTACGTGGACGGTCGTCGAGCCAGGGTACCTGGCAACGATTCGCGGTCGTGCGCGAATCCGTCCCCCGAGCTGCGAAACCGACGGAAGCGTACACAAAAACAGCCCTCCTTTTTCCAAGGGACTTGCAACACCGACCGAACCTCGTTGCAGACTGGCAGCTCGTCCGCGGAACAGAGAGTGCACCGAACAGTAAAGGAAAGAGAAAGGGTGTACGGGCGGCAAAAAAAAAGAGAAGAAAGAACCGGAGGACCGGGGCCAGGAGGGGTGGATAGAAAGGAGAAGAGCGAGAAACGAAGCAGGAAAGATAGGTGGAGACAGGGAGAACCTGAAGAGCACTTCGTCGAGTTGCCTAGGTAGCAATATGTCAAGAGCTCAACCCCTTTTCACCACCCTCGCTCATCCCCGTGCTAGCAGCACCTTTTTCGCCCGAACATTCCGTACGTACGTACAGTCGCTCGCACTGAATAATCCTCCACCGTTCTTTAACCATTCATTTTTCGACAAACTACTATATATATCATTAACAGGGAATAGTTTATACTAATTATTTTATATCGTGAGTCAAACTAAGATACATATTTTCAAGACTAAACAAAACTGTCGGCATTTTGAATTGTCGAGTTATCTATAATCGAAAGGGACGACGAATAATCGCTGATTTGTATCGTACCGCGTCTATATATTGTTATTTATGGAGAAAAAAAAAATTAGCGAAAAAGGTGATCGATTTTCAGTGTGACAGACTGTACGTGTGCGCTATTTTCCCGAGCCTAAAAACAGAGAAACGCTGGCGGTGGGGAGGGATAGCCCTCGAGTCGTCTCACCCTCTCCTTTAACGGTCGGCCAAGGGAGGTGGTCCAAGAGAACGAGAACACGGCGCTGCGTGTTCGGCCGTAACGTAAATGATCATTAGTTTGTCGGCTCGGGCCGAGTTGCCGGTGATTTGCATTAATTAATTAGAGCCCAATTAATTCAGATTACTTTATCACGGACCCTGTGTACGCAGCCTGTGTCAACGCAGGGAACGACGTCGCCGATCGAGACCAGACAATGACGACTACGACGACGACAACAACGATGGCACAGACATCGGTATGGACGTTGACGTCCCGTTGCCTCGAGTACAGAGGCCAGGATCGATACGCTCGTTCAAACCAATCCGATAACTCGCCACGCCGCCAATAATACGGTGCTACCATCCGTGACGCTCGCGACGAATTATCGTCCCGCCGATTAAACAACGCTCTTCGACCCACAGAAGACACTTTCCTGAACGGCGACGAGGCTGTCCCGTCGGAATTTTTGTCGATTTTTATTCGTTACTAGATAACCGCGTATCGAGAACGACCTTTCAAATAGAAAAGAAGCTTCCGAATGCCGAGCGATATCGGTGCTTGGACGACGCATTCGAGCCAACCAGTGTCTGCACGATCTTTTCGAGCCTAACCTGAAATCATGCTTAAGTATTACGTGTATACGCACGGCAGAAAGTTCAAGTTAATTAGAAAATTTATGGGCACGACGATCTGTGTGAGGAATCAGTGAACCGAGACGACGAGTCTCGAAATCGCTAACAAGGGAATCGCTGATGTTTGATTCTATAACAAAGAAGTTTGTAGGCGTGTACGCCTACGTAAACAGCTAATTACCGTGCAGAGGCTTCGTGATCGCTCGGCTCTATTCACGATGGTTTATGTCTCTGAACAACTTCGACCTTTTCGCTTCAGAATTTTTCGGTCGACGGAGGGCCACGGATCCGCGCGCATTACCGTCACGAGCGCGAACTTTGTCATCCGAACTTTTCAGCTGTCCTACATACACAGGAGGATTTCAACTGCCGGCTGGGGCCGAGGGGAAGAAGCCGGTCGAGGAACGACAGATGCCTTCGGCGAGCCAAAGTAGGAGAAACCTGGGCAACTTTCGACTAACAGCGGCTTATTTATGTGAAACACAGCCGCGGCTCGTTATGGGAATCACGCAAGCGCGCGTTTAATCATCCTCGAGCACAGGACTTCTCGCGGTCCGCCTGCGAGTCGTACGAACCAACTTGGAAGAAACACTGTCCGAGATTGCTACGGTGACTTCCTACGATGACGTAAATCTTGCAAGTATAACGCGAGCTCATAAATTCTACCAATGCTTCTCGAAAGCGCACGAGCATACCGAATGACAACTAATTTTTCATTTTCCTCGAATTTTTGTTACTCTAGGGAATTAAATTCTCCCTGTCTTAAGCTATATTGCGACGAATTTGGCTGTGTTAATTTACAGTAGTATTCTTGAGAAAAGCGATCTATAGGATTGGTAAAAAAATTTGAACGATGCCTGAGGATTTTAAGGGCCGAGGATCGTTTCCCAGACAGACGAAACAAGGAGGAATGCTGTACTGGAACGAAGGATACTTCCTCGGGCAGCGTTCAATTAGAATTACCGTCAGTCTCTGCTCCTCTGACATAAATACCAGAGATACACACGTGCATTCGGCCGTACACGAGCACACAATAGATCGACACACAGCCTTGGACCGAGGCGACCGCGTCCCCACGGACCTCTGCAGCTATTTACCTCCGCGTGCTTGACTGCCTTCCGGATCTTCAACAATTTGGGAACGGCGAGTCATTAATCGAAAATGGCCATAATTCGATGGGCAACGCGAACTATGCCGACGCGGCATATTTCCTGGAAACGCGGTTTCGATCATACGTTAAATCGATACTTTGGTCGACAGCATCGATTCACCAAGAACCTTTCTAAAAAAAGTTTCCGACCGTCCAGCGGTTCGATTTGATCATTAGAAACGGAATGTCGTCGGTATCCGAGGCGTTTTGGTTTCTTTTTCGTGTGGCAACCCTTCCACCCACGCTCGCAGCCGCCCCGAAGCCACTGGTTCTCCCCGATCGGTGGCCCCGGCACGCCAAACACGAGTCAACCGTGTCGAAACAAGGAACAACGTAAATTTGCCGGCCACCTTGTATTCCGTTCTTCGTGGCCGCCTCCTCCCTGCGCCCCACTAGCCTATCATAGACTGTAACCCTCCCTACGAAACTTAGATCAATATGTTGCGTCACGTTCTCCCCCTCCCCCTTTGCACACCGCCCGGCATTCATCCACGGCCACCCACACCTTCGTCCACCCCGCGCTTCATTCCTGACCCCGCCCCGCCCCCCGCGGTTCCCCTCATCGTCCACCCCCCTTTCCCGCCCCCGCCCCTCTACACGCTCGGTGACGTCACGCAGGGACGCGCCCCATTCATAGGCTCCCACGCAGAGAGCCTAAACCACGACGACGAAAAGGGAAAAAAGAAGCAAGACGAGGACAAAGGCTGCTGTATAAACGCGGATGACCGCGGCTCGACGACCGGAAATGGACGGGTTGCGAAATCGAGGCGCGCGATGGAGGTTCCTTCGGGCCCTGAGATTTCACGAATCGAGGAACCTCCGTCGATCGTGATCGCCGGGCATAATTAGACGAAGCTGGGTATCGCATCGCGGGCTGGACTCCTCGAGCGAGGAAACGTACGAGCGTTCCGCTCGGATCGATGATGTCGTAACGCGCGCCGTGACGTTTATCATCGTACTTGCGTGTGGCCCTGGAGGGTGAGTAGTGTGGGAGTACGTGCGCGGGACCAGCCACTACGATCAGTGTGCGCGCGCGCATTTCTCTGCGTTTCGTTTCATCACCCGGTGTATTTTCAAGCATATTAAATCAGATGTTTGAACGCTCGTTCGAACGCGGGTTTCCTGGACCCGATGGTTGTTCGAATATATTTCCACAAAAAGTTTACGCGGTCAATAGTTTCCCACAATTTTTTCACAATTAAAAATTTGTTTGTTTCGGACGGTGGCCGACCAACGAAATATTTTCAGAGATACTGTTACTTGTTGTCGATCGTTTGCTCCTTTCGTGGAATACGTGGTACGGGAAACTACCAAGTAACTACCGGCCCACTTTAACCGACTGCACGGCCAACCTCCATTTCTTAAGCCACGCGAAAGTACGATGAAAACCAATAAACTTACAGGAAGTTGTAAGCCGAAGTTCCGCGCGTCTGCTTTCATTATTATACCGCCACTTGCTGGCTGGAATACGCGCGTGTATTCTCTATACGTATTCGTGACGCTCTTTTTTCTCGGTTACGGATATAACCGTTTCGAAAACGAAGTTTGATTGTCCTCGACGTTAATTACAAATCATTTTTCGATTTTCATCTTTTCTTTCAGATTAACGAGACGGATGAAATACTTCTTCCCACTACCAACAGATTCTTTCTCCTTGATCGAGCAACATCTACCTCTTGCTAGTCAAACGAAATTGGCTCGAACAACGAACGATGCAAAAGAACCACGCATATTCAAATACAAGGTGTGTTCGAAATAAAAAAATTCGAACGCCTTCGTGTCGCGAATCGTAGACACTAATTCATTCTCATTGATGAAAATCCTATCGAAATTGTGCGATCGACCGAGGAAATACCAACGCATAAATGGAAAACGTATTCGTGGGGCAGCTATTTAGCGACGACATTACGCCCACAGACGTAATGTACACGCGTCCGCGATAAGGGTTAATTGGTGTAACGGGGAGGGAGAAAGAGAGAGAGAGAGAAAGATAGAGAGAGGCGGGCCAGAGGCTCGCTGAAGGTCAATTATTTCCACGTATTTCAAGCGTACGATACGCGGCCGGTTATCGTCTTTTACGATATGGTACCCTTAATTGTTTCCAGGAAGCTGACATTTCCTAACAATGATCGGTCGCGTTTTTAATCGGTCGCTACGTCGCGATGACGTTTCGTAATCTCTTCACGAGAATAAATGGGAATCCCTTGAATCGTAATAAATCGCGGTCCTGTTGATTCAATTTTCTGTGAACTTTGCCCTGCAATCGCGCGTCGAGTCACGGGAACCCTTAAAACATCCGAGCAGAGCAATTCTCTGGCATCGAGCGAGCTCGTATCGGTGCTCCCTAGATTCAAACCGATTTCTTGTTGAGAAAATGAACTCTACTTTAATTTCTACCGATGAAAATTAATCGAATCGATCTCTGATTCCAACGATTTTCCCATCGAGATTCCATCGATCGCTTATAACTATGATCGATGGGATCTCAGAGCCAGTGACTCTGCTTTTCGGGTTGATTCTCGCACCATGAAAACATTGATTTGCATTGTTCGCGGTGGACCTTGGCGTGCACGATCGACGATCTCGTTTATCGATCGGGTGACGTATCTCGTTAACCCATGGCCTGACCGTTTCCCTGGACTTAAACGAATAGGGTCTCGATCCACGATATTTTCTCTCGGTGGTGTAACAAACGTTACGAGTGAAAATTAATGTCAGGAATTTTTATGATATCGAAATATGTTGTTGTAAACTGTGTATCTTCTCCAAGATATCTATCTTTCTTTGTACCATGCTAATTACGTTAGTACCATACGTGTTTCTGATAAAAAAATTAACCATCCAACGGATAAAATATCCACGCGCGGTCGAAATTTATCTAGATCTTCCACGCTGGCGAAAAGACCGATCCTCGAAATGTCACAAGAGCAAAGCGTTTTCGTTCTTCGCGCACCGCGAGTACACCATTATAGAGGATCCCCTTTGATCCCTTCATTTAGGTAATGAATCTTTTTCGGTCGCAATCCTGACCGGCATGACGACAAATAAAACTCGTGATCCCTCAAAGTGTGGATGTTCACTAAATTTAAGTGGTTTTCGTAATTAAAAGAAAACTAGCGGATTATCGAGCGCCACGGTGCGGACGGCGCTCCATTAAACGAACCGAATTTCTTAAGGACTTCCTTGGATCTAGATTTTCTCGAATTTCGTTACGTAATAAGACGCGAGTAACTAGCCTCGATAGTTCACGCTCGAGCCTCGATAAATGTTTTAAATTGAAAGTGAAAGACCGAGGAGAATTGATGGGTTAAGCAGCGAGTAATATTCGAGGCATCGTACCGTGTCGGAGCGGAGGGTGAAACGCAACGAGGTTAACAAAAACAGCAGGAATTGGAGCGCACGGTGTACGAGTTGCGATTTCTCCAGACAATATATCTTCCCGCTTCTTTTCCGAATCTCACCCCTACCTTGTTCGACCGTAGATTGACCTTTCCACCGCAGCGTGCGCAGCACAGGATGCTGCAGTAGTTGCAGGTGTGGCCGGCGCCGGCGGCAAACTTCGTTTTCAGGCATATGAGACACGTGGCGTGCAGCTCCACTCCCGCTTTCTTATGCTTCTCCGAGTAGGCGCGTATCGTGTTCTCGAGGATCTTCACCTCGTCCTGCTTTCGTCTGTGAACAACAGCGACAGAGAAAATTATTTGCCGTGGGAAATATAAAAGGGAAAAGTTTCGCGACATCGGGAAACCCTATCCTCCCGATATTTCAACTAATAAACCAACTCCCCCACGACACCCACCCTCGCTGCCGGTGCTATCGATACGCTACAAATAACTGCAAGCATTACGTTGCGTCTCCAGATTCCTCCACTTCGAAACTATAACGGATTTATTCGTGTCCCGGCGAGAGACGCTTTTCAAAATTCAAAAGGCAAAGCGACGGGCGAACATCTACAGCTGCTATTTGCTTAACCCCTTGACCACGATAATTCGAAACAAGTCATTTCACAAATACGTTCACTCTCGTGCATCGTACGCGAGCGATTGAATAGGATTTCGCTGGCACGTCTGACAATTAATTGATATTTCTACTTACGCCGTAGTACAAGTCGTACTGTATTACACGCATATCCTCGAAAACATAGAGTATTCGCGCTTTGAAATACATGTATATCTTACCCTCTTAATGTAAAAAAAAGAAGAAAGTGCAATTACATCCTGCAAGTAACTTTTAACTTTCTCTATCATTTTTTTTCTATCGAGGATCGTACGAAAGTTACAACGCGCGCGAATTGTATAACTTTGTGCATTATTTGTCCCCATAACTTCTGCTTACTTGAAACAAAAAGGGTTGGCAATCGCATTGCTCAAATTTCACCAAGATTCGAGGCGAGTTTCGCCGTTAAACGGTGCTCGAGTATATTTTTCAAGGTTGTTAGCAAGGGTATTCGAGAAGAAGACGCGAAAGAACATTCGTCGATTAGCGGCGAGAAGATAGAATTGCGAGTGGCTACAGCCGAGGGAACTTTGATGCTGACGAAAGTCAATTTATCGCTGAGGTAATTGAACTGGAATGGAATGTGACCGATGTCATCGATTTATTCTGTCCGCCGCTAACTCAGAATGCTTTTATGTCTTCCGCCTAGACGGTGAAACTTTTATGAAAGATCTACCTCTCTCTACCTTTGCGCGTAAATTCTCAGATCTATGTGCGATCTATATTCCCGTTCCCCTGTTGAGTCGACTGGTCAAAGAAATTAAAACAACTCCAACGAGTAGGAATTTCTTCCAACCGTATCGAGCATGTAGTCGGTCCGGAAATCGAAGAGAGTAGTGGTATTAAACAACATTAACCATCGTAATCACAGGGGAGGAACGCCTTGGCTGGTCCAGGTACGAACGATTCCAAGCCAAGTAGGTTAGCGCCATTTTACGCGAGAGCAAGAGAAATGCAAGAACACTTGGCACTGTGTTAGAGCATTTCGACCGGAAGTCTCGGTCTCTAGGTCGCGTGTACGGAACTTCCACTCTGTAACCGAAGGGTTATTGGCACGGTCGAGTTCAAGCTTGGATCGCCAAAACAGCAGGAAAGGCAAGAACACGACGGACTCTTTTTGATCGTGATCTTTAAGGCCACCCTATAAGCAACTGATATTTTCTTTTATACGGGGGAAAATTCTTCGAGCAAAGGTAGTAAAACCATCTAACAATGGTCCTTTTTAGACGCGTATTAGAGACGAAGATCGTTCGTACGGAATTTCCGCATTACGCGAGACAAATCCGCAGAAAATTGCATCGTCTATGAATCTTAATACAAGCAAAATAGAAATTAAGTGTACAGAGCTGGTGGGATTCTAATTGTCCGGAAATGTTCGCACGTCGCCGTATATCTTCGTGAATTGTACGGAATTACTTATTGAACCGATACTTTCCAGGTCTGCTAAAAGCATAAACAGAATCTACGGCTCTGCGTAAAATTCAGCAGCGAGCACGACGGAGCTCGCAGCGGAAATTATAACATCGAACAGTCGCGAAGCAGTAACCTAAATTTTGAGTTTGCCGATCGAGACAAAGGTCGCGGCGGCATGTCACACAAAGTACACCGAGTTCGCCTACGTTTCTCTAATTACTTTACCGATAATCGTGCGAGTCGCGTGCACGCAACGGCGATCACCGTGGCTCTGGCTCTCCGATGATTCGTGGCTATCCGCACGCGAAAAAATATCCCTCCGTGACAAAAGGGGAGATCAAAAGCGGAGAACCGAGCGGAGAAATGTAGGTTACTTAACGAACACCTCCGTGGTTGGCGCTCGCGCTCCAACGCGACTTTTCTGTCCCACAAAATCCTGCCAGCCACGTGCAACACATTTCACACGAGCCGCGTTGCTATAGAACATGAATTTTCCCTCGTAACGCATCCAAACTACCGCACGATCTTCCATTTTCCGTGCCTCCACGTCCGAACTTCCTCCTTCGTTCCATCATTTTTATCGTTTTTTCTGCTACGACAATTGATTATATTTAGACCGCGAACGTCATTTACAGGGAATTAAACTCGGAGGAGACATGTATAACACAAAAAATTTATATTCTTTGGCGACGAACGTTGGGTCACTTTTGATCCAACAATACGGAAATTGCAAGATTTTATAAGCGATACCTTTTCTGTTCTAGAGACGAATGACACGGATGACAGGAGCCAAGTTATTTCTGGACGAACATCGATTTATATTTCTCGTAAAATCGATGAGCAACAACTGTAAACCGTGTTATGGAATACTTTGACTAAAAACAGTGAATATAACGTGTTCATCGAAGAGCGCTTTCATCTTTTTTATCAACAACGATATAAAAAATAATATCATTATTATATACAAGGTGGGTCGCCACATAAAGCGTTGCAAGGAGTTTTCTTCGAAACCACTGCAGATATCGATTTCAAGTCTTTTTTACTTAAATGGGACAAGGAGGTTAATCGTTTAATGTGCAAAAAAATTTTCTGAGGCGACTGTTAAGGGTGCCAAGAGGGCCCCCTCATTGTTTTGCTATTCAAAATAGAAAGAACGTTCCAAGCAAGTGTTATTTAGTTTGACAAAAATTATACGAATAAAAAAGAAAATTAATACATCGCTTCATCTAAAAACAGGTTGAAAACAGCTTTTTTGGCTCACTCTGAAAATTGTAAATTACGATGAAGAATCCAAACATGTTGTGAACGTCGATCAAAAGTAGGGGTGGAAGAATAAAACGAAAAAGTAACTAGGGTGTGTCGAAAACTAGCTAAATGTTTCACGTGTGTAGGAGACGATGCACAATTTTGGAATTGGGCACGATACGTTGTTCCAATATATTTGTAAAGCACATTCCGAAATCCAAACAAATACTCCGTATATACATTGTGCCGCACTATGCGTGTCTATATTACGTAGTCGAACAAATATTGTGCATTTGGGTGTCAGAAATATTTTTGTTTATCTTCGATCGTTATCCGCTAGTACGAGTTTAAAAAAAAAAAAAATAATAGTTATTAGAGGTGTTGCAACGTAATGCATCGTACGTGTCGTTTCGCGATCGTCTTTGCGAATTACCGAAGCGACTGTCCTCGATGGTAAATTACATAAAAATGAGAAACGAGAATAAGTAGAGAGGACAAGATATACATAACCGAACCCTCGAACGACATCTCCAATTTCTATTATACGAGAAAATTACGTCGGTTGGCAACGTACACGCAAAATAGCTTTCACGTAGAGACGGAAAGGTTGCGTCTATTTTTATTCGTCGAAGCGAATCGCCTTCCAATACATAAGCGAGACTCTCGTCCGCATGTATAGAGGAACTAAAATTATCGCGCGATGTCAAAGGGTCCGTCGTTGCTCGACGATGAACATAGAGGCTCGTCGTTCGTTGTAACGTAAGAAAACTGAACAGCCAGCGGGTCGTTTCTAGACGTTGTGCCGCTAAAGCGCTCCACCTTTCCGCAGGCCTCTGTCTATATTTCATCGTCCAAGAATTTACCTTGCCAATCCAGTCTCTTTCACACTCCATCCACGGGTTGCAGTTGCATACCCTATGCATACCCTATGCAACTGCAGCAGCTCGTTACCGAGCCACGTCAAGGCTTGCTGCCTTGCATTTTACATGCGTCCTTACACGTACTTGTCGTCCACATTACATGATCTCGCATCGGTATGGCAAAGCACGCTTCGCTCATTACTCTCTCTCTCTCTGTCTTTGGTTCCTCTGCCGCTATCTTTCGCTCCCTCGATCCAACTCCTTTGCACCCCGGCTCTTTGTCTTCCTTTCTCCGCCCTCGACTGCTTTCTCACGTTCTCGTGTTCCATCAGTGACAACCTATCAATAAAACGCCTTCCTCGAGGAACGGCGCCCATTTTCCTCGGCGTCGCCCCGCTACGACTCCGCACCCTGGCACCGCAATTGCATGCGAATAGGAAAGCTGCCGCATCCGTCATCGCCTGTGCCTCTCGCTCGGCCAGGTGCAAAGTCGTTTTTAGAACCGACGTCTCCCTCGCATCCTCTCAACATTCTAACGTCCAATCGCTGGGTTTATTTAGAATTCGTTCCAAACGGTATTTATAGAATATTCGGGAAAATCGATTTAAAGTGCTACTTCTCAACGATCGTTATTAGCTGTCGTTATTAATTTGCCAGAGACGTATCTAAAATACGAATTCAGAGAACGGTGGATCGGTAATTTGGACGCGATAAATCGGTCAGTGCTCGAGACGGAAGATTTTCGTTCAGGGAAAGGGAACGCGAGAACCGGCAGGATAATCGTCCGCGAGTGTGTGCGCAACGATGAATACCCTAAATAGAAGATGTCGTAGGTATAAAGCGGTCAAGGACTAACGAGCAAGCGAGTCCAGAAAATAGGCAGAACAGGTTGGAGGAAACAATTTGCTGGTTAAGAAACACATATACCCAATTGATCGGATATCGTTTCATCCCTTCGGTATTTCTGATCATCGACGCGTGACCGTTCATCCACATTTCGTGGCTCCGATTCTCTCGTCTGACCATTCAGCCCTCCTACTACTTGCCCGCACGGCGCACTCTGACTTCCTCGCTTGCACGTTTATTCGTATTTAAACAGCACGTTTTTAAGGAGCAACATGTGCGCTACGAAAACACAAGAGCAACCTAATAAAAATTATAATTATGCCGGCTGTATTCGCTCGACCACTCTATCTACTCCGTTACAAACGCTGGTTCGGAAATGTTTACAAGCAAATGAGATTTTCAATTGTCTTTTATTTTACGAACCTTAAATTATAAAAGTAGAATGTTGTCGGAAACGCACCGAGTGCTACTCGGAACTATAAATCTATCTCTAATACCTGTCGATAAAATAATCCGTGACGCTCCAAGCATCGTTATTCATGGAGGAAATTTACTAAAAATCTAATCGTATCTCGGGACGATAGATAAAATATTTATCTGGATTCCTGTAACGGTCGGGGGAAAAATAAATAAAGATAAAGAAAAAATAATAGATCGTTAATAATCCCGTGAACGTACCTCATAATCTCATTCTCCTTCTCCTCCTCCTGTTTTTGCCGTATCATAACCTCCTCGATGGTGCTCCTCTCCTCGGGGGTGAGGTGCGACATATCAGGTACAGCCGCCATCACGGACGTAAGATAGGAACGTGCACGGGAAGGTCTAATCGCGAGGAGTTTGGGTTGACGCGCGGGCCGGCGCACCACCGACGACGCCGCCGATGAGAGACCGCGACGAGGTTCGCTCGCCGCGAGGCAACGCTCCTTCCTACGGGATATCGCGTCCTTTCTACGACTACGGGAAGGCTGCGTGGTACGGGGGGAGTCATCCGACACCTGGTAATCGCACCAGCTGGACGCGACAACACGAGTACGGTTTCGATAAAGGTAGATTACGCCGGGAACACTGCCGATCGACGCACTCGATGCTACGAGCCGCGATCGTTTTCGAGGCTGAACGGCACTCGAAGAGGACGTGCGTCCGACCGGTCGCTGAAGCCGTTCGACACCGGACAGTCGTTATCGTCCGCGGCTTATCCTCGCCGGACAGACTCAACTTGGTCGGGGCATCGACGCGATCAAGTTTATTGGCTCCGCGGTCCTCGTCTCCGTCGGTGTCCTCGTCGTCTGTGTCTCTCGTCGTACGATTACCACTGACCGCATCCGTATGACAAATCATGTTCACAGGCTGTGAGGAGGTTCTCGCATTCTCTCTTCCGTGGCCGGTTCGCGTTCTCCGTTAGAAGGCCGCTTCATGGAACGGCGCGCGACTATCCCTGGGGTGCTCCTCGAAACCGACCTTCGACGGGATGCCTCCTCGCGTCCTCGATACGATGGCCGCTGCGAGGTTAGAACGCGCGCGGCGCGGCGCGTCGCGGCGGCGGTGTTGGCGGCGGTGGCGGCGGTGGCGGCGGTGGCGGCGGCGGCGGTGGCGGTTCGTTAACAGCCTAAGCGCCGGGGATTCCGGATTCCTATTTGCCTCGCACTCGATTCGATTCCCCTGGTTGTGTTTACCCTCTTCTCCCTCTGTTTTCGCCCGTTCGAACGTCCGAGGTTTTCGAGCGGACCAGCGGCCCAGTTCACGAGTACATCGATTGAAAAGGAAAACGGGTCACGGGTGCCGTTGGTTGCGCTCGTTTCTGCCGTACACACGAACCCCGGTTCTTGAACTTTCAACAGGGCAGCACACACGATGATTCTATACACAACGACCGGTGATCGCAGGTGATCGCTTCATCGAGACCCGATCGACGGTTTATCGCAGGGACGAGAGCGCGCGACCAATCGGGAACGATGGATGGCTACGTGCTCGTGTTCCTGACCTCTGGGAAATCTTCTCGGAATTTTAGCGAAATTTCAATGGGAAAGCAGGTCACTGGGTATCGGGTAACGTCGCTTCTGCTCGTACACTTCGACGGAACGACGAGACCAATCCAACGCACAATTCCGAATAATCGAATCGATTCAGGTTTTCCAAGTATCCAGCAATTCGTCAACAATGTTTCACCAGCCGTGCTCTCGAAGGGACCTGGTTGCTGGCTTGGTCGGTGCCGTCTATTACGAGTATTTATCTGGATCTTTTGCCACGTATGCTTGGCTCTGTTCCGGAACGATATTTAACGCCACAAGTATTTTCTTGGTGTTCGGGATTCACGTGGCAGCCGACACGACGATGGCGCTTTTCGATGTCTCTGCAGCGACCGCGACACCCACACAATCAATCGCCCCGGACCGAATTGTTCCACACCCACGAGACCCGTTTTCCCAGCTGACCGGCTGTTCCCCGACGTTCCAACGATCATCAACGCGTACTCGTCAGCTGCTCCGCTCGTTCGTTCTCGAGGAGCCCAGAAATCGTTGCACCCTTCCCTGAAAATGGATACTCTCTGTCTCTCTCCCACCGGCGGGTCTCGTCGCGTCGGGTTAAAACATTCACTCGCGACGTTATCGCGAGTGATTCTCCGCGGCGACAGTACGCCGACGCTTACACTGATTTCACACGCGTGCACGCGAAACGACGGATACAAATCGGCGCCGGAAATAGCCGAACGAACGATATTCCTCACTTCCGTGTATTCGAGTGTTTCCCTTCTGTACGCTCGACGCAAGAACAACACACGAATGAGCTTATTCCACACCCCTAGCGCGCTTATGTCCGTCAACGCTCCGCGATTGGTACTGCTCTCACTGACGGTCCGTTCTATCCGTCTCGCTCTTTTTCCCTTCGCTCTATCCCCCCTACCACTCACTCCCTCATTCTCTCTCTCTCTTTTTCTTCCTACCACCCTACCTTTCTCTCGCTCGGTCTACGTTTCTCTCCCTTTTTCCCGGTTCCCCACCCCGCTCGGGAGCATCCTTCTCCCACTACCTGTTTTATCAAGTCCCGTCTACCTCGGCCTTTCCCTCTCGCGTCTACGTTCCCCTCTCGCTATCTCTTTATCGCTCCCCCGCCTCGCTCGACACCACCTGCACTAACCCTCTCCGCAACGAGCTGAAACGAGACAACCGTTCCGCGAAGGGGGCTAATTTCCGGCCGCGAATCGACTTCCTTCTCGGATTCGCCGTGTCGAGATCGCGCGAGCCACCGGCGAACTGGGGCCTCGTGTCGGCTCCTATCGCGGCTATCGTCCATGAAAAAACCCGAGCAGAACCACCGACAGAGACCTTTTCACCGTGCTCGGGACACCCTCCCGCTCGTTCTCGTGCTTGTATACGACCACAGTTGCGTGAACCGATCACCCCCTCCTTTTCGACCCCTCCTCACCCTGTTTGTCCATTACAGACCACCACCCAGCCCGTACGAATTCCGGTTTCTCGTGTATGTGCCGGACCAAGCTGTGGGAGGGAGATGAAAACGCATTTGGAAGGACGCCCATCGTTCGCGAGCGCGGCCGCGACGCCTCGCGTCGCGTCGCGTCGTCGTTCCCTAGATTTTCCACGGATCATCTCGCACAACCCGGGGGTTGTGTGTCGCGATCGCCCACGGTGGTGTGCGCGTGAGCGCCACGTACCGATTCGCGCGACCGGATGCGCCGGGAAAGTGCCCGCTCGTACGATCTTAATAAATAATAGGATGCGGCGTACGTTTGAACCAATAAGGACCACAGGCTCTACTTACGTCATGGAAAACACCGTATTGATCCAACTATAAACCAATGGGGTTGAACGCCGCAACGGTGCCACTTTGCTCGTTCTAGCGGTGAATTCGAATACTATCGAGCACCGCGCCGCACTACCGGAAACTAGCTAAACTACGTACAAATCATCCGGACGAAGATCGCAGCGCCTCCATCGTCGTCCGCGACGACTATCCCTCCAAGTACCGTTTAGATTCTATCGATAAGAGGGGAAATTAACCAAATTGGCCGAATTGTCGGTGACAACGTTGACAAAATTTCGAACGCTCCTTTACTCGTTGCACAGTGCGCGATAATTATCATCTACGACTAAAATTTAACTATTATGAAATCTTATTTTCTACTTTTAATATTGCTATGCGTATAGAATTATTTATTTACAAATTCTTTTGGATAAAAGGAAAAGTTACGACAGACGTCTATTCGATGACCTATTTGATTAGTATTTGCGTCGTCGTTCGTGATTAATTTTTAACTTACGCGTCAAATTACGTATTAAACACGGATCAATCAACGGAAATAATATTAAAAAGATCTGCCAACCACCGTCGCCTCAAACTAGTAGACTTTGCCAAACTGTTTTATGTATCTGTTTTTATGGTATACAATATACGCATACGCATGATTAATGATATCTGGAGCAAAGCCAAAGATACTCGGTCGTCGCTTCCATCGATACTATATGCGAAAATTGCATTTAAATGAATATTGTCGTGGTATTGGTATCGCTCCTGAATGATTATTTCTACCGACGAAATAACTACATTTCGGTGTACAATCATAAATAATATATATTTATCTTTTTTGCACTTATACCTGAACGCGTTGCAGGTTAAACTTACAACGAGTTGTACAGGATTAAATGTAAAACCAAATTTACAAAATGGTTTCTTGTATATACCAATAGTCGTACGAGTTATATTTACCTATAGTGTATTTTATAGTAATTGCGAATACTCGCATTAAATGATACAAGATCAAAAGGTGTGCGGTACATGTATTTACAAATAGTCTTTTAGAGTATTATGCAATTTCAAAATTAATATCGAAAGTAGCAAATAATTAAGGATAAATTAACCTAGCCCAGAGAACATAAATAAATTATAAAAATTTGGCACATTACAATGGCATGATACACGATAACAGTGATAAGATTTAAGCTCGGTAAACTTAAAACAACTTATAAGTAAAATACGGGACGACACGATTATCGTTGCCACAAATATTCTTCGTTGATTTTTCAATGTAAATTTTCATACGTTTCTCAACTCATTTACCGATATTGCCAAAATTTAGTCGTCTTGCGTATTTTACGTTTAATTATTCTATATACATTCTATTGATAGGCAGTATATTTTATACTGTTATTTACAATTGTATTACAGTTGTCGTATGTAACGATAGCCATTCGAAAATTTCGATCAAATTGGTCATACTTGAAATAAATTAATATCGATAAATAATTTTGACCTACCTTTCCAGGACTTTTTTTCGTCTACACATATGTGTATTGTACCTACAATCTTGATATATTATATTTTCCGTCCTGCTTTGTGTCTTGAAAAAATTATCCTGATCGGTAATAATCATCACGTACATAAATTTATTACGCTTGACCGTAAAGGGTTAATTAATCTGACGTAACGTATGATGCATGTGACGACGTAAAAAGATTATTGCACTTGTATCCTATATCCTTTATGATATATTTACACAGTTACTTTTTCGCTGTTTAAATTTTTCGATTTTTCTAGCAATTTAAAAATTTTTATTTTGATCAAACAATATAATGTATATCGATAAAAAAAAATACAATAAAAAAGAGAGGACGATAATAAATTCTAAAACGTTTATTAGACGCTTTGATATACTGTATAGGAAATATCTATCAATTCAGTCAAAATGTTATCAAAACCATGTAAATTCTATCAAGTGACAATTACCGAACACGCGTATGTGTATTAATTCTTTATATAAATTTAAAACACTTTTGCTTATCGTGCGGAATTCGTGTTTTAAATAATATCGAATCAGCTCGATATTGTGTATTTAAAAGTGGCATGTATCCGAAAACCTGAAATGAAAAGTTAATACTTCTACCTTCATGAAATACATGCTGTAACCTTCTAATCCCGATCCACTAATGGTTGCCAAATATTAAAAAATCTGTTCATAAAATTTACTCGCCTGAGAGAAGAAATTAATGCACTTGTGCCTCTCCTGGAAATGAGTGTCATCTTCTGAAAGAGAAACTGGACAACCGGGACATCTAAAAGTCCAACGTGACGTAACCTGTACAAAACAAATACAAGAGTGGTAATACCGAGAATGTAATAATCGACGTTTCTCGTTTTCACTGACCTTGACAGGTGGTTTTCTCGTGATGTGGGAGATAAGAAAATTCATAGCTATATCCTCGCAATTCATGTATTCGTCAACCTTATCTCGTATAGCTTGCGGTAACCAATGGGTGTACAGATATGTATAGTGCTTATGAATGAAAGCAGCACCGGTTAAAACCATCGACAGTTCGCACGAATAATTGGAATTATAATTCCAAGCGTTGTGATAATTCTGGTCCCATGCGTGAAAACGGCCGGGAAATCCAACTACGCGATCTCGATGTTCCCGCCACACTCTATAGATACGGACAATATATTTCACAGCCAACATTTGTAACGTCACTTTCACAAAACTACCAAGAAATACCTAAATCCAAACATAATCTCATCGTGTCTTAAATGAGCATCGTCGTCGACTGAAAGGACAGCTTCCGTTTCGATGGCATCAAATGGGAGAAATCTGTTATTTAAACTATTCCTTGGTGCCTTTATCACCTGCATACAAGAAATTCTTTCGTTTCGACAATACGTGAGAAAACGTTACATCTTTTATTAACAAAAAAAAGTGGTAAATTACATGAATTGGAACTCCAATATCTGGCCACTTTAAATCTTCCATGGGTGGTTTAGGACTATTCCATACTACTAGAACTTTATTTAAATATGGTAGCCCATAAAGGCGAGCTAACGAGTTTATAAGGACCTGTTCACGTTCGTAAGTTAACATTATAATTGTAAATTGTTCTCTTGGATAATTTCCGCCCAGGGCCTCGCTAAATTCTTTGCCTGCGCCTCCAGCCCCCTTACCAATTGGTCTAAATCCTACTTCGGATCCTAAAATTTGTAAAATGTTTGTATTTACGGATACCCTGAACATTAACTTCGCTTACCAAGGAATTTCGCGTCACTAGGAAGGACGGTATCAAAAGGCAATTGTGGGTATAAATAGAATGGATCCACCCAATCGTTCCAGATCTCGTGACTTTGAAGCAACATTGTGGTATAATTTCTCTTAAAAGCTGGAGATGGATATGGTGGTTCAAGAGGACCCAAACTTTCCTCAGCTTCTGGCTCAGCAATAATAGCATCAGATTTTAAAGACTACAGGAGAACAAAATGATTGTGAATAATAAAACACGAGCAATGTTAACTGTATACTACAATGTTTACCACAAAAGTTTCATTAAAGACACTTGGACTGGCAGTTTGTGGCGCTGGTAACGGGGGTATTCCGAGTCGATCCCTAATTACTGCTACAATAGTATCAACTGCGCCCTGAGCAGTACTCAGGTAACGTTCCCATATTAATCTGCCCTGTCTACGCATACTTAACAGATCAGTGTCGGGAACCGCGCGCAACAGAAAATGCATTTCAGTTACTCTGGCCTGAAATTCAAAATGACATATGTGTAGAAACAACATCGCATTAAGGATATAGTATACCTTTTACCTTTGGCAAAAAGATTGCTGCTCTACGCCAACTAATGACTTCGTTGTAACTTAATAAGATTTGATCACCGCCTAAAAATACTGGAATGGATCCCGATCGTAGAGCTTCGTACAATCTAGCTTGCATCGAAGATGTGGTCATGAACGAAGCATTACTCGGTGCTAATATCAAAGCAAACGTGGATTCCTTTAGTATTGTTTTCCTGGAGGAATCGGTTCCGCACAGAGACCAATCGAGAATTTCTACGACGCTCTTTTCCTCCGAAGCCGGTATACATTCAAATTGAATAAAAAATTTGTCCAATGTCGTTCCGGTACTCATATCTTTAAGGTGTTGGATAATGAAAATATCCAAATTATTCTCATCGACTGCTAATTTCTCCAAATCTACGTCGGCATCGTCAATTTGATGTATCATGGTTGTAACTCTTGGAGATCTCATTTCTCCTTGAAAAGATAATAAATATTTTCTCCTCGCAGGTAACATTTGCGCACATTCTTGCCACACGTCGCCACCCGGGGGCCCCAAAATCGGAGGAATAACCAAATCGAAACCTTCGCGAAATTGATCTCTATAAAATGTTGATTGCACTATTATAGCTCTTCCCGTATCTATGCTGTTGAAGATATTTCCAGACTCTACGGACAGATCCCTACGCGCTAGATTTAATAAAACGTGATTTCTGCCATCGCCGCCCCAATAGGGAAGCTCGTGCAATTTTCTTACATCTATAGCTTTACGATATTTTTTATCAACTTTTTGTTGAGCGGAAAGGGCTTCTCCTATGAGTACTATGTATATACAAGCCTCAGCTGCATTTGCAGTAAGATGTGGGTTGTATCCTAATGTCTGTTTAATAGTCGTTTTTAGAAATCCATCAATATCCCAACCAGGATTAACTACCGAAAATTGATCCGGATCGTACAAATATACTGGAAAACCGCTTGTTAACGCACAGCGACTATGATCGAAGCAATTGTACATTTTACATGAATGCGGTATAGTACTCGGTAATACTACAGGAACAGATTCCATTAATATACGTTTAGGAGGTGCCAATTCTGGTGTATTTCTTTCCACTGCTTCTCTCTGAGCTACTTGTGCCTGCTCGACACTGATTTTTAATCTATCAAGGTCCGTTTGTTGATGCAATAGCTCTTGTTTCAGCTCATCAATTTTTTGAGTTAAACTGCTAACTTCAACTTGAAGCCTCTGCCTTTTTGCACTCAAGTCTCTAAGCTCATTATTTACAGAAACTTTAATATGTAACATCTCCTCTATTCTCATTTTTAACTGAGAAGCTTTCATAGGAGTAAAATCTTCAAAAGCTTCCAATGTGGAAAACGTACGATAAATATCTCTATCCGGAGAATCAGATTCCACCTAAAATATAAAACCTTACAGTTGTAAATTGATTTATTACAATTGATATTGTTTCACAATTATTTCAAGAACAATACCTTTGACAAATAATAATGAGTAAATAACGGTACAATAAATAAGACTGCAGAAGTTAATATTATGATTCTAGACAACTTAATATGCGTTATCCAATGACAAATTTCTCTTCCGCTTCCATTTTGATGATACAATGGCATTAACTCGAATGCACTTCCCCTCATTGTGACTGTTACAAACTACTGTTCATGGTTATTTAAATCTCAAGCCAACAGTGCTGTTTTGTGATTGCTTGGCATAATTTCTGCAAACACAATGGGAAAATTTGAAAATATCAATCTACACGATACATTTAGCCTTCTTTTATATAGATAATGATATAATAATAATACTGAAGAACATGTATCTTACCGGAAACATGATAATTGCCTGACTTTGATTGACATTATCGATTAGTAACCTAACAAGGAAATTATCCTCCTTTCGACTGTCTGTCAATTGCAATCGATGTTCATTATAAATGAATCATGGGTGTCATTACAAAAGACTTAACAAATATGTTTTATTCCATACACGATTTTCTGAAAAAAATACCCCCGAACGGAATACGCGACGAGAACTGCCAAGATCGTATCAACAGCACTTCCATTCGAAGAATAACCAAGAGTAACATCGAGGTTAACAACTGAAACAGCATCGGTACCAACGTTGCCGCTCTTCTGCATTAATATACCATGGGCCAAAATGATTTTTGCCGTTTTAGGAGAAGATAATTAATAGTGTTATTAAACAGCAAACCGGTGCCCAGAGAGAACTGTGAACTAGCCACTTTACCATCACTAATTTCTCCCTCTCTTTCTCTCTTCTGTATATATAATCTGTGTGAATGAATGTATAGAAAACAGCTAGAGACTACGCGTGCGTATTGTACGACGCAGGTGCCTAGAGTGCAATTAATCGCAATTACATTGAAGTATGTAAAGTATACAAATCATTCGATATTTAAATTCAGAATGTTAAAGTTGCTTAATCATGCGATCAACGGTATTTCGTGCACCTGTTGTACACGCGTGTATTTTGTTGAGGAGAAAGGGTAGTCTCTAACTAGTTAACTTCCAAGAAAGCGGCAAAAATCATTTTGATCTATCGCCATTAATTATATATTGGATGCAGCTTTTTTTATATGTGTTTATGTATATCGGATGAAGTTCATGTTTGAGAAAATATCACATTTGCCACCTACATAGAGTTTAAAGAACTACTCCGTTCCATAATATTTTGAAAATCAATAAAGAGCGTGTAGTAAGATAAGGTGTATATATAAAAAAACATAACAAATTACAACAAAATACAATTATGTAGGCAGCGAATGTGTTATTTTTTTCAAACATAACAACTCCCGCATTGGCACAAAGCCTTTAGCTAATGCCACATCTAATATATGTATAGAGATCAGAGGGCAGTACACAATACGACGTTGATGCATACAATCATTATGCAATTGCTTATATGTGCTCGCATACGGTTAAACATGGTCAAATATCTAACCTCGGTGCGACTAAGCTTGTACGACGAATCGTATGAATTACTATGAAATAGCAATGTTTTCTCTGAGGATTCCAATATTTTATCAATTATATATCCAATGAATTTTGGTACGTATAGGTACATTATGTATGATACATATATTAATACATAATTTATTTCAACGATTCAGCAAAGTCCAGTATGTCATCAAATCGTTGTAGCAACGCCACGCTTGTACTATTTAGTACTGTTTACAATTAGTACAAGTACTCTATAGTAACGCCATTTTAGTCATTCAATTCTACAATTGCATCTAAGCGTACCGTGAAGGAAAAATGGTAGTTGGACTTCATTTTCCTCTTACGCGGCACAAATCACTGTTATGTGGTGCAAACTGTAATTTTAATGATAACGTTCTGCTGTTGTTTCGCGATAACTTTAACACCATCGTTTCTCGCAAGCATATAAAAACAGAACCTTATACCAATGCCTTACATCGCCGAATTAAATTACACGATGTTTTCGAAAATCTCTTTTCTTTTTATCACGTCCCAAAATAAAACGCACGTCTTAAAAATTAAATTATAAATTCTTCGAATAACCCGCGACATTGTCCTCGAAGTTGCTTTCCTTTAGCAACGTCTGGTGGCATTGCTTATAGTCTGATTGGTGTATTTGCATTTCTCGGAGCTTTCGCAGAACATGCGCATGTTCATGTCAAGTGCAGTGCAAAGGAAATAATATTTTGGCTTTCGGGGGCCTAAAATTAGCTAAAATGGTGAGCTCTTAATGACTTTACGTATCATGCTAACGGAACATTCTTCGCGATTCGATCACAATAACGATATTCTTGATCGATTGGGATATTAACAACGACGTAACAAAAATGTTGAAATAACCTATTGGGATTTAACGTTAGTGTTCTCTTTCGCACAAAATACAAACCAATTCTATGGTATACATTTTGGCTAACGACATTGGAAGATGTCTTTTTACGCGTCTTTAAGAAGTTACTTTGATAATTGCGAGTTTCTGACTTGTGGAGTATTCCTTCAGTGAAATGATGTACAAAGTATCGTAGTGTTGTACACGTAATAAAGTCTCGTTTGTTTGTGAATCTACCTCGAAACCGATGATAGTGTTACAAATGCTTCCAAATTCAAAACTTGATAGATATACTATATACATTGAACTTTCCTGTTTGAAATGGTGTGCAATTTTGTCTAATGAAAAATAAATTTCGATTTCGTTCTTCTATTGTGTTAACAACAAGAATTTACTGTAACAATATACTGTATTTAATTTCTGTTGCAGCATAAGCTAAAGTTCTCTCAAAGGGACAAAGTAAAGAAATTTATTACATTTACACAAACCGGAGAACAGACAGCAATATATTGTTTAGCTCAAAACGATTGGAAACTAGATCTGGCAAGTGATAATTATTTTCAAAATCCTGAGGCTTATTTTAAAGAACCAAGAATTTCAGTGGATAAAAAGAAATTAGAAACACTGTTTAGTCGATATCAAGGTAATTATATTGAAGAATGCTTGATTTTTATTTTAAACTCAATTAGCATTTTACTAATGTCTATAATATATTTGATTTTATAATACAAATAGATCCAAATGAACCAGACAAGATTACAGCAGATGGAATAATGAAATTTTTAGATGATCTGGGTTTAAGTCCAGAGAGCAAATTAGTATTAATTATTGCATGGAAATTTCGAGCAGAAACCCAATGTGAATTTACTAAAGATGAATTTATGAATGGCATGATGGATTTGGGGTAACTTGAAATACTTTTATTTTTCTTCTATTGGATATGTTAGGCCTTGGGGGCAGATGAATGGCGAAGCGACGTGTGTTTCTATGTTCTTCCTTGTCTTGCAATTGAAAACAACCAAGACAGACAAGATCTGCGTTCCTATGTCTTTTCATTCGATTGTAAGACAAGGAAGGGCATAAAAACGGACGTCGTTTTGACAGTTGTGTGCCCCTGGCCTTAAAAGGAGTTTTTCCATAATACCTTAACTCAACTTGTTAAAATTATATTTCCAGCGTGGACAGTGTAGATAAATTAAAAACTCGTTTAAGTAGTTTAGAAAATGAATTAAGAGATTCCCAGAAATTTAAAGATTTTTACCACTTTACATTCAATTATGCAAAAAATCCAGGACAAAAGGGTTTAGATCTTGATATGGCAATTGCTTATTGGAACATTGTATTAGATGATAAATTCAAGTTCCTGTCGTTATGGTGTCAATTTCTACAGGTTAGATATATTAATTTAATTATCCACTTGTATTATAAAATTTATGCAATTATTTATCTAAGAAAACAAAGGAAATGAAAATAATTATTCACAATTATGAGATAAAAATGATTAATAATATTTTCTAGGAACACCATAAGAGGTCAATACCAAAAGATACATGGAATTTACTCTTAGATTTTGCACTTATGATTAATCCTAACATGACTAATTATGACGAAGAGGGAGCTTGGCCTGTATTAATAGATGATTTTGTAGAGTGGGCTCAACCTCGAGTTCGTCAGACTCTCTAACATCTTATCGCATCTTTAACTTCATGTGAAAAAAGCTTTATTTATTCAATTATAAAATCATATAATCAAGTCATACTTGATCATATTTTTCTGATGAAGCAACGTCATTTTACTTTATGTCCAAAATATATGACAGCGAGGCAAGAGTGCTACTATTATTCGAGTCAATCATGCTGTATGATAACCCTATAATGTAAATTGCTTATAAACAGAAAGTTACTTTCATATAAAGTATAAAATTAAAGATCTATCCATTTAAGTCAAAATTACATAAACGTTAAAATCTTGTAACACTATTATATGTTTAAATTTGCAATGTTATACATTTATCTGTATAAAGTAATATGATGTGCAATGAGTTTGCTGTTTAAAGAATCTAGTGACAGTGGAAAATGTTGCTCAATTACCAACGGTATTTGCAAACATCAGAAAAAATCGCTACTAGCGTTCCTTTTTGCGAATTTGGCTTCAAAAGGAAAAAATATTCGAAAGATTCGATAATACATTTTTGTAGATAGTAATTTTTAGAAATTGCGTTATTAAAAATTGTTATCAAATAAATTTTACGACACTCTACATAACACTTGTAATATATATACAAAAAAACAGGAAGAGAAAAAAATCTGTATTTTAAACATAATACAATTTCGGCACCACTATACTTATTTTCTCTCAGAAAATTATTTGTTTTTGTTTTATTAACAAAGAGGAATATTTATATTGTAATTTTGAGGTACTATAGATGTTAGCAAAAATAAATTAAGAATTTTTTACAAGTTTGAATTATGAGTTTCATTTATAATTATTGTAGATGAAATGTATTTTTTCGATTGTCGGAAAGAATACGATTCTATTTAATTTGAAATGATTTATATCACGGTATCTTAAAAAGATGAATTATACTGTAAAAAAACAGATTTAATTCTCGTAACGAACTTTTCGTTTGCACTATAAAGCATTAGCAATCAATTCTATCTTACATTTTATTTTATCGTTCTAATTCACGATACAATGTGTGATTAATATTTGCATAGTTTTTTAGTACAGTACACATGAATTTTCAACATCACTAATCACGTTAATTTATATATAATATAAAGAGAATTAAAGAAACATATGTAACACGTAAGAAGTCAAAACATTATATCCATTTAGGTATACTGACATTCAAAGGTGCAAAATAGAAAATTAGTAAATATACATCGTCCACAAATTTTGGATTATATTTTATAAAAACATTAAAATAGATAAAATAAAAAAGATTCTGAGTAATGTATTCATTATAAGACGTGTCCAGCTAAATGTCGGGAATACGTTTACGCAATGCAAACAAAATTCACACATGTACATTACGTTTTATTTATGTAATACTGTTAATGAAAATACAATTTTTAGATCGAAGTAATATTATTTTTTCAATAATTTTAACATTGCGTGAACAATAAAGAATTGTAATAGTTTTAAAAAGACATTGTATATAATGTAAATAAATCCATCAGTCTTAATCTATGAGGTACTATGTTTGATTAAATAAAAAGTTCCGTACTTATTATATTGTATTAATTACATTTAATCCTCTGATAGCGGCCAAACGCCGGAGTCCGGATCCATTTTAATCCGAGTCTGAATTTTATTATTTTGCATCCCAGCAAATGCTTTATTTATTAATGTCGTTAATTTTATAGGCTTACTTAGTATCTGTTATTATTATTATTTATTAAAAATTAGAACTTTACGATTCTGAAAGAAATAGTTTACATGGATCCAAATGGACTCGAAGTCCGCCGGCCGAAAATTAGTCAAAGCAATTCTAATCATCGTAATGAAATAAATTTCTCACCTTTATTTAAATTTTACCATTTTTTTTAAATATATTTATATCATTTTTAAGATGTTTACATCTACACACATAAAAAATTAGATTATTAAGTCAGACCATTGTTATGCTTTTTGCAATGATTGCCACAGGTGCACGAAGAACTGCAGCCGCAACATGCTGTATCGTCCGGATATAGAAAAGCTAACTCGTATTGATTTGCTTTTGTATTACAACATTTATTTAATATTTCTTCAATATACCAATCACATAAAAGTTTCAACTTGTCTATAGTTGCCTACATTATTTATTTATTGTTAGTCTGATATGCTATTTCTATTATTAAGATTTCACAGTACATATTTATTAAAGATATGTAATTATGAAGTCTTACCTGCGCAATAACTAATCCTCGATTTGGATTCGCGATTGAATTATGACTATGCGAGTCAAAGAAAGTTACCTATAAGAAAAACTATTTTTTTATTACCGTCCTTTTGCGAGCGTCGATAAATAATTTACCATGTAAGTACTTTCTTGAAATATAAATAATACTGTACGACCACAGGTAATAAGAAGCATATATAAGTTTTTAGACTTTGGTGATCCATACCATTTATGTAGAAAATTATTTATATGTTGATATAAACCCCTTTCTATTTTTTCATAAAATACTTGAAATGTCTGTAATACGCAAAGAAATTTTCGGAAATAATATCAAAACATAATTGTATAAATATATATTGCTATATCTGTACCCATTCTGTTAATATTTCTAAACTTTGGCCGCCAAGTTTTAATGCTTCCTCTATACTGAGATACGGATTAGAAACCAACCCTTTTTTAACAATCCATGCATGAGTAGCATTACCCTCTACCATTGCCTCAGCTACATGAGCAGTAATTTCAGGGCATGTGTCTACATTGTATATTAATAATCCCGTTTCCGATATTCGTTGCGCCACGAGGAGACAAATGAGAGTACATGCTTTACTAACTAGAGCAAAATTAAAATGCATAAAAAATCGTCAGTATTATTTGACACAATAAAATTAAAGTGAATGTACGAACGAGAAATATCTTGTTACTTTTTTGTCCCGGCGGATATCGACTTTGGGAAAATTCTTCATTATACCAATATACTGTGACACCATTGTCAAAACATTCTTTTATATACGACGGAAAATGAGAGTCGTTCGATGACGTTGACGACAAGGACATAACTTTATAAAACTTATTAGTTGAGGTATTATTTGTTACTTATAAATTTTGTGTTCGAAAGCATTTTTCTTAGTAATCTTGATTCAATGTATCCTTACAAAAATTTTATGTTTTGGCCATTGAGAGCCATGAAACTGGTTCAGGAATAAATTTTGTTCCAAGTTCAAACTGATCAATTTACAGAAACTATAATCAAACATAGTATATGCATATCTTTATACTGGATGTCACTAATATCACAGACCAAGTATACAAGTATACCTGGTCTGTGTTAATATTAAACACTATATATATATTTCTTATCCTTGTCTATCCTTTTTTCAGGTTGACATAATTCAATTCTTAGCATTTAGTTACTTATTAATATAACGATGATTTAAAATAAGTATATTTCAAATTCAGAAACTTTGATTAGTATGCATGTTATTTACGTATTCAGTCATTTAATAAAAATAGTACAATGTGCCATCAAGATACTCAAGCTTTATTTCTTAATAATGAATCTATGTTAAAACCTAGTCCAACTAGATATATTTGTTACAATTACATTTCCCTAATCAAACCAAATTTTATCCTTTGTATCTTGCCTTTTAGTATCGCAATATTTCACTCGCGACGTTGTAATTGTGTGCAATTAATATTGATTTGTTACAGTCTAATAATTATGTAGTAATTTATCTGGTTACAAAGTTCCATCAAAAAACAAAACTTGTTTATATTCAGCATTCGCAAAATTTAAAGAGCGTCCTACCTAGCTATTTATTTATTTCCTTATATACACAAGTGCCACATAGCACTTATTGTGTAAAGTGTAAAACAGGATGGATGAAGCATTCATTCGATAACAGAAATCGAAAACACATTTTACAGAAATTTTATACTGATATAAATTGCGTGTACAGTTATAAATAACAGAATTTAATATAATAAAGTACATTCTGTGGATGTGAAGAAAATACACGTATGTGTACGCGTGTGTGTGTGTGTCTGCGCGCGCGTGTAAATATATTTATGTATATGTGTATATATATACATATATATATTTACATTCAATATATTGTAAAAATGGAAAAACCTAGATGAGTTTGAATGATATACATTGTGTTAGTTAAAATGAATGCTTTTGAGTAACACATTGTTATTTAACAAAATTCACTTTCTAAATTGATAACAGTTTCCATGATACTCTGATGCTTTTGTCTTCTTCCATGCGGTAAACGCCATAAAAATGCAATATTAAAACAATGATACTTTTGATAAAGCAATTTAACGTCTTCTTTGTGCAAGTACATGTACACCTATCATCACACATTTTCTTGGCGAATAAAAATTAATAAATGATTTCATTTGTTGAAGACCATATTTCACGTTACTGTTTATAATGTTTGTTTGCTGTTCCATGGTTTCCATAAAGTAAATTATATACATTGGTACGAATATGATTTATTTTCTTATGTTAAAAAATTAAAATATTTTTCTAGAGTCACTTTTTCTTATTTTTTTTTTGTTTTTTTTTTGTAATATGAATAAAATTATATATTCCTAAATGTATAATACACCTGAATGGCTCGACAGAAACACCTCTGCTATTACAGAGCTGCATTGGAAACTGCTTTCCACGATTAGATCTCCTCTCGTCAAAACATCAGACATGATTTTTTATCATACCTGAAATGCATTGATGCGGAGATTATAGCTTATTTTATAATTATGTCAACTTCAAAACTTGATCAAAATCTAAATATTATTCATTTACCGTTGATCAAAATGATTTGTATGAAGTAGGATAACGTGTTGGTATACTTGAGGTAATATGACATGATAAATGTTCCCATCCTAAGTTCCTTGCAATTTCTATGCATTTTTCGTCAATCTCTTTTAATGGTTTTTCTTCGTAATAACGCATCAGTAATTTCAAATAACGACCGCTATGATTGTTAATATGGGCATGCCACAGTGAAAGAATAAGGACCTATGAACGAAAAGAAATATTTCAAGCACGTCCCTTAGATAATTAAATGTAGTCATTAAATTCCAACAAACTAATGTTTTATTTCTTGCCTTGCTGTCGGTTGGTTCAGCAAATTTCTGTACTTCTTGCCAATGATTTGTAACACTCTCTAATAAATGTTCGTAGGACGCACGATCTCCTTCTCCCTTTTTCATGTTGTGTACGTACAATCGAGCTAACGCACAGCCTTTCTTTACTAGTGCTTCTATCAAGCTACTTTTCTGTTTCTCCATAGTTGCTTTAATTTTCGCGGCGTCAGCACGCTGATCATTCTTTAAACCATAATATGCCAATAATTTATCTTGATCTATGTTGGTAATTACCGCATCAGCGACGGTTATTATTTGGTTTGCAAGAGAAACAGTGCTTTCTGAGAGATCGTCATGTGGCACATGACGTCGAGCTTCAGGAGAATCCAAAGAAGTCAGCATGGCAGTATGAACGGGTAAATGATCCGAGAATAGATTTTTCAATTCTCCATATAATAAGTTTGCGTATTCTCCAGGTTCTATCGTCAACATTAATAAATTAATTATGTTATCACCATCAAAATAATAAATATATACGTTTATGTTATGGAGAAATGAACAGCATTCATATTGACACGTGGAATAAATAATTATGTAAAAATATGACAATATTTTTACACCATACTATGCGTGCAAGTAATGACAATTTTAGACGTTAAAGAATCATTTTACAATCACTCTGACATATCACGAATACTGTTGCTAATAATTTCTTTTGAATATCAGTCACAAAAAAATAAAGAGATCAGTGTAAATTATTTGTTATACATTGCATGTAGTACATGTACGGGAATAAGATCGATAGTAAACACAGAATTCGAATTGCACAGGGTTCTAAAACATAAATGTTAAATAATCTTCTATCACACTGTAAGAACTTACTCGTAGAAGGTGCTATTTGTAGAATTGAAACCGGAAAGAGAAACAAAAAAATTCGTATGAGAATGATAATATTTTGCATGATATATGTTCATATATAAATAATGATAAATTTATGAAAAATCTGATTACCCAGTTTTCCAAGCCAATTGCATTTCAAATCTCTAAGCGCTTCGTTATATTCATCCCATTTAGTAGTTTTTTCCTTGTCTGGTTTATTAGCAGAACTACTACTCTTTTTGGTTGGTTCTGATAAAATGTACTTAAACGAGTGGCAATCAACTTTCTTTCCAATATCATCTTTGCAGAAAGTTAATGTACCCTGCAGGTAACTACCCAAGGTTGCACCTTTGGAAATTCTTTAAAATAAAGGAAAAAAAAATCACTTTTTTTTCAAGCGAATTAAAATTGGACATTGTCAAATATTCGCTACTGAATCATTACAAACAAAGCCAAGAGGTAAGAATTCTAAGACAATCGATTGAAGCCTTTTCAAATGAAAAGAAAAATAATGAACAGCATTCGCCAAAAGCATGAAATACACAATGTTGCAAATATAATATAGCAAAGAAATGTACTATATGAAGTAGTGTGATTAAATATCTTAGTTATTATAGGTAAGGGAGTGTCATGTTTGTAAATACCCACACAATTATTTTCGCAACTTTTCCGATAAGCCTAGATTTTATATAATGTATGTTAAAAAAGCTACATCAAAAAGCTTTAATTAACTCCTTTTCTAGTATTAAAAAGATTTCAGTAAAAAATGATTGAAATCTAAATAACAATGCATAAAAAATTGCCTGCAGTTAAAATTGCATTAAAATATTGTTGCATCCGACGGATATATATTATAGAACTAAGCTCGTACTAAAATTAATGAAAGTACGTAATTGTAGATTAGTATTTCAAAATTATACCTTTACTAAATTAACACTCTTTTAACTACATGTAAAGCATGTAGACTCACTTATTTTCAGTGCTGCAATATTGGAAGAAAAAACAAAATAATTACTTTAGTAACACTTTAGAAAAGTAATCATATATATAATTATTTAAAAAAGCCTAATATAGATTGAAAGTGGCTAGTAATCTAAATTATTGATATGAACCTAACACCTTTTGAACATTTACATTTACTGTGTTGTAATAGTGACTCGTGCAGTTATTGACTTACATAACAAAATAAATATATACTGCCACATTTAACGAGTATGTGTGCTTAGAAATAAATATAAATTAAGTTGAAATCAATGTTTTGTAATTGGATATCATAACTTGAAATGCTTTGCAACACTAGTCTAATTTAATTAACGAAACGAAGTAATGGCAAAAAAGTAATAAAAATTCATGTTTGAAGTAGGACACTTACTTGCTTTCATTGGACATAGGAGCGATATACAATGGAAGAATATGTCCAGGTGGAATTGAAGCTGCTACCATTTTTTTTCCGCCAATAATAGCTTGCGATTGACTGACGTACACGTCCAAACTAATCGGATTACTTAACTTTTGACTTAGAAGTAATGGCATGTCTGTTAACCTATCCAGTAAGTCTTTCTTCTCGTGTCGTACATGCATTTTCAAAGTGTAATCACCTTTTTCTAATTTTTGGATAGTATACTGTAGCAAAATATAAAATTGTTAATTTATATTTCAATGTTAATATCTAAGTAAAATTTACCTTAGATGGATATGCATCCCCACAAGATACGAGTTGTTTGTTGCTGTCGTAGATCATCCACATTTGACTCTCATATTCACTTTCATACAATAAGTCACTGAGCAATGCTGCATTCGGAGTTACTTCGGTTGCTTTTGCTGAGTGGAACGTGTACGTTAACTGTAATTCATAAACCTGTCGCGATGGTGGAATTATATCTCGTTCCCGTAAAGGAGCGATCTTAGCATCAGTGGGTCTACAACATTAGAAAGGAATACGCGTAAGATTCAACCTAAAGGCGAACGCTATACGTGAAATTTTAAGGATGCGTACTTTAAAATTTGCACAGATGACTTGAGAGAAACACTGGGCACTACTTCCTCGTTTCTAAGCGAACTTCGCAATTCCAAACGATTTATTCCATCGCCAGATTGCATCGTGAGATTACCATTTATCATATGGATACCATGAAATTCTATAGAATAATCGATCAACATATCGCCTAAACTTGCCCAATACTTTGCAATAACCACTTCCAAGATCAATCCTCCCTATATATGTTTGCAACGAAATTAAACTTAATAGTGTCGCACGTTTTGTGAAACTATATAATAGAAATTTACAGTACCTGGACAGAAAATGGTTGAACAGTCTCAGATTGAGAAGTGACGTTAATCATTTTATTAACTTCGAGAGTCTTGCAAGCTAAACGAGGTTTCAACTGAATAGAATGAATCACAAATCTGCCAACTTTTTCCTTCTCCGTGCTTTTCAATCTGATAACTAAACGGAATCAAACAAAAACATTAATATATGTACAATAAAATATACATAAAAATATATCGCGGAAAATATTTACCTGCCCAGGTTGCATCTTCTGGAACAAGAATGAAATGGCGGTAAATTGTATTGGGTTTAAATAAAACGTTCGTAAACGTCAAATCTGGAAGGATTGCAGTTTTTGGCAGCGTTTGTGGTTGCACTACAGTAATTGGTATTTGGAACACTGGTCCTTTTCCAATATCTGTTACATCATAAGCTCTAACACTGTAAGGTGCAATTAGCATCAATGTTATATATTGTAACATTTAAAAAAATATTGTACCACGTTGTATCAATTTTTTACCTAGTTGCATGAACACCTTCGGGTAAATTAGTAGCATCGACTCTGATAGCGAATGCGCGAGCCATGTGCATTAAGTCTAGATGAGTTGGAAATTGAACCCAAGATGCATCACATACCAAAGTTAATTTTAAATTGAAAGCAATTTTGAGTGCCGGATCTATAAAAGTATTTAAATATTATAACAAATTATACCCCATTTGTATATACAGAATGGCATTAATTAATATGTCAAATTGTACCAGTATTTTCGGTATTAAGAAATACAGGCTCAACGGTAATGGCATAATCTTTTGGCCGGTTAATGATACCACTTCTCATATGAATCCCTTTCAAGTTATTTGCACCACAACTAATTGAAAATCTTACATCCCTTTCGGGAACGTTATTGTACGTAATAAGATTATCAAATGCACGTTCAACTTGCAACAATCCTGAACCTTGTGCAAAAGGATCTAGTTTTGGTATGTAGAACGCTGTGTTTTCGAGAGATCTTTTTATATTATATGGAGAATAAGGGCAGCCTTTGGCAAGAAGTCCCGATATAAGTACAGCTATAATGTAAACGAACGACGACACATAACCTTTGTATTTTTTTTATATTAATATGCAATACTTAATATACCATAACATTAATCATTATGCACATACCAACAGCTCCAGTCACATGTGGACTAGCCATACTTGTACCATTCATAAGCTGACTTTTTCTTAGTGTAAAATTGGGAACACTGGTTATAGCCCCTCCCGGAGCACATACGGTGACACCGGCTCCTCCGTCGATCATCGGACCCCTAGATGACCAAGTATATGGCATACCTGCCATTTTTTCCCTTAACGAATATTCGGCTACCATCATGTCAGGAGAAACATAAGCACCGACGCTAATGATACTGCTGGAACTGATATCTGGCGGCGTTCCTATATGACATTGAAATGGATGAAGTTTAAAAAGTGCAATATTTTCAAATACATATTAAATCTACTTCAAATTTTGCCGACTAACCAATAGTACATAAAGCTGGTCCAAGGTTACCAGCAGATGCCACCCACGTTACACCATACTTATCGATAACTTCGTTCATTAATTCTCCTATTCGTCCGGTATTTGACCAATGCGCGTGTTCCCCGTAACTCATATTTATGACATGTACTTTTTCTTTATGTTTCATTATGTGTATCATTGCCCGTACTACTGCAGTTCCTGTCTCCATTGTGCCAATGCGGCCATCTCCGATGGTCAGTGAAATAATTTGTGCACCAGGAGCTACTCCATTTAATTCTGGGTTATCAGGAAAATTTGCTGCTGCGATTGAAGCTACATGTGTACCGTGACTTGCTGCAACATAAAAATTGAATCGTAGCGTTACGTTATTTTTAAATTAATTTTATTTGAAAAAATGATAAAGACGAATATATTTTCTTAAAACTTACAGCAAAAGCTAACAATTTCTAATGTATTTCCAGCATCATGTACATTAATACTAATATTTAGTTGATCTTCCGGTAAAAGAGGCGCATATTGCTTTGTCGAGGTGTATTCTCCCAAGCATACACCAGCTCCCAGGTTGCCTTCCTCGGAAGTATCGATACACGCTCTATAACAGAAAACAAAAACAAATGAAAGACTAATGTTTACAGAAACTGAAGTTTTAACACACATGCAAACACCAAAAGTATCCTCCATACATCTTTACCTCCAAACATCACCATCATGAAATACAACACAGTCATAAGTAGGTCCTACATCAGAATATTTTTTCTCAATATTATTTAGTACTTCAACTCTTGCCTCAAGTTCTTCTTTTTTTAGCCTTTCTTCTAAAGTCGTTAACTGTGGATTCTTTGCTTCAAATTCCTATGTACAATAGTTACAGAACATAAAAATTACATTGTCTTTGCCCATTAACAATTACATACCCACACAGTGTATTTATTTACATATATTTTAATCAAGTTCAATTGTTTTTAGAAATATTACTAGGAAGCATGAGAAATTTCATTGATATACCATATTCTGTATAAATGAAAAAGTAACATTGGAAAAATATAAAGTTTCCATCTTTTATCTAAGTACAATTATGTAACGAATCAATGGCTTTACAGTGGATCAAACTGCCAAATATAAATATAGCATAAGATGGAGATCACTGTGACACATTGTGAAACTGGCCTCGTTTGATTGAATGGTTTAATGTACCCACAACAACCCTATCTTTGGATCACATGGTCTACAATCCTATTTACAACCTCGCTCTTGAATATATGTGTTAACATATAGGCTATTGTAATTCATTTACTATACAAATTTTTAATTTAAAAAAATAAAAAATAAATGATCAATACTAAGGCATAAAATATTAAAGAAAATTTATGTCAGGTTTAATATTGATTTTGCATGTATGACAAAATTACTTTACATAATAAATTAAACAAACTTTTAAAGTATATTAATACAATAAAAAATAATGTCAAAATATAATTAATGCAATTATTTACTTGTAGTTCCCTAGATGCTTCTGCAAGTGCAGATTTTTGACAACTGTCCCATAGACGTTTTTTCCGTTCTAATAATACTCTTTCTTTTAATTTTCCTGGATATAATGAATATAAATTTTTTACTCCAATGTGATATTCTCCAGTAGGATTTCGCCAATTGGCTGGAACCTGAAAATATTATTCTTTTATCTAATATTACATATATATTGATTGCTATGAACTTTAAGACCTCAACACAACTTAATCATTACTAATGTTACTGTAATCAAATTGTGTAAATTATACCTTTAATTTACGTCCAGTGACACCAATTATATATCCATCGGGTGCTTGTACAACTTTGCTGGTATCTACATCTCCAGCTCCACTACAGTCATATCGTTCAATGATTTTTGGTTTTCCATCTGTAGTTACCTATATAATATATTTGTTATATGGTTGAACATTTAATTTTATTTATATATAAATTGATTTGTTCAATGATCAAGCAAGAATTTGCTGCATCATCCTTTTACTGTTATCATAGGACAAAGAATGACAAACATAAATTTGGAGATACTTAAAAACAAGACCAAATGACTAATACAGTTCATTTTTGTACACAGCAACCATATAATTTTATAAGAAACTTCCTACATGCAATCAGCTTTATCGCATACAAAATTGGAAAAAATACAATATCAATTAACCCCTCCATTAAAATACACCGGATATCTACTGCCAAATTGAATTAAAAAAAAGTAACTTATACAGCGTTTACTTTTTGAATGAAAACGGAAATATGCCAAATTTCTCATTCTGCATATAGACAAAATAAACAGAAACTCGTCAGTAAAATAATCGCATTCGTTATGCTGAAATTTTTGCAGCTGTATAAAATTCTACAAAAGCAAAAAATTTTGATCAACATTGAAGAGAGGAAAAAAAATTGTAATTTGAACAACCGTGAGGCGTGTCTGGTACAATAGCTTACGTACCTGCATACCAGGAGCCCCAGGATCGACTCCTGAATCGAAAAATGCAATGATGACTCCTCGGCCGTCATATTCCGGATATTTGGTACGAAATTGAGTGACACCAGTTTCTTTTTTAGGCAGAAGGCCCCAAACAGGAAAATTACAATCAATGACGTCTGCCATGTTTCAAATGCCACTGCCACCGTGACTCCAGAAAAACTACTTGAGATGTTTCCTTTGTACTGCTACAGCCTTATATATCAATCAAAAAACAGGATCTGCGCCTGCGTGCGCGTGTACGCTGGAATTTTGAGGTTAAGTTATCGGCTTACGATACGTCAGACCAAACAGACAGTAAGAAACAAAATCCGTGGAACGTTTGTGTTACACTGCTCAGATAGCAGCACCAGCATCACGTGAACTACGTCAATAATTAAACGAAAACTGCACAAGAATAGTGAGTTTCGTCTTGAACGGCAGTGTTACTGTGGGAGGTTATGTTTTTAAATCCTGAAGCTTGAAAAATGACATGTCTGGTACAATCAAGCGTTACCTATTGCTTTCACTGCACAGTGTCATGTTGACAATCTGTGACAAATCGAGGGAAAATTAACGCAAGTATCTTCGACCAAGGCATGCGCAATGTTAAAGCATGGTTGTTACTCCACGAAAGATGAAACAGGTTGCCTTTTCCGTGATTTGTGTTATATTAGGTAAGTGTTTCAAGGTTAACATATTTGCATTACTTTCAATTTCTATTACTTATCAATTGTAAGTAGCAGTTTTGGATCCGGCATGGATATTGTTTACAATTTCTAAATACCATATAATTTAAATATTGCAGTGTTAGGCTTTTACAAAACGTTAGTTAGCCCGGAAGAAGAACAATCTTTTCCTAGAGTTCACCCAAGGGACCGTAAATCTCATGTAGGGGATATTGTAAATGACATTGAAACTGTTGATCAAAAAGTTGACGAAGCCGAAGAAGATACTCCTTATACAGACATTAGAAATATTGAAGAAGCAAAGACACGAATTCGTGATTTAGAGGGTAAATTGCAGCATCTCGAAGCAAAAATTGAGAACAGAGTGTCAAAGGATTTTCCAACAGTCAAGTTCCTTAATTATAAAAATCGAAAAAGAATTTTGGTCACTGGTGGTGCAGGCTTTGTTGGGTCACATTTGGTCGACCGTTTAATGCTTGCTGGCCATGAAGTAATAGTTGTAGATAACTTCTTCACTGGAAGAAAACGCAACGTTGAACATTGGGTTGGTCATGAAAACTTTGAACTTGTTCACCATGACATAGTTAGACCCCTTTATTTAGAAGTCGATGAAATCTATCATCTTGCCAGCCCAGCTAGTCCACCACACTATATGCTAAACCCAGTAAAAACAATAAAAACAAATACTTTAGGTACAATAAATATATTAGGTCTTGCAAAACGGGTAGGAGCAAGAGTTTTAATTGCTAGTACGTCCGAAGTTTACGGAGATCCTAACGAGCATCCTCAAGCAGAAACTTATTGGGGTCACGTGAATCCTATAGGTATATATATAGTCGTCTATATTACTGTAACGAGCTTTAAGAATCATTCCGTGATTAATGAAAATCAAAATTTGTAACATTTGTTACAGGGCCAAGAGCTTGTTACGACGAAGGAAAACGCGTTGCCGAAACGTTAAGCTATGCATACATGCGGCAAGAGGGTGTTTCGGTCCGCGTCGCCCGAATTTTTAACACTTTCGGTCCTAGAATGCATATGAACGACGGTCGGGTGGTTTCGAATTTTATTCTGCAGGCATTACAGAATGATTCAATTACGATATATGGTAGTGGAAAACAGACGCGATCTTTTCAGTACGTGTCTGATTTAGTTGATGGACTAGTTGCCTTAATGGCATCTAACTATACCCAACCTGTGAACATTGGAAATCCTGTTGAACATACAATAGAAGGCAAGTACATACCGCTGTAAAATACAGTGCTTTTAGAGTTGAGTATCTTATGGGAAACATATTTTTGAACCATTACAGAGTTTGCACTTATAATAAAAGATCTAGTTGGTACAAATAGTAAAATCGTTGAGCTTGCTGCGGTCGAAGATGATCCTCAAAGAAGGAGACCCGAGATTACTAGAGCTAAGAAATACTTGAATTGGGAGCCAAAGGTTCCTTTAGCTGAAGGACTTAAGAAAACAATAGTGTACTTCGCTAAAGAATTACAAAGAACAAAGCACTCACAAAAAAGTAGTTTTATCCAGAAATCTTACAAAAACGATCATGATATAGTAGAACAACTTTAGTAGATTAAATGTTAACACGATTAATTTATCCACTTTTAAGAGAGGCTTAAAAGTGCCATTAAGATATGGACCACTATGTGCCAAAAGATTCCCCGTCCAAATTGAATTTCGTAATAATTTTAATATTAACGGATACATGCTCTTGATTTAACAAATACAGAATGTTTGTTGCGAAATTGATCCTGTATATTTGTACAGGGTGTCAGGTATAATCAACTTTCTTTCAGCTTCAAGGTGTGAAATTACGTTTGTAAAGTTCCGTAAGTAATTTCTTTTACATCCTTTTTCATCCTCTCATTTTATATCCTTAAAAAATATTAATTGTGTTTCTAACGTGTCTTTTATGTAAGAAATTTTCGATCGCATAGTTCTTGAAATTGTTCGATATAAATGAGAAAGTAACGGTGCTGGTGGAAGTTATTGATATCCTTTTTTTTTTTTGTGCGTATTACTAGGATAAATTTTACATACAAACTTTAATATATTGAGCTGATTTTACTTAATATTTCTATATAATCGATTCTCCTCCAACTGTACATGTTCATTGTGTTTTGTAAAATGTATGAAACATGTATCATAGTAACATAATTAATGTGCATTTGTATACGCATACAAATAGTACATTTTTAAGGAATGTTTCTGTCACCGTATTTTTTACCATAGAAAGAAGGGTGTTTCCATGTTTCTCGTTCTGTAAAACGGGAAACGAGTTTTTGTATTAATATAGAAATCGTATTGTGTGATATATACATCCTGTAATCGTAAGCCGCGATACTGTAATATTGAAGAACATATAAACAGAAAAGTAATTTTATACTTTATGAATAATTATACAAGAGTAAATAAGTGAATAGCTTTGTAAAGGTATCTCCTTTTCGTTACAGTCATTATATTACTCTAACTTACGTACGAATAAACTCAACGCGGGTGCGGAACTATCATGCTTCTACGTCTAGATAGACAATGTGAAATGGATATTTACACTGCAATGTATTGTCAATTGTGTATTTATTGTTTGTGTATTTGAAAAATTCTGAGACGAAAATTTGAAAAATAGAGAATGTTTTATAAAGCAGAAATACTGAGAATTATTCAAACTCCAAAACAGACTGACAGAGAACATACGTTTATACGATTTCTCCTTTTATTACCTCTGTTCCTTGAATTAATCTTGGAAATTATTTATGAATCAACACTTTTACGACATGTCCTCTGTATATTCTTCCGCCATCCACTGTTTAATTCGTTTCCGTTTTATTAATGTTGCGCAAGAGTGGAAAGGGACAATCGTCGCGAACAAATTGTTCGTTTTACTCGTAATAACTCACGACCACCGAGTCAGTAAGCGTATACATTGTTGCATAACGACCTCGTGATTCTTCTTGTCCGGTTGCAATCCAAGTAGATAATATTATAATTCCGACAAACGTATACCACTTGTCGAAGACGCATTCCAACGCGGGATTGAAGAATCGCCTGCGCCGTTAAAGAGCGTATTTTAAGGGCCGATTGGTCGTAATGGGTGTCGCGTGGGCCTTGACAGGGCGCACGTGGTCGTCCTGTCTCCGCAGAAAGAGAACGAACCACCGACCAGGGTGGCGAGGAACAGAGGCAGCTAGAGTGGATTGACGAAAGCGAGGAGGGGCAATAAGACTCACTGGGATTCTTAATGATAATCATCGCATCCGGGATATGCTGGGGCTTTGTCGTACCAGATGAAAATGCCGCAAGGGTGAAGATGATCTAATCGTTATGGAGCCAAAAGGAAATAAGCTCGGGCAGTCGCCTCCTCTGTCACTATTATTTCACACAACCGGTTGCACTTCATTTTAATCAAACTTTACGTTTTTATTTTGCGTGGTTGCCCATGTAAATAATGAGACACGGTAAAGCTTCGGTGGTGGCAAAAAAATGGAGTTAAAGTTTCTGCAAGTACCGAAGTAAGAAAGGCCCTTTGACATTTTGTAATTTAAGGTATTGTTTTCAAGATATAAGTATTTGGAGGGGTCAATTTCTTGAGGTTCTACTATGAAGGTTCTTTTTTTGACGTAACTATTACTCGTTAAGATGCACGGTGGTGGTCGAGGAGCACCAGTATAATCGACAAACTTGAACGACTTCCTGTTTAGAGTGACCGAAGGAACAGGTGACCCAATTCACCGTAAAGTAACTCTTACCGGTGATCTGCTGGTAATTCGACCTGTTTATTGGTAAATGAGACGGGGGTCGTTCGTCTAACGTGGGTTTAGCGCGAGTAACCTACCGCTTCTTGTAGCCACCATAGGAAACGAAGTGATGCGTTAGTTAGTCAAGGAAAACACGAGATACCAAGATAAAAACGCCAGGTACTCTCTTTGGGCGAGACTAAATTATTTACGGAAAGTAAACATTTCGAGTCGAGATAAGTGTTTGAAAATTTTCATTACGGATTTAACATCCTCGTTGCCTGTAGCCTGTTCATCTCTACTTTGTGCCTCTACATTATGCATGGCGCAACGGGCTTCTTGACCGCACTGTGTTACAGATTCGAAAAGGGTCGCAGACTACTCGACAGCGCAGACTACTTTTAGCGCGCCAATATTCTTACGTCTTCGCGATCAATGACAAAAGCAAAAGCATAGCTTCAATAAAAATGCATCCTACGACGCCGTAAAAATATTGAAGCTTTTACTAACTTTTAACTTTGGTCTTAACAATTTTATCATATGTCTAAAAGCAGCTGATATTCGTAAAAAACGAGTATCGTATTAACGCGATAATGTTTCTAGACGCACAGAAGACTATGAAAGCTACCGTATGCGAATGGTTCGTGCAATTATCTCATGACACAAACGTGTCTAAGCATCATTATTACACGCCATCGAGATATATTTACACATGATATACGAGACTTTAATTATGCCCACAGGGTGTATCGGAAAGAAATAGACGCGATAGACGAAGGCGTTCGCGTGAGTGGTCGCCTGACAGCTGGCTGGTTTAACCAGAACAGAATAATCAGGGAGTACGCAGAAGCGAACAGTATTTGTGCATGTTTGGAAGATGAACTCGTAAAATTAGTATGCAAATGCACACACCTGCATCGAGAGTGTGACTTCTTATTTCGTGGCCGCTCCGTCTTTACGCGTGCTACGAACATCGTAATAATTGTAATTAAATTATAAATTTGTGCATAATTTGTCGCTTTCTTCGCAGTAAATCGTAATCGGACAGAAACAAATTGCAACTTTGCGTTTCTTAGCGTTCTTAACGCGGTAATGTCAGCGTCAAGTCAGCCAGCACATTGAAGTGATCAAACGAAATATAGAACATTGGTGTGTTAAACCCAACTTTGTTTTCTGCAGCGCATTTTTTTCACAATGCGTCACTTTTCCATTGAAAACTAAATGGAGTTTCAAGCAAGTACAGAACATTAATGCTCGGCTCCACGTTTATAGGCTCCGGGTGTATTTAAAGGCATACTTCACCGCGTACTCTGCAATCCGCGAACTTTTCTCGTAAATTCTACTTCCACCTGGAAGGAAAGACTCGGCCGTGTGGGTTCTACAAAGCGCATAAATATTTCACCTGAACCATTGCCGCCCACTGGAGGCGGTCTGCAATATCGCAAATATTCTGGCGCCATCGAGTTCCACACCGGTGTCTAAATAAATATCCGATCGCGTTCGACGAGGATTTACTTATGCATGCGGCACTTGGCCGAGCCGCGGAGAAAACGACATCGGGGAAATGGTTCGGATGCACGAACGTACTTCAGAACGACCGATCGTCCGCGCCAAAACAAGTGGCTCCGGGCTCTTCAACAAGCGAGAAGAGAGCCACGATTTGTTTCCCGCGAGAAGACACGCGGAGAGACTGTTTAACGAAGTGGCCAAGACACGAGATAAAAACGAGGTGTCTGTATAATTTCAACGCCAAGAGCATCGAGTGTCGAAAGAGCGAGATCGTGATGAACGAGCTCCGATCGATTGCCACGCGCGAAGCATTAAATCAACTATCTCGTTGAAACGTGATTAAACGATTTAAGCCGCTCTCGATGATTCAGAGTCTCGAACATAGTTTTAGTAGTTTTTATACGGGACATAAACACGAATCAGGAAACGGTAGACTCTTGTCGAAGATAGCTTGGGACGCGTAGGTTAATATTTGCTACTGTCTACCAAATAGCTGTTAGCGCACCTAAGTGCTGAGATAAGGTTTCATGGCCGCTCACGCTGCAGACTTCTCTCGAAGTTGGTCTTATCATTTACAGGGCTGGTCGTTGGGTTCGAACTATACCACTGTTGGTCGTTGAACCACCTGAAGACCGTTCAAACTTTCCTCTCGAATTTGGCACAATGAACGTCGTCGTCACGACAGCCGCGGGTTCGAAACTATACGTTCTGTAGTAACCCCCAACTTAGTCGCTGTAATACGTTTAGGTACAGTTAGGCAAGTGACGGGGTAAACGTAGTAAATGCATATTAGTAGCTGGCTAATAAAATACCGCTTCTATTGCATTCTTCCTCGAACATCTACGTGTGTATACACACGTAGAATTTACTAAGCCTGTTGTCGACTTGATAGACTCGTGACTTTTTCTTATCTGGAAAAATTTTAACAGAGAGGTCATTGAACGTCGAAGTTTAACGATAAATAGCGATTCTTCGTGCCGATTAGTTTTACCGTTGGATTCACGCGGACCGATCGAAAACGTTTGAGATTATATTCACGCTGAGACTGCATCCACGGCAATAGCACGAATTCGGCGTCGTTCGGAACTACGGGCTTCGGTCGTCGAGTGAACGACCCCGAGGTTCACACGGAATGTAAATATTTACACCTGAGTGCAGCTGTCAGCGAAGGGTCGTATTCAGCTATTTTCAGGCAATGGGCCACCGATACTTCGGAGACTCTTTGCTGTCCGTGCACGATACGTTTCCCCCGCTGAGAGCAACCGTTCGCATGTTTGTTGCGTGACATACGAACTTTGAATCTGACGATCCGGGAATAAAAAATAAGGCGAGGCGATGTCAGAGAGAATGGTCTTTTTCTGGAAAAGTTTACCATCCTCTGCTATATATCACTTAAGAGCACCTCCAATGCGTAATAAAAAAAATGGGGTGCAGTGATAATAGGGTAAAATGTGATTTGTCTACAACGTCTCTTCTCAACGTTCGACTTGAATAGAGACTACTTTGGAAGACAAAGCTTTGGAGCAATCGGTAGCATCAGTATTTGTACAAACGGAACGTTGTATTTAGATATCTCATGAATAATAAGCCAAAACAAACAAAAGAGAGTTTCAAGGCCCAGCAGACAATAACATCAAAGGAACTTTCAATTAACTCTCGCTTGACGCGCCGTAAAAGCGGTTTCATAAGACGAGAGACGAGTCGGCGAACGCATGTGGCGAACAGCGAACTGCCTGCCAGCCAGGCCGTCCCAACAGGGTGAAACGTGATTTTTCTGCAGTGGTTCCCCTTCTACGGCCAATCTGGACGCAGAAGATGCACTTGGCGCGGAGCACCGCTCTACGGCCAGGCGACGTAGTTTTCTGGCGCTGGCTGGCAGAGCAGCTGTTTCCAGGCTGGAGTAGCGGACTGGAAGTTCAGTCTCGTTGCGACCGTCGTGGAGGTCGTATCGTAGCCTGTCGTTTTTGCAGCCGCGCTTTGCTTTCTCGCCACGTGCACTCTTTCGGTTCGTCTTGAGTCGGGCAACCGCCTGGAACCACAACCATTCATCTACGACAGAACGTTCGTCGCGTACCACGTCGCTCTGCGGATCTCTCTTCTCGCGGAGAGGACGGAAAGGACGTTCTCCTGAAAGAAGCAACACGGAGATTCAACATCGTCGAAACGCGAAAGTGAGTACCGATAATACCTTCGTTCCCTTATACCTTGCGGTATTGTTTATCGATTTTCGGTCACCAATTACCAATATAAATCGGTAACCGGGTATTTACCGAAAGACAACTCCTACGTATTCCGTTTTGTACAAAATCTTTTCCTTCGGTATCGAATGTCCGTTATGAAGATCGCGATTCTTTTGATAATGATCACGTCGGTGTTCAAACGATCCTGCTGTCATCGAATTGTTTCGTTCACGCGAACCGTTCTGCGGTGTTGCGTGGTTCGTTTAGCGAGCGCGATTGTTGGCCGATCAAAATCACGGTGTTTTCGTGCCGGAAACGATACCTCTTTGTACCGAGATCGAACGATGTATACAGGGGTTGGGTTTCGTCTCAACCGGGCGTGCATATCGAAGAATCGCAAAAAAACGTTAAATGCGTGCGTCGACCAGACCGATATGCAACTCGGGTTCGGATTCGGGTTCGAGACGACCGACTTTCGAATATTTTGCGGGACGAACGTTTTATTTCGCGCCGACGCGACGCGACGCGCCTCCGCTCTGCGCGGCCTCGAATGGACAATTCGGATCGCTTCGAAATATTTTTACTGCTGAAATATGTTTGCCCGCGATCAACGAAATTGCACATTACTCTCTCGTACCACATATTTTCATGCCGAATACAGCCTTTATGCACGTGCCAAGGAAACTACGCTTCTGGGTTTACGATCCTGTATCAACCGAGGTTTTAAACAAGCTTAGCTTCTGTACATTCAACATAGTGATTGTACATTGAGGTTTGTTATACGATGCAACTGTTTCGTGTTACGGAAATCCGATCGTCTTGAATCAGCGATCGGTCAAAATACTGAATCATGTGAAACTTTACATATTTGATTAGAAAATATTAAACTCGCATTTAAAATAAAGCGGTAGTCTTTAAATGGTATTAGTTCGAATCACGAAATTCGCTTCTTTTCGGCGAGAACGTCGCGTTAATTGATAACTGGTTATGAGGCACCATTTCCATACGAGGCAATGAATTCAAGTTTTAGTGGCCGGAGGGCGATCGATTTACCGTCGTTGATTTCCGGCTGCGAGAGTCGTAAAGCTCCGGGATGGTAATGCGCAAAATTAAAGATCCTCTAATTGAAAGCGAAATAGCCGAGACGCGGTCATGCGCGCGCGCACGTTAAACGAATAATAAAGTTTAATCGCGCGAAATGGTAGTAAATTTCAAATCCATTTTTTAACACGGCGGTCACGTCGCAGTAAGTCGTTCGTCTCTGCTTGGAACGAATCGCGTTGCCCCTGTATAGAGCCGGTTCGATTTACGCGAATATGGAGTACGGTTCTGAAACGGTGCCATGCTTATTACTGAACTAACATTTATGCTTACATTTACGGGTGGTAGGAGTCTCAAAATCGAGACTAAAGAAACTCATGTTTTAACGCATTGCTTACAAATAACGGGAAACCTATGAAACCTACACTATGTAAAGGGGGTTAAAGTATTGCGACAATGGTTTCTGTGAGAGCAAATCTCAAATTATCGTCCAAGGGTGCTATAAATTAGTCTTCGTTATTCTTCACCGAATGGGCGAACGGTTGCAGTCAGGCCGAGAAATTTGGAGCGTGACTTTAAATAAATAGCACGATATTTGGAACGTTCGAAGCGTGAGATTCGCGCGGCAAAAGAAATCGCGAAACTTTTATCGTCAGCCAGACAAGATCAATATTATCGAAGCCAAGAGCAACGCCGCAAGACCGACCGGCAACGTCCACGAAATCCGACGATAACTTTTCCACCATCCGATAACTCTTGGCTGGTATCAACTTCCGTTTGGCAACGGTACTTTTTCTAGGACCCGACTTCGATGTATTTTGGCCAAGCTTATTCGATCCCGACAACGATAATCCTCGTTAACTCGTTATAATTTTGTGTTTCGAAAAATTTGAAATTGTCTTTCTATAAAATCCTTCGTTCGAGCTCGAAAATATTTCTTTCCGAGGACATTACGCGTAGTTTATTTCACTTTTTGTTGCGATTGTTTTGACGGTGCGGCGACATTTCAGCTAAAAATATATTCTCAGCTTCGAGCGGACGCTTATGTAACAACGAAAAAACAAATGTGAATAGTATACTAAGTGGATTGTTTACGCTTTTTTTTTGTGGAATAATTTTCAAGTTCAAATGATCGCAACTGACTACGTAATTCTAAAGCAAATAATTACGTATCCAAACTTAACTTACCCCACCTTTGCAATCATTCATTTACCGAAATGATTCTCTCAATTACCTACATATTTACCGAAGTCGTTTACTGAAACATGGCTTCTAAAATTCATTTTATCCAAAAGTAAGCAACGAGTTCTGCGTATGCGATCTTAATATTCGAGTTTATAAGGACGATAGAAATGTTTTAATTCTCTAAATAATTTGATGTCGCAAGTTTAATCGAGAACAGTGCAAGTCGAGCCTCTACAGCTTCGGATTTGTGTCGGAACGAAAGACTGGACGTACCTGTTATCGTTTTTAAGTTGAATTTAGACTTCGCGGTATACGTATCACCAGTCAAATTAAACAGCTTAGCATAATGCGGTATTTAATAAATAGCGTACGATGCTGTGCTGCTTATTCGAATAACGATTGTTAATCCGGATACCCGGCGGCTTCCTTCGTATTTATCGACGAATAACTTTCTCAAGTATATTAACGACAGAGGACAGGTAACTTTATACCCTCGTTTCAGATAGAACGATCGCTACCTCTGCGACGGTAGCCGGTAGACGGCCAGCAGGTACTGAATAACACGTGTAAAAGTTAATAGCCTACATAAGCTGTACGTGGTCGATACTGGATGAGTTCCTAGTGTTTTTCGTATCACTGTGCTATCAAAAACACAAGAAATAGTCTGTCAGCATCGTTCGTTGGAGAAGGGTCAGTCGGGCAATGGTTATTTAATTATTCGTGATGAATTCGTCACGCCAGTTTTTCGTTCGTGTGTGTGTAAAGTTCTAGTGGCGTTCCTACCTACGATCCAAGTACTCGAGTCGAAGTTAGAACATTGGTTGTGTCACGAGTAATCGAGCTGTCAATTTTTTTACTTTGCTTCGATTTTCTGAACTCGAGCATCGGTCGTTACTGTTGTGAAATATTTTTCAAGTACCGAACTCCAAGGCACTCGACGTTTGTGGATGAATTCCCCTAAACACTCTACTAGTTTTTTTCCACTATCTACGTTACATGCTTCAACAGCAACTCGCAATTCCCTTAAAAATCTATTAATTAACTGTATTATATAACCAACATGTAATTTTTCTTTTCTCCTTCCGAAGCCCGGTACTTATTTTACTCATAGTTATTTCTCTTAAAATTGCAATTTTCAGTTTCCAATATGTAATTATATTAATACGCATGTTTGTTATTCCAGATTGTTATCATGCTAGTAATAAGAGGATCGATACTCGTTTAAATAAATAAATTATTGTCGGGTGAAAAATAAACGAGCAAATCTATGATTAAACCGACGCTCTTCGAGACCATTATCATCGGTGAAATCAGAAGATTAACCAGCGCTCGCAAATCTCTCATTATTTCTGCAATCATCTATCTTATTGCTCAGAAATCGATTCTATTACACGACCAGATATTTAGAGTCCCTCGATATTGCGCAATCAATATTGATAAACGGACAACGCCCGTTCATTATTGAACTGATCGCTGGATCTATTTATAGGCCACAGGTATCTTGATCTTTGGCCAAGTCGCCGGGTAAACCGATCGTAAGATTCGTGTTTGCTCGTCTTCGTCAGCCACCGCGGTTTAACGGAGCGAAGGTCCTTTGGCTGATTGCATCGTATCGCCCCGAGATCGTTACATTGTCGTAACGAACCTCGGAACGAGTGCTGGACGTCTTTATCATCTTAACCGATTGAAAAGCGGATTGGAACCACTTCTGTCTTTTCGAGCTGTCCCTCCTCGTTCGTCTTCTCGGAAGATTATGTGGCTCCGTTTCGTAATCTTCGTCCGAATTCGTTGAAAACGATCGCCGAATGGAGCTGCAACGAAAAAACAAATTTTTTACGTGGTAAATATTTGTGATTGTAAAATAAGATCTACGTGCTTCAAATACGCCTTCAAATAAATCTTTACGATATCGTTACTAATTTTTAGTTAACCGCACAGGATGAAATCTTGAAACCAGATTTCCCATTATCGGCGAATTCGGTCGCGCGTTGAAGATTAAAACACCTCGAACACCGACAGCACTCCGTTCCTCTTAATCCGTTCATCGCGTTTCAATTCGAAATTCGATATTTTATGCAGATTTGTGGCTGGCCTGTGGTGGATTAAAACCGTATTACGGCACCATAGGTGTTAGATTCCATTTGATGGTTCTCATGGTCGTAATTCAGGCACAGACCGCCTACGGTGACCCATTGTGGCTGCTACCATCGGCGCAATCCGCCCAGCTGCCCTATGCTCGCGTCTCTTTTCGTTGGACATTAACACGGGATCGTTTCGTTTCGCGCAAATGGAATGATCAGCTTTTTGGTCAATTAAGCGTATCTCATTCGGTTGTGTCCGCGCGGAAAAGGAGACTGAACTTTGTTCCGCGAAACCCCAAATTTCCAAACGAGCTTCCGATTCGAGGAATCACGTGACATCGATGTTTAATGGCTTTAAATATCGTCCACGGTGCCGTCCACCAACGCCAACGCGAATCAAACGTGTCGTCATTAGGTGGCGCGATGAATTGTCGGTGAATATAAACTGTGGCGACGTTCCAGAAATCTGTTCAAAGCGAGGAGGTTGGCCAAGACGTTGGCAAAAAGCTTGCGCAATAATACGTTGAACGGTCGTTTAACACAAGTCGAAACTTTAATGGACTTTTGATAGTCGTTGTTGTTTCAGATCGCGAGCTATAACCAGAAAAAGATACATCGACCAGGTTCTTTTCGATTTTCACGTGACACGAGTTCGTTTCTCGCGCTTAGTTTGTAACGAAGGAT